TGTTTTGATTTACCAACTCCGGATGTCACCGACTGTGTGTATAAGTACTGTACCATTGCTACACAGAGGCTTGAGCTTGTCCTTTTACCTTAATATCCTTACCATTGCAATATATAACTTGTGTCTATATAATCTTCTCCGGTGATGTGCAGGGTGGAAAGCGTGACCTGAACGGGCCACCAGGCCAGCAACCAATAACGGGTTGAAACGCACCGAAAGCACTGAAATCACCCGGTCAAGCCCCCTCAGAACCACCGGGTGAAATGATGCATATGGTAAGTTCTTTTAACCCGGTTTTGGCCCACGGAAAATAACCCGTTCTGAGAGCCACCGGGTAATTTGCTTCAGGTTTACGGTGGCGAATGCGCGCATGACCGGGTTACTTGCCGTGTTATTGTGACCCGGTCTGGGGTCTCTAGTGAGCGGCACACAATTATTCCACCTGCCGCCACACCAATACGTGCGGGTCCACTAAGACACCTACATGATCGAGTAGTCAGATCACAATAGAATGCAAACGGTATTGAATTTTGCTCGGACGTGATAAGGAATTACTACTCGGTGTATATGTCTTTCGTGCAGTGGTTCTGCCCAGGATGTGTGTCGCCTACAGGCGCAGGGTATACAATATGCAAAGCATCTGATCACGAGACGCATTGCGCCTGGTAAGATAACTCAGATTTTAAGTATTGTCGTACACCTTGTTTATTGGAGGTAGATGGTCAAACCGGCCAATATGTCGCCACCATGATTATTAGTTGTTATGGCTTTCGCAATAATCAGACGCTCCTTTCAGTCATGTTTGATCGCGTTCATGTTTCGGTGTGATCACCCCAAGCTTCTTTGTCTCGTCTGTCTGGTGCGATGTGCGTGTTCATCGCATTGTGTATATCTCGAATTCTTGTGGCGTCGAGTCCTCGTAGACCTTAGTAGGTGGGTTATAAACCTCAGAATGCCGAGCCAACCTCTAATAGCGACCCGAGCTCCCTTACCGTCACTCAACTCAACTTCACCCAGGTCAGCCTTGGGTCAGCCCTTCGCATATTTCAAGCTAATCAGACCGGGACTCATGAATTGAAAGGCATGTTTTTTTGTATAAGCTGTCACGAAACATTCCCAGATGAGACTTCGCTACACACTCACTGTCGTGACAAAGAAAATCACCACTATTGCAAACGCTGCAAGAGGTTGTTCCATACGAGAGCCATCCTGCAAGAGGTAAGTCTTTAGTTCACGATCGAAATCCAAGATGTTGTGCTGAATTCTTCCAAAGCATATTCGCACAGCCGCGGTCCATCAGCAGTATGCATACACATGCAACACCTCCCGCCTCATCGACTCCTCTGTCAAGTCGTTGAACGATCCGGAAGACCCTTCCTGCTTCGCCTGCGAAACACATTTCTCGTCCATGCGGATACTCTACCGGCACCTCGCCAATCGTTCCAGTCATCACTGGTGCTTCGTTTGCTACCGCGACTTTGAGACTTCTCACATTTTAGAAGAGGTTTGTTCTACTTTCTCAGCTCTCCACAAATACTCATGCTCTTGATCTGCTCAGCATGTTTCATCGTATGAAGACAACGAACACGTTCTCGAATGTCCCATCTGCGCTAAGACTTTCGCAACGCCTTCCTGCATGGCAGATCACATCGAATATGACGGTGCATGTCATTATTCGGGTCGCAACCAAGTTCGGCAATCCTCGACAGCATGTCCGCCAAAGGTGAAGTCATACCGCTCGTCAACGAGCCGCCTGAACGACGTGGCCTCATCTGTCCATGCCGACTACGTCAACAATGCAAGACCATTCAACGGAGACTCATACCAATGTTATCTCTGCCATCGTACCTTTCGCACTCTCAAGGGATTGCACAGTCACCTCGAGTCTTTGGCGCATGACAGGCGAGATCTTCGCTGTCCGAAGTGCAAGGCGTGGTTCAGCACTGCATCGTCTTTAACTGACCACATCGAGAAGGAGCTTCGCGGTGTGGGCGAGGTTTGGTAATGTGTTCAATGGTATGGACAGTCGTTTATATCAGGGCATGGTGCTTGCATGGACATTGAAGTAGCGAAGGGGAGTAGGGTGTCTCGGACACAACGTCAGAGAATGCATACTGTACGATTTCGATCAATTCGGCATCACGTGATGATTTTTATTTTTCCGACAAAGCTCCAAATCCTCAACAAATCAAAAGAAAATTATTGCCGCTATCTCCCAAAACGGCTGTGATGCGTGACTGCCGAATTGATCGAAATCGTACAGTATGCGCGCAGTGTACCACGTGTAAAGATATGACAGCTGTTCTCGTGTTATCACAGAAATATATCATCGCCACATAATCACAATGGAAAAGTGGACAACAAGTGTGACAACGAACATTCAACAAGTGATCCATGCATCCAACCGACGTACCAAGTGTTATGAATGTGAGTCATATGCTCGACAAATGCAGAGGCAGTAGTGTCTCAATAGTGTCTAGTGTTGTCTGAAGCTCCGAAACCTCGATGTATGTAGCCCGGGGGATGGATTTCGGTGGAAGCAGACACCAGATTAAGTAGACTTCCACAAGACGAGTTTGCACGGTGCTCAGAAAGATGAGATATATAACGGAAATGAGTGAGAACCTATGGAGTTGCTTCCACAGAGTTAGCCGACACGAGGTGACTTGAGATGTACAGCGGTAATAGGGAGTATTGATGCGACCGAACAGAAGCCGTAAAACTTATAGATCCCCCGTAATAGACCTAAGAGCGAGTCCATGTCTGAAGACCGATATTATTACCGTTGGGCCATCGGCAGGAGCCAGAAGAAACAGTACAGAGCGTAGTATACAAAGACCTGAACAGAGGATATCAAGACTCCATTGCTGCATCATGTCGTGGTTGAGGACGTCGAGGAGCGATGGGTGCAACGAAAGGTGAGTAACCCATCGGACTATCCCAGTTCCGCCATCCGACTGCACCCGTAACGCCACACTGATACGATATATTCGCCTTTCGCCCAGCCTTGCCACCGACCAACAACCAACCATACCTCCGGCTCCTGATCCTCAGCCTCAGCTCGGCCACCATGGGTAGCTTTTCGATCGCGAGTACTTACCTAGTCTTTGAAGGGTTCTGTCAACTTCTGTGTCCCGAAGCCATACTTACAATACACCGTCAACTCAACCTCGACTCTGTCTGTAGAAACTTGGTAGAAACAAGCCTACGCTCACTCTTATCCATTGGGAAAATGGAAATGTCCAGAAGAAAGGTCATCACCGTTGATAGTACATATGTGCATAGCCTTGCCATGGCGAGAAGATGTGTAGAAGCCGCCTTTACATCGGACCACTGAAACCGAGCCTAGGAAAGAGGAGTTCACATGTGCAGCATCTTATCAGCAGAGAAGAACGACATACTATCAGCATAACTCGGAGCGTCAGTCTCTGACCATGCTTTCCAGAGATGAACGAGCATTTGGTGACCTACGGTCGAGATTGAATTAGATCGAGGATTTCACTGGTATCAAAATCATGGACAATCTCGCTTTACCTCACCCAGATGCAGTCCTCTCATCAGCCCATCCGAACGCCCTTCCCATCATCGTCATAATAAAATTCCTCCACGTCTTGATCTGATGGGTGTTCTCAGGCATCGTCTCCATCCTGGGAGCTCCTTCCTTAATACCTGAGCCCATAACCGCTGCTATCCCCCGATTCATGTTGGGTACAGATCCTGCCCGTCCAAGCCGTACTGTCTCGTAGGTTATGGTTTCTTCAGGTGGATTGGTCGCCCTGTAGGTGCGCGTGACATTTTCTCGATCGTATCGGATATGATGAATAGTAAAGCAATAGCAAAAGATGCAAGTAAATATGATCGCGAGCGATTCTAATATAGGCATTGAGGATGCTTCAGTGAAAGATGGGACAAACGCAATGGATGGAAGAGCTCACGGAGGTTTATAGCGCCCACAAGCTCGTTAACATAATCCAAATCAGCTGCGTGATCATACACCACTAGGTTGGGAACTTCGAAACTTGCAACATACCATGAGGCTGCGTACCGGTGAAGAGAAGATGCAAGGACCCCAAGCCGAGGCCTAATATCTGCACTTGCAACGTCGAGATTCCGCATGTTGAGCATATAATTAGGGGTGTTCCAGGTCATACGCTGATCGAGGACATGAATTACTGTGGCGACACCATTCTTGGAGATATAATGAGTTTCTGTGGCGGCAGTATGGGAGAAAGGATCTGTTCGCTATCGCTACATTGTTATCTCCGCCAACAAAGTACAGAGTTTCCCAACATGTGCGACAAACCGTTCACTATAGCCTCGTTCAGAGTTGGAATCGAAAGAGTGTTTAAACACTCTTTCGACAGTCGTTGAACGGTATTCGAGTCTTGGCGGTCGAAACACTCCTCTGTGATCCAATCAGGAGCGTTGCCGATTGAATACTCCTACTCGGCCATCACAGTATTCATTCCTCCTCGCTCCTGATTGGCTCACAAAGGAGTGTTTCGCCGCCAAGCCTCGAGGACTTCGTCAACGACCGTCGAAAGAGTGTTTGAACACTCTTTCGACGTGAACTCTGAACGAGGCTTATGTGTAGGCCTCGATTGAACAAGTGTCGTAGAAGGTATGTCAGACTGCTTCAAGCATGGAATCTTACATACCGGAGACGATCAATATTCGCATGCCATATCACTGGCGGCTACGATCAGCGTAGTATCGAAAACATAGTCCCTCGCCCATAGCACAGACTCCCCGTGAAGAAGCGAGTCTGCGAACCAAGCTCCCTGAATCCACTCCACCAGTCACCTCCGAGACTCCTCAGATTCCGTGGTGTGTTAGACTTCGATTGTACGAGTACCCAGGGAGCCAAAATTGGATCCATGAGAGTCGCCTTAATCTCCTTCGGTCTAACAGGGTGGGTGCCGTCTAAATGTACATCGTGGATGACGCAAGGAGTGAAAGGAGCAAAAGTACGTCGGCTCTCCCTTCGTCTCCGGCTCTCACTGGATTTTATGTATAAGATGAGTAGGCACTCATATATATCTCAGTTTCAAGCGCTCTCTTTCAACCACGACCTCAGATACACAACCGCGGTGATCATCATCCTACCTGCAATAAACACAAACACAGCCACAACCGCCGCCATCTCAAGACCTCGATGTCACCAACGTCCCTCTCGGCCTCCGAGGCAAAGCGCAGGTTCGGTATGGAGAAATAAATCGCGCTGTTTCCCAAGAATTTGACACCACAGGAGGAAGAGAATGTGAAAGTCGTGCTGGAGTATATGGAGGTGAGTGAGCCCGCTTCTCGAGTTTCGTCGGAAGCACGAACACTACCCTTTATTTTTATTCTCATTTTCGACCTGTCATTTACTTGGCATGAGCGTATACTCATCGTACTGACATCGTATGCAGATAGCATATTCCCCCACAAACGCCGGCTCTGACTCCGTGGCCCACCTCTGCGCCCCGGGAAACACGTTCGAAGCCCGTTCCACCTTCCCCGATGCGCACACCGCTGAGGAGTACGCGGAGAGCCACGCCAAGGTGATGCATGCGTTGAATAATCTGGAGATTGTGAGGTTTGACTATGTGATTGCTAAGGGTGCGTTGTCGTATCTTTCGTCATCGTTCTTCCCTCCTCGAGTTTTAGAAGTGCCAGCCTCTTATGTACGCTTCAATGCACATATGACGAACACTCATCCCTTATTCTCCTGTCCCTCATCCACTACATCCATCATAAAACATCATGAAACAATACTTACTGCGTTCTCCTTATGTCGGCACACACAGAGAACTTCGTCTCCCTCCGCTACACAGCAACAGGCTCGCATGTCGGCGCGCCACACAACGACATTCGGCCTACAGGACGTCGAGCACAGTGGACTGCATGCGGAAACTTTGTGCTCGACAACTTCAACACTGCAGCTGGAGAAAAATCGAGGATCAGGAAGTGGTTGAAGGGTTGGGATAAGACGCAGAGTGAGTTCTAGTCGTTCATCCCTCCGTTGATTTCTTGTTCCTCGGTCGTTGTTTTGTTTGTTTGGTGAATCCACATCTCAGTCCTCGGTGCCACTCCTTCGCTTCGATCCTCTTCACTCTGTCCCACGGGTTTCTGTTTCCTCATTTCCAAGGCATTTGGACTGATGGTATCATTCTTAATTTTATCGATGTTTTAGTGTGGCAACAATTAAGATGGGTCAGGCCCAATAACGACAAGGTCTAACTCGTGGTCGAGGATAAATGCTGATTGACGGTGACGGAGATAGGTCCTATGCCGTCGATGTCTATCATAAGCGATTTTCCAGAGTTGTAGTGATCGACATTGTCAAGAGTCTGCAAAACAGAAGACGTCATGTTGGTAATATACGCATCTACCATAGCGGGCTCAGAGCTGTTGTGAAGGTGTTGGAACGTTTATCGTACTAGGCGAATATAAGCACAGAGACACAATCTAGTCACCACCAAGATGATTCGTCAGAGGAGTATTGCCCAGGAAGGAGAAGGGAGGAGAATAGGCTCACCACAGCGCACCGAGCAGTCCACTAATAGTGCCAGCTTCGAACGAGAAAGTCGTCTCGGCTCTCAAGCTCAATAACCGGTCAACAGAGCAGTCAAAAGACCTTCTATAGTCGCAGAATTGACACGACTAGTCGCTACTAGAGTAAAAAGACAACGAAAGAGGGATGAACCACCAGGCGGGTAACGCTCACGGTGATTGTGAGAGGAGGAATGCGGGCGTCGCAAATTTGGCGCGCATGGCTCTGTTGCGGAGAAATCCGGAATCAGTGCCACTGGGGCGCCCAATAAGCCCGGAGTAGCGCATCCTGTATACGCGGTGCAGTAGTATGGCGGGGTATTGTGAAGTACCAAATATGTTTATGGTTGTTATCTTATGGACTTAAACCGTACGCTGGAAGCGTGCAGTATGCGATTCTGGGACAGGCTCTGTGGAATATAAGCGTAGCGGGTCACGGGAGTTGCGAGCTCGGTGCAAGTATTATTCGCGATCGGTTGCCTTCTTCAGAGGAGCGCCAATACCGTATTGATCCCCTAAGCTCGACATCGTCTCCGTCGATATACCACAGATATCGCTCCCGAGTATGCATCCAAGTCGCACATTAAATGCTCGAGTTGACGGTACTTATCTCGATTCCAACTCCCCCGACAGTGGCGTGTAAGACTGGAACAATGTATATATAAGTACGGTATAACCACGGGATCATTTATTGAAAACCTTCACCACCGAGGTATCTGATGAGATACTGAACTGTCCAGGTGAAGCACCTGGAACGATGTCTACCGAGAGACCATTCCGCACCTGACGGAGTCGAGAATGTGGGATTTCCAGAGATACAAAATACTCCTTAACAGATTCTTGATTCCACGGTCCGGCTACAGTCATCTATCAGCAATTTTGCAACCAGGTTGATTGTTCAAGAATACTCACCTGGAAGCCGTACTCAAACCCGAGGCGCCTGAACACGTACTTCAAAGCATCTAGATCGCCCAACTCATCATACTCCTCTTCCCATTCCTCATTCGTCATTCCTTCCCGTATGATCGAGCATCCGAAATCTAGAATGAAGGGCCTGTATTTGCCACGGCCCACCGAGACTAGGTGTATATTATGATCGTGAATGTCCGTATGGGCGACCCCTTTGCGTTTGAATTCTCGAAGAAGGCGATGAAGTGAAGAGTAAACCTTGCGCGTTATGCGCGTCGCATCGTGGTGGAAAGACGCCAACGGTTCTCCATCAAGATATCCGAATAATAAAATGGGGAGACTGACAGCGCGTTCACCAGGAGGACTCCATAGCGTTCCGGAGGCGTAGCATCGAGGAATGTGGCGGCCTTGGAAGGAACGGAGGATGGAATAGGCGCGTTTTTCGGTATTGAACATATCAAGCATGGTGTTCTGGTAGAATAACTCCCATTCGAGAGGGTCTTCCGTGCCAACATGATGTGGGTGTATCAGTTCGCCATCCGGGGATCGCTTAGCGGGCATTTCGCGCGCCTTGGTCTCAAGTTCTAAGTTCCACGGGTGATCGTCTTCGAGACGATGCTTCAGGAAGCGCGAGTCGAAAATCTTCATGACGAAGATGTCTGAAGGTGGCAAGTGAAGACGTTGTGATTCATCGGTGGAAATTTTGACGGTGAAAACCTGGCTCGTGGTCGAGGACAAGTGTTGAACTACTGTGACGGTCACACGCCTCGCCGCGCCGAGGTCGAGGGTGAGAGGTGTACCAGCGTCGTAATAGTCGGTATTATGGAGGTTCTGGATGGCTAGACAAGCATTAGAGGTTGCATCCTGCAGAAAAGATTGAGTCTCACCACTCATCCTTGTTCACAACGAGAAGAGTCTCAGGCGAGACGAACGTTTTGGGAGCTTCCCTGATACGTTTGAATGTGGTCTTAATTTGTGCCCACCGCCTCGGTACCGCCCGACTCGGAGTCCAAATGTCGGAAGACCCCGGGATACAGCACCTCGAAGTTCCGAACTCGTTCAGTGTTCTGAGAGGTTCTGAGCTCCGTACCGTCTTGAGATGAGGAACCCTGGGGCACTTATAGGAAGGTTTCACGAACGGCAGCCTCAAGGGTGGGTGATGGTACATACGCAAATTTCTGGGAAAGGTTCAGCACCTGATACTGGCGTCATTTAGGTGGCGTTAGCACCAAGTTAGCACTGTAACTTTCACCCTTATTTTCACTCCTCGGCTCAAGCTCACGAATCCTAATCCGGCGTTCTATAGAAGACGGGAAAAAATGCATTAATTCCGCGGACTCAATCTGTCTTACTCCGGATAATCGTCAATTATTATAAGGATGACTGCACCTCGCGAACAGTACTTACACGGTCTTTTGGAGACCTCGCTGCAATCTCTGTGCTCTGGGACGGGAGATACCTACTCAATGTTTCGGGATGCATTCTCTCTCAAACTTGCTACAAATACGGAACCCAAACCTTGTACACTTCATATAAGTGTCCCGGGTTTGCTGCGGCGAGTTCGCACACACAGAGCAGCCCCGTCCCTCGTCTCTCCCTCCTCTGCACTCTCCTGCAATATTCGTTCATCCAGAGTTTTCAGATCATCGGAATATCTGAATAAGATCCGTTCTTGTATACTCTGTAAGTGTCTTTAGCTTCGGTGCACTTATTCGATCTTTCTCCAACTTTGATTTAGCCGTCAACGGTACCTTTGACTTCAGGTCACGGATTATCTCGTCCCTGTCATGGCTACACAAGTAGTTCCTTCAGTCGTTTCCTAAGTCGTTCCACAGCCTGAAGTCATGCGTACCCAGGTCATCCCCCAAGTCTCTCCCTCATTCGTTCCTCCGGACTATCCCCAGCCTGAGGTTGCTCCCGAAGTTGTCTCCCAGCATGAAGTCGCTCCCGAAATCGTTCCTCAAGAAGGCCCCCATGTCGTTTCGCAGATCATCTCCGGAGTCGTTCCACATGTTGCTCCTCAGCCTGAGGTCACTGCTCAAGTCGCTCTCCAGGTATCTCCGCAGGTCGTTCCACATGTCGCTGCACAAGCCGCTGCACCTCCCGCTCCCCAAGTTGTTCCCCGGGTGATTCCCCAATTCGTTCCCCGAGTCGCCTCTATCGATCGAGGACCAGAGCTCAATCCTTATAACGTATGGCTTCTCCTTTCTTAGCAGGTGGCATGGTCTGTATTGCATATCTGACTTGTTTTTGACTCGGAAATACAGGCCAATCAGAGGCGTCGGTATGCAAATGTTTTGCGGAACCTCCCTTTACCCAATGAAGAACTTTTCCGTATCCATCAGCCTTCCGTAAAACTGGAGAAAGTTCACGGCCAAGGTACATCGAATTTAGGAGGCTTTTGTATTGGATGCAATCTCGAGCACAATAGGGTTGACATGAAGTGGGGCATATACGGCTGTAAAAAAAGGAAAATCACCAGGAAGGAATGTGTCGTCTGGGGGACCTGGAAAATCGATGACGGACCCAGGGTCAAGGATTTCGTCTTAGAGATGGCGGAGCTTCTTGGAGAGCAGGTCGACTCCGAACTTACAAGGTCGGCGTAGGTGATTGGTATGCCGCATGTAAAAAAACTAATCTCTGGCCGAAAGCTGACCGTCTCATTCTGGATCAGGTATTACCTTCATGGGCAAACACTTACTCTCTTCGTTGGAGTCTCTTGCAGTAGTGTACTTTGACGGAAAGGGTATACGGACTATCTACGTTCTAAATCTTCGCGTACATCGAGCTGTCAATCATCTAGTCCGCAATGAAACCAGAGAATGATACCGCGCCCGACTATCATGTGAACAGCATGCAGCTCTTACTGGGCAGGTATATGAAGCTTTCTACCGGACAATATCGTTTGTTTGATACAACTCGGACCCCTCACGATACACATTCATGGTCCCACTCTCATCTCCGACCGCCGACCTCCCTCTCTAACATCTCCGTCGCCTGCCTCAACTCAACCCCCGCATCTGAAGCCCAAGCCCACTAAAAAATCTTGCGTATCCTCTCCCCCAACTCCGTCATCCCCGCCCCATTCCCTGTGTCATGATACCCATTCAACGCGAAATCCAAGCCCTTCATCCGTGACCGTTCGGCGATCTTGTTCGCGAATGAAACACGGACGCGGGAATAGATTGAGAGGACTTGGGGGAGCGTTCGGAGTGTCGTTAGGGGGAGGGAGAGAAGGGAGGAGAGGATGAAGGTGGCCTATTGTTGTTTCGTGAGCGATGGATGGACCGAGCGGAGATGACGAGCGGAGATGAGATGCGTCGGGATAGCGAGTGGAGGGGGTGGGTGGTATGATTGGAATATGTGCACATACCTCTATAGCTTGACCCGCTCCTGCGCCCTGAAATGGTGTCATTGCGTGCGCCTGAAGAGTGAGCGGTATCAGGAGGCAGGTTTATTCGCGGACGCTGTAGTACATGGGGTGGCGTTTTGACAAAAATGATGACCTACCGCGTCCCCAAGCAGGACGACTCTGCCGTGTGAAAAAGTGTTGAGAGGTTTCATGACATTTACAGCCCATCAATTTACTGTCAGACTGTCTAAGCACTAAGATAATCCAAGATAATTCAGGCAATCGATTATCACGAGGACACAGAGGTCACGGAGATGATTGGACGAAAAGGGATGAAGACGTACGCTGGCAATTTGCTGGACGTCAAGCTCCCAATTGCTGAACGATCTGGACAACGCGCGCAAGTCTACTGTCGAGATCCATGGGTCTGTGTATAGTGATCCTTCTCTTGAGTAATCCGCTTCGAATGCGACGAAGTTGATGTAGCGTCCATGAGATATTGGATTGGCCATGATGTGCTGTAAACGCAAGTCGCTACCATCTGATAAGATGGCCATCGAGTGAGCCGGTCCGATATACGAAAGGAAACTCACTCATTTCTTCCTAGAAACTACGCAAGGGCAAGGAGGTCAGCGAGGGTTTACACATACCAAGACTGAAAGCCGATCCCGACCTGTGCAGGAACGGAAAGTGCTCGATTCTGGGGCGCTATTTGTCGGAGTTTATCCGCAGGGATAAGCGTGCGATGAACCAACCTCGGTTCGACTCGACCCCGAAGGTCAGCTTCTTCGTTGACCTGTCCTCTTTGTTCTAATTGCTGAGCCTGTTCGTTGAGCATTTTTCGACGGATCATGGACTTGATCCCGTCGGCGCCGATGACGAGGTCGCATGTGGCGGTTGAACCGTCCTGGAAGAGGGGCTGTATTGGGGCACCAACATGAGGGGGTTGGACGTAGTGGTGAAGACGCTTGGAATTGAAGGTTTTGCAGCGGGAGGAGAGTCGTTGGAGAAGAACGCTGTGGAACTCGGCTCTATGAAAGGTCAGAAGCCCGCCTAGACGACCAAGATAAAGACGGTCAGCGTCGCTCGATGGTTAGAAGAATTGTAAGAGGATGTAAGGTTGGTCATGGGCCAGGACGTAGAACAAAGCAACCTACATCCAAATCCCGAGACGCCACAGCTTACACCAACATAAAAGATAAGCTGACGTCCAGAAAGTAGCTCGACCCGGAGTCGAAACGGGATCTTCCGTCGACCATTAGGTCTACTCCGATGCACAATAGAGAACAGACGCGCTACCGTTACGCTTTCGAGCTAGATGTCTAGATGTCCTCTCTGGTGGACCAGTCGACATGTTAGACCCGAACACAGAACAGAGCAAGACGCGATTCACGAGATACGATAGTGGTTCACTGGAGACGATGTCGATGACGATGACGATACGTCCGGTTCGGATTGGGTTCGAGCGCGTGCTGAGGCTGATTTATAATAAGACTTTCCGCGGCGAAATGCGACGCGTGCAATGCGTAGAAATAACCTCAACCTCAGGAGCAATCTCGAACACCGAAGAGGAAAAAAAAGGAGACGAAAACACGAAACGCGAGGATCCAAGAAGAACCGAGAGGGACGAAGCAAACGAAACGCAAACACAAACACCCCTTCCATCGTCATCCCAAGCAAACGAAGATCCGAAGGGATCCCAAACAAATCTAAGAGAGAAACAAGAACACAAAGAAGCGCACAGTCTGCTGCCCCCCAATCACCTCTCTCATATTCAAGATCTTGCGTCATATCTGGCCGACGACGCGTTTGGTGCCGAGAAGGCTTATTAATGCGGATCTGTTTGGATTTGTTGTCAATGTGAGGGGGGGGGGGATTTTAGTTAGCTTAAGGTGGTGGACCACGTAAGTAGGAGGGGGTGCAAAGGATGAAGAGTGGTGCGAAGGATGAAATCGATTAAAGACGAGGGTGAGGAGGATGAAAGAGTGAGAGGGTGCGAAGGATGATGGAGAAGAGCGACACATATATCTCGGAAGCGACGCCGTAGTACCGTGCTACAGGGTCTTGCATAATAAACTGGAATGTCGCGCGTAGAAAAATCCTGGGCGCCCGAACCAAACAAAGCCGTAAGCGGTAAGTACTTTCGGCTTGGCTTCGGCAGTGGCGCACCTTAGGATTTGGTGACCGTTCGTTTCATCCATCTCCTCAGTGTCTCTCTGTGAGCTCCCTTATTCCCTCACCTAGAGCATACGGTATCGTGCTCTATGATAAAGAATTCTCGTCACTGTATCTGGCAGGAAAAAAATGTGGCCTTTTGTATCAACATTTCTGTTATGCAGACCGACGGCGTTAATCCGACGTCCAAGGCTGCCCGCTGACATCAACATAACTCCTTCTCCCTGGAAGTTGTACGGGAGATCGAGCGTTCGTTTACACGTCTTTTTATTGATGTTGTCTTTTCAATGGAGCAGATGAACGGCTAAACACACGTCGAAGCCGCCAGGACATTTGCGTGAAGGGTGGTGCCACACCATTCCTGCCGAGGATCGCCGAGAGGACCTGCCATTTACAGCTCTGTTTGGTCCAGGCACGCAACTTTTTTGTGCGCGCGACTTTCCAGTTTATTATGCAAGACCCTGTAGATGAAACGAGAATAGAAAAGAGAAAGAACAGAACGCACCGAACTCGGAGCCAATCCCCTGTACATTCCGGCTCGATGAGGTCGTGCGAGGAGGTGGATGCATTTGCGGAGGGAAGGAGGCTATCATGCAGGAGGAGCCGACTGTCGTGGGCGATGGTAGTTAGCAAGTCATTCATTCGGCCGGTCGGTCAGTACATGGGAGTGATACGAAGGAGGGTGAAGAGACAGGAAATCGAGAGAAGGGACGAACTAGAGAACTTCTTCTTGGCTGTACAGAGATCGGTGTCGTCCATGGCCCCAATCAGCTGTGTCTTGTGGAACGCCAGCACTTTGTTACGGACGGAAAAGAGTGCGTTTGACGAGCAGCGAGTAAAGACGAAGAAAGATGGTCGGAGGTTGGGACGACGCAATGTGGCGACGCCATGGTGATATTGAGGTGGCGAGGTGGCGGCAGGGGAGTCGGAGCTCCGATCCGGTTCCGGCGCGGCCCGAGAGGGCGATTTTTTCCTCGACGACGATCGTCACTCGAAACTCTCCACGACCGCCACACATCCCGCCTCGAAGATGCTCGCTATAGGGAGGACACAACTAGTACTCACTCTCGATATTCCTGTATGTGGGTGTGTACCGGGACTGCTGGTCGTTGTTTCTGCACGCTGTAGGCTTTTTATCACAGCCCCTCGTCGCACACCCCGTCGTTCCCTCTTGAATCGTCTAGGGTAAGATGAGTCCTCCCTCCGGTTCTGAATCACAACAACTCTCTCTACGACCACCCCCATTGTAACTCGAAGAAACCTAGCTCCCGGTATGCTCGTAGCTGGCTGCGTACCAGGACTGCTTCTCGTTGTTTCTTCACACTGTACTCTTTGGACCTCGGCTCCTCGTCATTTACACGCTGGCCTCTGGGAGCTCTCTCGCACCCCCTCTTCCTCTATCTATGGCCCACGTGTGCTGTGTAAGATTGTACCCTCGCACCTCAGCTCCAGCTCTTCAGTGACTCGCACTCGTACTCACCCTCATATCTCTCGTTCGCCAGTGGTCTCACCATGATCGTCCCCTCCTGATTCCGTACGGTAGGTTGGGTCATTGGCACGTTGCCTCACTTTAACTGCTACAGAAATATGGAGCTAATGGCCGAAGTTCATGCAGTGGCGAAGTCACTGTGAAATGACAGAAGTTACTTCGGTCACGAAATTCGCGTGATAAGTTAACTTTTGGCTGAGAAAAGTTAGCCCTCGAAGCTACTTCGCTCATAACCCAGGATGCTGAGAGATCGCGTTGACCAGAGGCTGTTCAGGTAAGCTAGATAATGACTGATACCCGAAAGCCCGTATCGCTCACTACTTTATTGTCCACCATCGAACCTAGCAGTCGTGTCCTCACGCATGATCGCCTCCGTCCACAACCTCGCCCCCGTGCACGCAGCATCTTCCTCGCGCGACCGAATTTAAGTGGGACTGGTTCGTCGCTCGTTCTGTCTTTTTATTCTACTGCCAGCACCGCGATTTTGTGCGATGTTTTTGCTTCGTTTTTGAGATATATACGCCACTCTTTTTCCCTCGCCCTTCGTCTTTCACCCATTGCGCCTATCTTTCTTTTCTCGTCGGCCAGATATAGCGCAAGATCTTGAACATGCATATGAGGGAGGTCATTGGGGGTAGCAGAATGTGCAGTTTTTTTTTTGGTTCGACTTTGATTGTCCTTGGTTTTCGGATTTTTTTTCGCCGCATCTCGTTTCTATCGCTCTTCTTCGATCCTCACGTTTCGTATTTGCGTTTCATTTTGCGCTTTTATTCGGTGGTTGAGGTTGGTTCTGCGGATGGAATGCGTCACCTTTCGGCCTCGAGCTCATACAATGCTCGAACCCGTTGTATCCCGCCCGATGCATCGTCATCCTCATTGTATCGGGTCCATTGTCTCGGGCGAACGGCCATTGTCATCGTCTCCGACCAAGGGCCATCGCCTCGGGCGAAAGGCCATCGTCTCGGGCGAACGGCTAGCTTTAACTGGTCGACTAGCTGCTTGGACGGGCTGCCTGATTGGCCGCACTGGTTGGCCGGCTGTCTAGCTGTCTAGTTTCCGTGGGTATATACTCACGTTCTTATTCACTTTCGGGGAGTTGGACGTTCGGGCATTCTTATCCCTGTTTGGGTGTTCATGCGAGGCTCGAAATTCGAACGAAGCTCGAATTTTGAACAGACGAAGAGCCTTACTCTGTATGATCCTTCGAGGCGCATGTGATGTATAGTAAATCGAGATCTCGTTCCATAACACCTCGAGCATGCGCTCCGTGTCATACTGCCAGAACATTAGCTTCACATTGATCGAGTGGTCGAGCTGCAGTACGTGCCGGAGACGTGTCGTGGGTCGTGGTCGTGTGCCGTTATTGATTTTCCCCTTCGTTCGAGTTCGAGTTGGGTCTTCAATCCGTTCTTCCTTACTAATAGACTGATAATAAATGATTTGTAAACACAGGTTACTGTCGTGCTGATGGTTCTGTAAGAGTTGCAGCCGTGTTGTCATCCTAATCCGAGACAGCCGTACATTCGTCGAGATCGATTTTTAGGCTAACATGAAAACACATGAACTGTCGATGATACATGCTTTCTTCTCCCTCTTCAACTCTTCATCGACCTTCACCACCCCCCATAACTCCATCACCGCTGCCTCTCTACGCAAATTTTTACCTGGCCTCGTGATTGGTCTGCCCTCGAATAGCTTTCAAAGTCGCTGCTGGATTCTGACTAGTTCAGTTCTGGGTTGCAGTGTTGGATTTGTGTCTGCGCACAGCTCTAAGATTTTGTGTGCCTGTCCCTCTGCATGTACGCGGTGTACGTCCTCGACATGTTTGGTATGCAAAATCTTCTTTGTTTGTTGGTCTCGTGAGCTCAATATCCGTAGATGTTGACGGCCTGTTCTCGACTGCTTCCCTCTGCCGCCCCACCTCATTGTATCTGCCTCATTGTCCCAGACTCCTTCAATCAGGCTACGCTGCTCTCTCCTTCCACCTCACATAGCTTACACTCCAAGCGTTCATTCCAGGACCGGCCAGATGATGCGACACGGACTCAGCTCACTCACTGAGACGATCACGCAAATTTTAATCTTATCTTGAACAATCACCGCTCGGCCCCTTCCTTGATGCTGGAATGACACTGTCTGAATCAGTTTCATGGTACGAGGAGAGGTGTAGATTACAATTCAAATTTAAATACTACGTTGCGCACACATCTTTATCGCCAATAGAGTCATTCAATTTGACACCACGAGTTTTTCGTAGACAACCAGCGAACCTGCCGACTTGACCGCTGCACGAACTCATCCGCGCACCCTCACTTGTCCGAATCCATCTCCTACTCGGCCTCCCGATACCTCGCAAGCACATGCTCATCCACCCGCGTCTCCATTTACACCTTGCACCCACACTCCGACGCTACCTACTCTTTGTCGTCGGCATCATGTTTTTGGGTCAAAACATCGGCAGCCCGTTCCGGATCCTCAAAGTCGCTGATGATCGAATTCAGAGCTCCGTTTACGGCCGCGTGAAAGACTGAGGTAGATTTGGTTTTTGGGAGCCCGGTTCCGTTTCGAGTGCTATTGACAGTATGCGCTTCCCATTCCCGTAAAAAGAGGAGGAACCGTGCGGTCAGGATCCCAGATACTTAAGGGGTGATGCAAAGTCGTGTTTCGTCAAAAACAGAACAATTTCAGAGTTACGACAATCCCTTAGAAGAACCAGAGAAGCCTCCACTGGACCAAGAGCAAAGGAGAGCTGACCACGTCTAAGTATGTAAGTAGCATGTAACCTCGATGAGTACTGATGCGACAGTTGTTCACGAAGGGAAGCATTGGAGAAAGATAGGATCTGTAACTATCCCGGCGTGGGACCGTCATAATAATAGCCGCCTTGCCATGACCTCGACCTCACCTTGAACATGAGGTCCACACACGCCACTGGAACTCAAAGCGATATGAGAGAGCAGGATTTCACTCTTCCTCCCATTCTTCCGTTCGTTTCATCCTACTGTCTATCTTCCAGCTATCGCGAAACATCTTCTCAGAATGTCATTTATTCTCAAATTCGTCTATATACTCTGCGGCTGCTCATCAGAAGGGACCGACGCCGAGACTGCATATGCGTATGCCGAGAGTCCCTACGAACGACAATTACAGCAACAGCTGCTGCCTCCACTGGGCGAGCAGCATGGATATGGTTCTGTACGTCAGGATCAAGACACCTTACACTCTGTGATAAATGAGCGTCCTGGAGATGAGCCAGTGCGAGGAAAGGGAGAGGGTACGGAAGGAATAAGGAGCTATGCGGAGGCAGTGGTATCGAGCTCACAACCAGCTGCTAGTCGTGGGGATGGAGTTGACGTAATATATAGGGAAAGGCCAATGGTGTGTGGCAGTCTATTTCTCTATCTCAGGCTTGACCTTTTAAACATTTCGATCTTCTCTATGGGTCGCTACTTTCCTCGGCGCCAATCAAATAGAATATTCCCATTGAGGGCTCAAATTACGCTACCTCGCGACACCTCCATTACACCCATGGGGATCAGATGAATAAGTTGGATTATGATGCAGATGCGATATTCCGAAGTAAGTATTAACCAGCCCATATTTCTGAAGACGTTATATGGAGATCCGGGGGCTAACGCTGTGTCTGTGTGGCCAAAGAGAAGAACTCGGTGAGTTGTCTGCTTGACGAACGTTCCCGAAACTGACTGATTTCTGTGCATCGTCTGCTCTGATCTCATGGGCATAGAAATGTAAACGCGGCGAGGTCGATCTGCATGGTCTCCGTATCTCAGATGCTGAGTTTTACACGGCTAAGTCAATACAAGAGTATCGGCAACGTGGCGAGTCTTCTGTTCGTCTTATCGTGGGTCAGTTATCAGCTATTATCCCCACTTTAGATCGGGCAGACAAACCGATCATATTCCAATACTGCGCACAGACATTCCTGTCGCTTTCCTTGATGTAAAACTAATGAATCTCGGCTTTTCTGCCACAAGGGAAGGGATTACATTCGGTGAATCAAGAGCCTAGGCTGCGTCCTGCGATGTCCAAGTATCTTCAGAAGTACGTCCCGTTCATGTTTTGGTTACACCATCCGCCACTATCTCAACCCCACATATAATCCACCCCATGCCCCAATGCTGAATAAAATATCCGAGCATAAAATTATGGTCATTGATCTGCGCCCCATTTTCATAGGAAGAACATCGTCGCTGTAGTCGACCCCATGAATTCTGGAGTCCTGATCGTCCAGCTTGAAGGTGGTAAACCTTCTCGCAAATCAATGAAGCGAGGTCGTGGGCCCAGATGAATTCGCAAGAGCGCTAGTTTCAGAAAGAACTAACACCTATCGTTGTCAAGCAAGAGTCCAGATCAAGGCTATCGCTTGATCTGTTTACTACAGAGTAGAGTATCGTGGTAGTGGAAACATACTCGCCACCGATAGCATACAGCGCCGGTAGATCGAAAACTCCAATGACCAGTGACTTCTCGTCGAATAATTCAGCCCTCTTTGGATCTTTAGTACCGCGTACAATTTAAGGGGTAGGAAGAGCAAAATCGCAGCGGAAAGCGACAGGTACGCGAGAGTCAAAAAGTCTTATGAAAAGGGTAAGGTCGAATAGTCGAAGATCAAATACAAAGAAGGGACTTGAGCGAGCATGAGTAGGGCGATGATGCACTTACGTCGAAGATCGAAACTCGAGCTCGTCTATCCCGGTAATTATGTATATGCGTTAAGGAACGACCGATAAATATATCTTGTCTTGCTATGCCACCAACCTCGCTCGAATTATCAACGACATCCTTCAGCAGAATGACTTGCTCTGGCCAATAGATCAAGGGGTGTCGTGGCGATGGTGCATGGGGCCTTAGCGCGCCACAAACGATGGGCAATGTGACGGACGCGGAAGTCGACATGTAGGTGGATGCGATGAATCTGGAGCTGGAAAACGACTGAGCACTCGACAGCAGATATGAAGAATAAATACTGTCCGAGTGCGGGGCGTGGTGGCTGTCGAAGGTATGTTGTTAGGAGCTAACAGAGTTTCATGGAGAGCGCAAGAGTGACGGTAGACATGGTGGTTAACGTGAGACAGTGAAGAGACTTATCAGTTCTGGGCATCACGATGATCTGGCGACAGGAAGATCGGAAATATTGGGCAGAAGGGGAGAGATGTGGACTTTCGTACCGTTCAAGCCCCATGAAAGGCAAAAGCATTAGATTACGAAGCTGGACTGTGATATCTTCCGAAAGAAGACTACCCTCACTAGTCGCCATCCCCCGGCCGGATGCTATGAAACCCACGTACATAATTGCCGTCCGTCGAGCCCCTCCTCCATGGCTTCCTCTCCTGTTACACCACACAAAGAGCCGTCGGAAAGACATCGTCTCAATTCTGGTAGTTTCTTATGTGTGGATATTTCAAGGGCTGGGCGAGGACGAAGTTGATGGGAAATCGTTGAGGAAGAACTGCTGTTTATAGTCGGATCGTGTGGAAGAGCCGCGTCTTTCGCAGTAATAAGAGAGGGTCCAGCTAGAGGAGGTGTATTAGGTATGATAGAAAGGCAAGGAAGGTCAGTGTTTCACGGAGCATTTTGTGGAAGAAAACAATCGGACAAGCCTTCAGACCAACATCTCGAGACATCTTCGCCTCATAGCACGTCCATTATTACGTCCATCCTTCGTAGCGCGAGATTGTGTGGCCATTTATCAGCACAGATCGTCAACCTCTGTGTATCGTAGGTAGATGCACAGGTATTATGACGGAGTAGTCGGGCGAAGACCGGGTCGTACGAATGTTCGAACGAGGACGAGAGTAGTGGAGCTTGAAGAGGCGAGTAAAACCTATGCATCATGACGAGGGATGGATAGGGGTTGAGAAGGGAGGTGAGTGATGGAGCTGCAAAGTGGGATGGTGAAAAGTGGTGAATCCATGAGAAGCTATATGACTATGTGGCAAAGCGGGGACAGGAATTGTAGGAAAAATAATTGCTGACGTACCTGCAAACTTCCGTCTTCTCCTACACCGGCAGCGCATGCGCACTTGAACGATTCTCGCTCTCATGTCTGTAGAAGCGCTACCCCGCATGAGCCTTGTATCATGCCCATCTGCGCTCACCCCGATATTCGCAACGGTGAACACACTAGTCCTGCGACTAAACTAATGCTGCATGGGCAGTCTCCACGTAAACTTCGAAAGCTCTCACCACATCCTGCAAATTTGGTCTCGTAGCGCATCTAGAGAGAACCAAAGCAGCGCTTAATCGTCAAATTACAGAGTACTATAGAAACTTTAGAGCCTAGCCAAGATGAGACTATTGGTGGCAGAACATCGCTAGCGAGAGGCACGACGAGCTGGCAAAGATACAGCTCGAGTATAGAAACAAGCACAGAATACGAACGTAAGTTTCAGCGCGAAGCTGATTCGAACGAACGAGGCAGAGAGGGAGTTATCAGTGACATTTGAGTCCACATAGTCGACCACTGCACATTTGTGTACATCCAGTCGAAGACGAGGTCGGAGCGGGGACGACAAACGCACGTCGAAAATAAGATGTCGAAAAAAAAGAATACAGGGAGAAGAAAGCAGATCGTCAACAATCGAGTAACATTTCTCACGAGGAGACATTAAAGACGGGCAAGATCAGACCACGGTAGGTCACGCTGACGTGAACGAATAGAGAGGAAACTGAATGTTAAAACAAATAAATAACCCAAGAATATGACCAAAGAAAAGAAACGTACACTGTGCTGCCCTCCAATGACGTCTCTCATATTCGAGATCTTGCGCCATATCCGGCCGACGACGTGTTCGGTGCCTAGGACGGTAATTATCGCTGGTCTGCGGACGAAGAAGGGAGTGAGGAAGGGAGGAGGGAGGGAGGGAAGCAAGAGAGAAAGTGATCGTCAGTACGAGTTTGAGTTTGAATCCAGGACGGGGATGGAGGTGGAAGGGAAGTGAAGAGGAGAGAAGAGAAGAGGGGGCGGTGGGCGGAGATAACAACAGAAAAAAAGAACACCAAAAGTAACGCATATACGCAACTCCCCCGTCCATCACATCGAACCAACAACGCTGGGAGAAGAATAAAAGAAAGTGGAAAGAAAGGACGCACTGATCGGTCCAGTCCGCTTTACATTTGAGCTCAATGAGGTCGTGCGATGACGAGGCTGCGTTTGCGGAGGCTAGGTTGCGGAAGGAGGCGATCATGGGGGGGAGGAGCCGACTGTGGGGCCTGATGGGAGTTAGTGAGAGTGACAGGAAGTAGGGATGAAGAGATGGGGAATGGAGACGCGGAAGACGAGGAAAGAGGAGAGGAGGGGAGGGGAGCAACGCACTAGAGAACTTTTTCTTGAAAGTACAGAGATCATTGTCGTCCATAGTCTCGGTCAGCTGTGTCTTGTGGAAAGCGAGGAATTTGGTCCGGACGGTGTGCAACGTTCATCAAATCTCAAAACCACGACATAGAACAGGAGTGAACGCACCTTTGCGATCCCGCCAACTAAACCCTTGCCCATCACACCGCACAACATCCTGCCCCGGCGAAATCTGGATACTAAAATCGTCACCACTTATACTCCACATCTTCTTCTTCATGACGAGCGTCTCGACGTGGAGCAGGCAGAAGGCGGCGTTGAGGCCGATGGGGAGGCGGAAATGCTCGAGGAGGACGGATTGGGGGGTGGAGTGGCCGAAGAGTCCCATTGCGGTTTCGTGTGGTGTTCGGTTGCGGGTGGGCGTTCGTGGAGGGCATGGGAGGGTAGATAGCGAGGTTTATAGCGAGGAGGAAGGGGGCGATGCTCAAAGCATTCGACCTACGCGTCGAGTGCGAGCGGAAGCAGGGTCGGACGTTGTGCACGCTGGCTATGAGCGCTCAGTATGCGCATTGTTTGTGCGTTCTTGGTGGTCGTGTTCATTGATTCTTCGTCTCAGAGAACTGCGCCTGTTCTAGGAAGACAGACTACCGACTTCACGCTGAGGTTAGTGCTGGGTACCAGGGAAAAATCTAAGTGAGGGCGTGGATCTGGTGGCCGAGAAGGAGAAGTCAAAGCGAAGCGAAGCAGAGATTCAGGGGAGGCTGTTGGAAATCAGCTTGTGCAGCTCGACGTTGCGAGACTTTTCGCGAGGTTTCCACGGTCAGGCTGAGTCAGCTGCGCCACCCGGCTCCGCCACTTTCAGTACATTGTAGAATATTCTAGTATAATTTGTACAGTAGTATAAATACATGAAGAGTTTACCTGTGTAGGGCATCGGTTTGCCCTAACACAAGCCAGCCTCACAGCTCAGTGTGATTGCAAGCCCTCTCTGATTTCTCGTGCTTTTCTCACTCGCTCACGAAAATCCAACAGAGGCAACAGAACGCAATAAATGTTCCGGGACTCGGAGAGCTATCGATGCAGACCCCAAGTGCTTGAGACTCTCCAGACTCTCCAACGATGACGAAAGGCTTCCGTCAAAGAACAAATGTGAGAGAGACGAAAGCGAAAAAAAAGCGAGAGTTTCTGGAGATCGGAGGTTATATGTTTTACTAGTGCTTTGGACATAGATACCGCCATGACATGCGCCATCGAGGAACAGCCCAGACAAGGACTCGGTCGAGAGAGGGCAAAGAGAGGGTTGAGAGCGTCGGAAAAGGACCGGTAGTTCCCGTCTCCATCAACGGAACGACAACCACGTGGCACAAGTCAACTGTATTGTTCGCTCTGAAGGATCAGAGACAGATGCGCTACCGTTGCGCTATCGAGCTGTAGTTCCATAGCTCCCAGACAGATAACTGAGTAATGGCCCAGGATGTGAAACAAAGCAACCAGCATCCTAACACCGAGTCGTGGCAACCCTAAGCACGATCAAAGGAAGAAGAAGAAAAAACCATGACCTTTAGGGATTATTAGCTCAACTCGGAGTCGAACCGAGACTTTCTGTCAATTGTAATAAGCACCTCAAAGAGCACAAGTGGAGGGAGAAGCTACCGTTGCGCCACCGGGCTGTAGTTCTATAGTTCCCAAGACAGATACCAAGGATGTGAAACAAAACAACCAGCATCCAGCGAGTCGGAATGGCTCAAAGTAAGAAATACGAAAGACAATGGGGGAAAATGATAGCTTCGTTACACCTCCAGTAGCTCGCCCCGGATTCGAACCGAGATCTTCCTGCCAATCATTAAGCCCTTGACTCAAGCATTGGGGACAGACGCGCTACCGTTGCGCTATCGAGCTATGTCAATAGCAAGGCGACCTGCATGATGGCTCACCTCTAGATGTAGATTCCTCCGTTTGGGGATGTGACCCAGAATCCAGATCAAAGCAAACGTACCCAAACCCCAAGCACGACCCACTCTGTCCCTCTGAAGCAAAAGAAAGGGAAGACAAAGAAACTAGAGCCATAAATATCAAAAATTGACCTGCACGCTCCATAGTTCGACTCGGAGTCGAACCGAGATCTTCCGTCAACAATTAGGTCAATTCCGATCCACAATAGAGGACGGACGCGCTACCGTTGCGCTATCGAGCTAGATGTCCTCTTTAGTGAAGTTGTGAACCAGTTGAGATGTTAGACCCGAACACAGAACAGAGCGATCACTGTGTTCCCGAGTCCCCGAGTCTGAGCACGCCGATTAAGAAGAGAGCGCTAGCAAGTCGTCATGAGACCCCCACAGCCACGATAAAATGAGCACATATAGAGAACAGGAGGACGACTCAAGAGACTCGAGAGCTGCCATGGAGGTTGAGGACAAGTCGAGAGCAAGTCGGAGTTGAGAAGTTTTGTGAGCCACCACTGCCGGCCCGCCATCCGGCATCCCGAGCGGACCCGATTGAGGCGCTTGTTTTTTTTTACAACCACCACCATCATTCGTGTTCTCTGCTGCTCTCTGCTGGGTTTTTGTAGGCGTTGTCGAAGTACTGCGTTTTTATCCTCGAACGACTCCATTCGCACCTCTAGATAGAAGGGTCTCGCATAAGTCTATCCATACACACTGTCTCTACCCCATGGAGTCTCCGAACTCGAACCCGCGACCTCCGAGTTGAAGACCTAAGTTCTTGACAGATCGTGGATCTCTCTCTCATCTTGTCCAACCATTCAAATGGAACGGTCGTTCGCAGATTCTTCTTTCACTTCAATACTTACAGAGTTATAGAGGCTCTCCTCGAGCCGATTGGTGGGATAGCCGAGGATAGCCGCGTCATCGAGGGATCCTCGTTATGATCACTGCTCGCTTTGACACTGGCCCGAAATGGCCGCTCGGGAGTTGATGTGGACATGTTGTGTTTTGTTGCTATAGCTTGACTCTTATAGTCGGGATCGAATATTGGACGATGAATATTGATTGCTTGAGATACTTGACTGCTACTTGTCTAGTGCTTCAGTCCTGCGCATACTCTGGACGACTGGAAAGTGTGACACTCATATGATACTTGTTCTTCCATGACTCTGAGCGTTCTGGTCCGGGTGTGATGGTTAGGTCAAGGTTGAAGTATGCGAAAAAAAGAGTCGCAGCTCGATGTGACGGACGGCTGCCATCCGCATCATCATCTTCTCGCTGGCATTGTCCTACTCCCGGCGAACGATCCCCATATACGCCCATCATCAAGCTCGCTCTCCCCCTTTCTCCTCTTTCTCCTCTCGCCCCCTGTCCTCTGTCCTCTGTCCTCTGGTCTGGGCCACACACCACATGATGACGTTCGCAGTGCTCCGCGCGCTGGAGACCATCATCGGCGAAGCCAGCAACGACATCGAACGTGTCTATTCCTCTACCCAAGTCCCTGCCAACCCGCACTCCTCCTCCGCCTCGCCCTCCTCCTGCCCGCCCAGTTCCTTCTCCCTCTCCTCCGGCACATCTTACGATGCAGACAGAGATCGAGACTGGGAGCTCGAGTCGTCAAAATTTTGGTCTGCAAGTTGAGTGCGGATTCTACCGCATCGTACAATATCATGCGTTCAGTATACTAGGTGTACGTGATATTATGACAACTGTCGGTCCATGAATCTCAGAATCCTCTGTACGGGCAGTATCTCGGGTACGTATTCGGAGGAGGCAATGGTCGATACAGATATGTAAGCTTAGATTAGGAGCCGAAGGGATGCTTAAAGTGCACTATGACTACTCGCCCCCTACTTGTGCCAAAAACTATCTTGTTCTCGTATACCTTGAACTGGAATCCACCGAGACTTTGAGGTACATTACATACCCTCCCATGAGCTCTGTTTGTGATCCAACGTCCGAGTACCTGGAACTGATAAGTATCGTCCACTCCGTCCTGATCGTTACTCCAAGTCAGGATATCGGGTTTCTCCGACACATTGAACGTCCCACAGTTAGAGCGTAGCTTAGATCCATCCGAGGAGAGGTGCAGCCGCTCGATTCTCTCAGAGGGCCATTTGACATCGATGCGCTGAAGCTGATTCTGGGTGTTGACATCAATGACGACTAAAGATCCGTCACTGCTAGAGGCGACTACTAAGTAGGATTCGTCGAGGGAAAATGCAAGGTCGTGTACCCAGTAGTTCGTTTTGAAACTTGGAAATTGAACGGGTTTGGAACCAGCGCCTGGCGAGAAGCAACAGATGGTGATAGCGTGGTCTGTGGCCCAGCAGGCTGCAAACGTAGCGCCACACGCGACAACAAAGACCTCAGTATGCCCAGGGTGGCGGAAGACGTGCTGAGGTCTTTGTTCCCATGTATGAGTAGAGTCTGTTTCATACACGGCTACCCAGCCACTTTGCATGCCAAGAGCAACATGTGCACCGTTCCAGGAAAAGCACACCGAGTAGACGCCGCCTGAACGCTCCATGATGTGGCCACTGTGACGTCCCCACTCTTCACTAGGCCTGAACTTCACGACGCCGTGCTCCTCATAGTATGCCTCGCCTAGGTCATCGGGGCTCGTCCTGTACATCGACGCGGTGCCATCTTGATTTCCTGACAATAAGAGCGTGCCGTCTGGAGAGAATGCTAAGGCAAGGCCCCAGCAACGCGGGGGGTCGCCTTTCTGAGGAAGTGGTGGCAGCAGTGCCCCGCTGCTTGCATTCCAGACCAGAGTCTGGCGGTCGAAGCCGGTCGAAGCTACTCGTTTCCCGTCGGGAGAGAAGGCAACACTCTTGACTCTGGATCCGGAAATGTGGCTTGGCGGAGGTCGAAAGGTGACGCGCTTGCCCAGGGTAGCATTCTCAGCATCCCATATGTTGATTACATTGTCCTGGCATGATACGAATCGACGGTCGTCACATGAATATGCAAGCAAGTTGACGGAGGAATGGCGTCCCTCGAAGACTTCCTGCAGAGTGCCTATGCCGTCACTGATATCCCATAGGCGGATGGTCGGGTCGTCGCAGTCAGTGATCAAGTTCGTGGATGCATGGCCGATAACAATTTGGTTTCCTTTCGCGGAGTAAGCTACGCTGACGGCATAGCCAATGTTGGGATACGTTCTGCTTCGCCATTTCGAACCCTCCTCGGGGCATAGACGGAAAACCACCACGCCGTCTTGAACTCGAAAGATGTAGACATCTGGACGGCCGCTGAATGAGCATGCTATAGTGTCACCTTCAGGAGACCATGCGATGGAAGTGATGCCGCGGCTTGAGAGGCTGGACTGGAACGGAGTACGAATGGTGGGCCGATCGAAACTGTAGATCATCACGCTGCACTCTGTAGTTCCAACCGCAACGTCGGATCCATTTGGCGCGATTGCTAGACAACTAATTGCCGCATCGCTGTGACTCGTAGATTGTTTGGACGCTGAGATAGAGATGCCAGACTCGGACCGTGCATTGTGAGGCACGATCAATGGATGAAAACCCAACGCGGTTGGGCGAGTCGGAGACGCTGTGGCGTCGGAGGATGTGTCGCGCCCGAACATTTTCTCTAAGCGTAGAGTGTGATTATTGTCATCCACCGTGGCAACACGATCTCCAAGACTAGAAAATGCCACCAAAGAACATTTTCGCCCTAGCTCTCTCTCTTGGAAAGATCCCCGGTTGATCTCCCATACACGAATGACGCCATCCTCGGAACCCGATTGAAGAAGACCATGTTCAGAGGTGACTGCAACGGATAAGACCTTGGTGGAATGGTTATCCAATGTAGACCGAACGCCTCCAGTGGACAAATCCCAAAGGGTAAGACCCCCATCCGCGGTACCGCAGGCCAAAACGGCGGAGTCCCATGAGATTGCCATGCACAATACATCCTGGTTTGCGTTGATGGAACGAAGACGATAGTCCCACTCGTCCCCGATTCCGGACAGAACATTTGCTTCTCCGGCTATGTCGTTGTAGAAGTTCTGGTATATGAGCGTTTTTTTGGGTGTAAACGGGAGAGCTGATATGTAGACTTGTAAGGCCGAGTCGTGGATCGCGTCATAGAAATCGAACACTAAGCGTTCAGCGTCCGCTAGAAGAACCAGCAGAGGGTCATTCTCTTGGCATACCCGAATATGGGGAGAAACTCATCGACGTTCTCGCGAAGCCTCTTGCGAGTTCCGGGGCACTTGAAACCCAGCTCCGAACACTCATTGTCGAACCTATGAACAAGGCGAGCATATCTATAGAGCGTCCAGGACCACATGTCATCATCATAGACGCACTCGACGAATGCACCGATAACGAACTGTTCTCCTCTCCCATACTCGGTGCTCTACTGGACCATTTCAAAGCCTTTCGTCAATTGGGGCTCAAATTCTTCGTGACCAGCCGCCCTGTGAGTGGGATCGTCTCCACCTTCAATAGGGCGGATACAAGTTCGTATCGGGATATTCTTTACCTTCACGACATGAATCCGACGACCGTCGACCGCGACATCAGAGCATACGTCACGTATACTCTTCAGGTCATGGCGCGAAATCGCCAGGGCCACGTTCCTCCGTCCTTCCCGGATGATGAAGTTGTTGAGTCGATTGTCAAAGCGTCTGGTCAGCTATTCATATTTGCTGCGACCATCTGCAAATTCATCGCGGACTCCAGCTATCAGAGTCCTGCTCATATTATGCATCAATTCACCACTACTTCTCCGACTACACCCCATGTAGAAAGGATCATCCGCTTCGAGGAGCTCGGTCGCCTGTATCAGTTGGTCTTTAAGGACGCATTTCGAGGGGAGGCGGATCGCAATAACGATAGAGCAAAATCCCGCCTTCGTCTCGTCATCGCCGCAATAGTGCTCGTATTCACCCCTCTTCCGAAGGACGACCTGGCAGAGTTGCTGGGGAGTGAGTATACACCTTCTGTCATTCAGATGCTGCTCACCCATATGCATTCTGTAATCCATGTACCAGAGGACGACACCAGACCTATCCGCCCTCTCCACGCCTCGTTTGGTGACCACATCACCACAAAGAGGGAAAGCACCACACCTGATGACATCAATGACTATTTCTACGTACACCCTCCGACGTATCACGCCTACCTTGCCGACTTCTGCTTTCGCGTCATGGAAAACCATTTGGTACGCGCGAATATATGCGGTCTGCCACGAAACGAGGACTACGTCGCCATCAGCAATCTCGCCGAGTGTCGCAAACGGACCCTCACTCGCGCTTTGGAGTATGCATGCTGCCATTGGGGTGACCATCTGGTAGCCGCTTTGAACGTTGGCGAAACACTGGCAGGAGGAGAGGAACATATACAGACCGTGATAGGTGGAGCCCGGAAATTCGCCACCGTACGCTTGCTCCGGTGGATCGACATTCTTAGCGTCATACAGGAGTTGGATAAAGCGGCCCCGATGTTGATGAAAGCAAGAGAATCCCTTACAGTAAGTTAGATGAATTCTGCTATACTTGCTTTGTCTGACATCATACTGCATCACTTGAAGAGACATTTGACTTCGGAAGCTGGTAGGCGATAGAGGGGAATATGCGCTTGATATCTCGGGTCTCGTCGAAATCGCGAGAGCAGAAAAAGCCAGCACGAAACAATCCCTTATCGCGTGTGTAGTCCGCTAGGCTAATTGAGATGGTTGTCTTGCCCGTGCCAGCCATCCCGTTTAACCAGAAGATGCGGTGGTCTTCTGGATCACTGATCCAGAGTTTCAGCTTTCCGAGTACCTCTGCACGGGTGTCTCCAAAGCACTTCGTCCGGCTCTCGATCGCCTTCTCGAACATCGCCAGACTGCTGTACGGAAGTTTGTCAAGTCGTTGAGCGTCCGCTGGCATCCAATTTGTAAGTAGGACTCGCAGCTCGTGGTTGCATTAGTGAACCTACCCAGCTCCTGGCAAAGGAAGATTTGTTCGGTTACAAAGTTAGCTTGTGGATATGGAATCGTTGTGTTCACCTTCAAGTACACATGGTCTTGCTGCTGCAACCCTAGCTGATAGTCTGCAATGGCGACCCTAATCTGATTCACGCAGTCCTCGAGGCGGGCATTGTTATCTGCACTATTGGCAAGCCGCATTAACATCCCTTGCTTGTGTAGTCGTCTCAGCTCTTGCGCAATTTCTCCCAAGCGCCTGTGCAAGTCCAATACTGGAGGTTAGATTGCTACTGTGGATTGGGACGGTATTGTTAGCTTGCCTTTGCACTTGCCCTCTTCGTTCCTCCTCGCATCGATCGTCTCCCGGAATAGGTTTGTTGAACTGGATTTCGAGGCGTAAGAGCCTTTGGTTGATATCTGCATGTTTCTCCTTGTTTTCCGCGGTTTCCTTGAGAACGGTGACAGTAAGCGCAGTCCCACCTAAGCAGAACCGATTCAACAACATCGACGCTTACATCCACAATCTTCAGAATCTCGATGAGCGCCAAAACCGGTGCCTTTGCCACGGGAAAGGCCTCGGTCGCTATACCACCAAACTTCAGAGCGATCTTGAACCAGCTATAGATTTGATGGATGCAGCTAGTAGGTGCAGACTCGGAGTCATCTTCAATTCTAGAGTCACTCATAGCGGGCGGTCTTGGAAAGAGGCAGGGACAGGATGGTATGATTAGCTGCAGAGAGACGATGGTTGCAGGTGGGAGCGAGGAGCAAACCTATATCTGTTGCACTGAGTTGATATAGATAATCTAAAATACCTTGCGCTCATGTAGACATGATAAATGATGTACTCACATGCCCTCTTCCTGCGCGCACTGCTCCTTGGGATAACCTCCATCTGGCCTCTGCCCTGCCTGGTTATCTTCGACGTGGTCGCTCGTAGCTTCCCTGCCACCATTTTAAGGCTCTGCCAAATTTGGTTCAGCCTTGAACTCATCACGCTTATGTGTATGTGCGCTTCGCCCGATGATTCCTTCTCCAAGACGCCCCACAATTCCCTCTTCAAGACGCCCCACAATTCCCTCCGATGATACGATGCTAGGCAGTGAAGGGTCTCTGTTACGTCTTGAACTGCGCCTTAGAGGTCCGGCAACGAGGAATCCCACCTACAAGGAGATGCGAAACACAAAAAAATCAGTGCACATCCACATCGATATCAGCAATCGTCAACTGCTGTGGCTGGCTCGGGTGTGTAAGGCTGGCGACTGATGCCATACCCTGCCATGCACACCACAGTTTTCTATGGTGTACATACTACCGTACGGGGAGAGACGCGCTCCAATTGCGCTATTGAGCTATTCTTCTGCATCTCTCAAGATGGATAGGTTGGTCATACCCCGGGCCCAGGACGCAGAACAACAGAGAAGCCCCGAGTGTGAGCCACTCTTTCCATCCAAAGCAAGAAAAAAGGAAGACAAAGGAGATGCACATCAGCGTCAACATAAAAAGTTCCCAGGACCGTCCCGGGTATACATAGTGCGACTCGGAGTCGAACCGAGAACTTCTCTCCACCCATATAAGACAACTGGGACACGATCCAAAGTGGGAGAGACGCGCTACCGTTGCGCTACCGAGCTATATCTAATGGCAAGGAGACCTCCACGATGAATCACTTCTGGGCACATTTCTCCTAGAGCCCTGGACGCAAAATAAAGAAGCATGCAGGCGACAACTAATTCCGAATTGTGATAGTCTATGCTTAAAGGCAGGCAAGGAAAGGCGAAGGGAAAAGAAAGACCCAATGGCAGTCGTAGCTCGACCCGGACTCGAACCGAGATATCTCTATCAGCTGTCAATGTGTCATTTGTTTGCACAAGCAGAGATGGACTGTAACACGCTACCATTGCGCTATCGTGACAATAACTGGATTATGGGGCCTATGTAGATGAGAACACAGAACAAAGCAGCGTGCAGGAGAGCCCCAAGTCCGAGCCCCAAGTCCGTCCAACGCGAGAGAAAGGGAGGAGAAAGGCGAAGACCAGCATAGGCTTGGCAAAAAAAATTGTACGGTCTGAGGAACAGGCACGTTACATACTATAGCTCGACTCGGAGTCGAACCGAGATCTTCCATCAACCATATTATAAGGTCCATATCAATCAAAGATCGGGAACGGATACGCTACCGTTGCGCTATCGAGCTATAGTTACTTATAGCTTGACTGCCTGCATGAAAGACCACTTCCGATCGCATTTTCCCCAGAGTCAGAGTCAGGACGTAGAACAGAGCGACCTGCATCCAAACCCCGAATCGGGTCACCCTGACATTAAGTGCGATAGGCGAAGGGAAAGGAACATATAGACACAATCGATAGTAGCTCGACTCGGAGTCGAACCCAGAACTATCTGTAGACCATAAGTCCTTGACTCAAGCACTGTTGGGGACAGACGCGGTACCATCACGCTACCGAGCTATTAATTCTTCCACGTCTCTCAATATGGATAGGTTGGTCATACCCCAGGACGCAGAATAAAGCAGCCCATAGACAATTCCCGAGTCTGAGCCCCTCTGTCCGTCCGAAGCAAGAAAAATCCAAAGTAAGACAGAGGAACTGCGAGCATGAATAAAAAAATAAAAATCAAAAGTGATCGTAAACTGATGGACATACATAGCTCGACCGAGATCTTCCCGTCAGCCATTTTCTGAAAACTGATAGACGGAGCAAGTGGACGCGGATGCGCTATCGAGCTATGACTACTTATAGCCAGATGTCTCCTCTGTAATGTAATGGACCAGTCCAGATCTGAGAAATCTGATCACAGAAGAAGGCGAATCCCCGAGTACTTTATGAGCCACTCCACCCGTTCCAAGCAGGGCAAAGGAAAGACCGAGAACCATCAACACAAAAAGCGACGGTGTAGCTCGACTCGGAGTCGAACCGAGAACTTTCTGTCAACTGTATTGTTCGCTCTGAAGGATCAGAGATAGATGCGCTACCATTGCGCTATAGAGCTGTAGTTCCATAGCTCCCAAGACGAATAAGCGAGCAATGGCCCAGAGTGTGAAACAACGCAACCAGCATCCTAACACCGAGTCGTGGCAACCCTAAGCACGATCAAAGAGGAAGAAGAAAAAAAATTGCCGTGCGGACTATTAGCTCGACTCGGAGTCGAACCGAGAACTTTCTGTCAACTGTATTATTTGCTCTAGAAGATCAGAGATAGATGCGCTACCGTTGCGCTATCGAGCTATGTCTATAGCCCGATGTCCTTTGTGATGGACCCCTCAAGACCTCAGAAACAGGGACGCAGGACGAAACAGGGACGCAGGACGAAGCAGCGTACATGCAATCCGCGAGTCTGAGCCACTCTGCTGTTTATCCCAAGAAAGAGAGAGGGAAGACAAAGAAGATACAACGATGCGTGTAAAAAGGTGATAATGATATCCTGGAAGTAGCTCGCTCGGAGTCGAACCGAGATCCTTCTCTCCACCCATTGAAGACAACTGGGACGGTGATCAAAGTGGGAGAAACGCGCTACCGTTGCGCTATCGAGCTATGTCTATAGCCTGTTTTCCTTTTTCATGAGCCGGTGAAGATCTCAGAAACCCGAGCACAGAACGAAGCAACCCGTAGGAAATCCCCGAGTCTGAGCCACTCTGTCCCTCTGGATCAAAAGAAAGGGAAGAAAAAAGACCATGACAAAGAGAGTATTAGCCCGGACTCGGAGTCAAACCGAGATCTTCCGTCAACAATAACAATCAAATCCACTCCGATCTATGTACAATAGAGAACAGACGCGCTACCGTTGCGCTATCGAGCTATGGTCAATACTATGCAAGGCGACCTGCATGATGGTTCACCTCTAGATGTAGATTCCTCCGTTTGGGGATGTGACCCAGAATCCAGATCAAAGCAAACGTACCCAAACCCAAACCCCAAGCACGAGCCACTCTGTCCCTCTGAAGCAAAAGAAAGGGAAGGACAAAGAAACTACAGCCATAAATATCAAAAATTGACCTGCACGCTCCATAGCCCCACTCGGAGTCGAACCGAGATCCTTCTCTCCACCCACATAAGACAACTAGGACGCGATGCAAAGTGGGAGAGACGCTGCGTTATCGAGCTATGATTCTATAACTCCCAAGACGGATAGGTTGGCCATGGTGCAGGACGTAGAACAAAGCAGCCAGAACCGAAGCCCTTAATCTGAGCCACTCTTTCCTTCCAAGGCGAGAGAAAGGGAGGAGAAAGGTGAAGACCAGCATAGACTTGAAAAAATTTGTACGGTCTATGGAACAAGCACGTTACATAAGTAGCTCGACTCGGAGTCGAACCGAGATCTTCCGTCAACAATTAGGTCAATTCCGATCCACAATAGAGGACGGACGCGCTATCGAGCTAGATGACCTCTTTAGTGAAGTTGTGAACCAGTCGAGATATTGACGTTAAAAGACCCGAACACAAAACAGAGCAAGACTGATGCGATGAGCGAATCGAAGGCATGTTGACCAGGATGAGAGCGCTAGCAAAGCATCATAGGCCCAAGAACCATAGTTGATACGATCAGAGAGAACTAGAGAACTAGAGAACAACGCGGAGACTCTAGGGCTGCCGGTGGATAGTGGAGGTTGAGAACAAGTTGAAGTTTTGCGCCACCGCCGCACACCGTGGCTTCTTTGCGTTCGGCCCGCTTTGGGCCCGCTAACCGGCTTTCCGAGCGGACCCGATCGACGTCGGACTCGGACGCGCTTGCTTTTTTCTCAATGACCACCATCATTCGAGTTCTCTGCTGGGTTTTTGCTGGTGCTCTCGATGCATCGAAGTAAGCTCCGTTCTACTGATGTCGAGGTCGACACAATCTCTAAGCTGCCCATATTTATCCCTTGAAGCTCCTGACCTCGCAGCGGCAAAAGTCCATCTGTTTATCTGCCCATCGAGTTCGAGCCGTTTGACAGATCGTGGATCTCTCTCTCAATTCTCAACCGAGCTCAGTCATTCAAATGGAACGCTCACCTTCCCTCAGCTTCTTTTCACTTTCATACTAATACAGTCATAGAGGCTCTCCCCGAGCCGCCTGGTGGGATCCCCGCGTCAACGAGGGATCCTCGTTATGATCAGTGCTCGCTTTGACTCTGGCCCGAAATGGACGCTCGGGGCTTGATGTGGACATATTGTCTTCTTATTGTTGCTGTGGTCTTGGAGTCGGGATTGAATATTACAATATAGCTTGAGTCTGGGATAATTGGGTGCTACTTATCCAGTGCTTGGGTCCTGGGATCTGCTTGCGACGTACTCTGGTGACTGGAACAGAGTACACGTATTCCTCCGTGAGCGTCCTTCTCCGGGAGTGATGGTCAGGTCAAGATTGAAGTATGCGAAAAGATCGGGAAAGAGTCGCAGCTCGATGTGACGGACGGCTGTCATCCGCATCATCATGCACTTCTCGCTGGCATTATCATCGACCACCGATCCCCGTATAAGCCCCTCGACAAGCTCGCCCTCGCCTTTTCTCCTCTTCCTCCCCTCGCCTCCTGTCCTCTGTCCTCAAAGCCGGGCCACACGCCGCCACGCCACACGATGACGTTCGCAGTTCTCCGCGCGCTGCAGACCATCATCGGCGAAGCCATCGACGACATCGAACGCGTCTATTCCTCCGCCCACGTCCCCGCTCCCTCTCCCTTCCCCGCCCACCCGCACTCCTCACCCTCGTCCTCCTGCCCGCCCAGCCCCTTCTCCCTCTCCTCCGGCACAGACCCCGACGCCGACGCAGATGGTGAATGGGAACTGGAGTCTGCGCCGACGTCGCCACAGAGCCCCGCTTTTCCGAATTTTCCGATCCCGCCGCTCCTTCCTGGTTTTCAGCCTTCTCCTTCGCCCGATCTTGCGACGGGGCCAGGTCTCAGGAGCGAAAGACTCCATGACTCAGAACCGAAACATCGACCGGAGCCCATTTCCACCGGCCATCCTCCCTCCACGCCCACTGCCCCCAACACCACCACAACCCCCCGTTCCCGCTTCCTCGCCACCCCCCGCGGCGCCACATCAACCCCAATAGATCCCCCACCCATCGACTTCCCGGACCTCGACGACGTCTACGCAAAGGACTCTCCCGGCGAGCAATTACTGTCCCATCCGGATGTCGGCGGCGCGGTGTCGAGGATCGTGGCGGCGGCGGGACAGATGAGTGTGCTTGTGAGGACGCCATTTTTGACGCTTTGTGATGCGGGGATGGGGGTGCGTTTTTCCTGGTTTCTGTCTTGAATTCTATTTTTTTGGGTGGAATGTGGAATGACGGGGTGAGCTCTGAGAGCCACATGATGCGGTGTGGCGCCACCCATGGTAGAATGTAGCGCCCGCCGCCGCGCACGAATTCGAAGTTCGCGGGTGGTGGTGTTAAATCGAGATATCCATCTTCCGTTTTGGAAGGAAGGGATGATTCGCATCTCGGGGATGCACGTAGGCACGTACGCTCGACGCGGGCCCGGAGAAGTATGTACCGTAATGCGACTTGTCGTGTGGCGCAGGTATGCGCGGCAATTCCCGGTCTACCTCTTTCTCAACTTCCACCTTCAGCCTCTAGCCTCCGCACTTCTGCGTTCGCTGCTTGGACTTCGATACTTGTGGTCCGGAATGAGCTCTCAACAGTGTCTTCTCTTCGTCCTTTGAGTTATGTCTTGCATGCGGGTGCGGAGGCGATGGAGACGTCGCACTGAAAAACCCCGAATATCCATGCAATGCAGATGTATCGATCGAGGGAAGGTCTTGACTGACCAGCCTACGACCCTCGCTCAGAGAGCTGGATATATGCGTATCACTGGAGATTTGCATCTACTTAGTTCCTCGGTTGCGATTTTGCAGCCGTTTGGTAGCCAGTACCGCCACGGAGCGTCGGTCGGTAGATATAGCATATATCTTGTTGTGGGCACTGCCGGGTCCTCGCAGTCTTTTCTTTTTTTGGTTTCATTTTTCGAATACGAGCATGAAGAAACGTATCGCTGACTATTCTCTCCCTTTCTTTCATTCCTCTCTTCTTTGCGACATATCCGCTCTCCTGCTCACATCCTCCCCACGGCACAAACAACAAACAGTATCACCTCCCCGCCTGCCTCCGCTTCATGGAAGCCACGAACGTGCCCGAGATCCTGCGCGAGGCCGGAAAGGAAGGCATGCATGTGGACGAGATTGGGAAAAGGGTGAAGGGGGTGGAGGCGTGGAAGATTAGTGCGTTTCTTTCCGTACAACCTCGTTTTTGGTGAATGGGGCCGATGACTGACTGACCTTACCTTCCACGTCCACGTCCACCTTTCAACCATTCGAATTTCATACCGCCGCCCCATCTGCTCACTCCCCCCTCCCGAACCTAACACACACACGAACGAACGAACGAACGAAACCCACCACCAAACGAAACTCAAACGAAACAGGCCACATCCTCCGCCTACTAGCAACCCATCACCTCCTGCGCGAAGTCGAGCCGGACGTGTTCGCGAATAATCGCGTGTCGAGCTTTTTGGATACGGGGAAGGGATGGGAGGAGGTTTTGGGGGCGTGAGTTGTTTTTTCTTTGTTTGATTTTTTGTTGTGGTTTTTCTAGTTTGGTTTTGGGGGAGAGGGGGTTGAGACGCGTGAATTTTCGGATGAGGAATCGGGGCGTATCGTCTCGGTTCGAGGAGTTGCTCGTTCGCAGGCACTCTCGAGCGACGTGCGAAGGATCATCGTGTCGTTTGGGGTCTCGTCCGTGAATCGCCGTTGTGTTCGCATAGTGCGTAGCTTGGGACGACGGCTCCAGAGTCGGGGGGTCGGAGTGGCTCTCTTGCTCTTATGACGAGGATCGTCGCGTTTGTGGGACGGGACACCGTTCGTTGGTGATATCCTTCTCGTTGAAGGGAGGGGCAACGAGTGACGAGTGTGGGCTGTCGGTTTCTCGGTCTCCACTCGGCGTGGCCATAGAATGAGCGCTAATACTTGGATTGGGGGAGGGTCTGTGTTCGTTCGTTTGACTGGTGTGCTTTGCTCCCGTATAAGGACGAATGGTTCCGTGGCTGATTGCTTGGTCCTTTCTACATCGAACTCTGTCGTTCGTGATAGACTCAGTTGGAACACATCAGGGACTGGTCCTCATTCTATTTTCGACGGTATCCAGCGATTCCTTTCTGATTATCGGCGCTCATAATACGTTCATTGATTTCTAGGCCGGAAAAGAAGTATGAGAACACAGAGGGGGCCGCCGCGTTCGTCGCGCTGAAGTGAGTTCTTCGTCTCATCTCTCATTCATCTTTCCATTCCTCCCATTTCACCTCTCCCCAGCCCATTCCCAACGGCTTTTTGTTTGGCCCACTGGCGCATAATACTAACGACCCCCCTCATTCACAGCACGGACGAGCTGTTCAAAGCATCCGCATATCTTACAGACTCGCTCCTCCCAGACCTTATGCCCCGCGAAGACGAGATCCTGAAAGAGCTCGATCCGTTGCCTGCTCCAGATGAAGACATCAACTTCCAGGACCCCGATAAACTCGAAGATGCCCGTCAAGCTCAACAGAATGCGCCTCGAACGGAAACAGTCCCTTTCCCCACGAGTCCAGTCCACACGACTCCTACGGCCCCTCGTTCCCCCGTTTCTGCCAGCCCCGCCACGAACATGGAGATAAACGTGAACATGACGACGCCCCCGCGAGCAGTTCCGCGTTCGCCGGGGGCTACATCTACCTCGACGACGACGTCCTCAATACGTTTCGGGCATAATCCTAGTCCGTCTGCGATCACGATCAGTATGGATGATGCGTTCAGGTTTAAGCCAGTAACGTCTTCGAGAAACCACACTACGACGGACTCTCCGAGAATCGACGCGACGGCGTCCCCGAGCCTTCGCACTACGACGTCTACATCGCCCAGATTGCGCACGCGGACGCTTTCCTCTCGCCCATTGCGACTCGGACCCCCGTTATCCAAAAAAGATATAAGTGGACCGGTCGGTATATCTGAACATGTGAGCGGAATGGGCGGGATGGAGTTTGGAGGGAAATTGTTTGATCTTGGGCCGGCGATGGGGGCGGAGGGGACGACGGAGAGGATTGGGACGGGGGAGATGGGGTTGGAGGAGGGGTTTAAGTTGGGTGGGGGTGGGGGTGGTGGATTCAGATTGAGAGACGGGGGATCTGGATTGAGGGATGCCGGGGTGGAGTCGAACATTAATGGTGATCATCCTGCGCCAGGTCGTCCGTCTGTAAGCCCAGCTCGCGTACGAGGACGGACAAAGTCGGAACATCGGCCGCAGGGGCAGGTCAAGGGATTGCTTTCGATTCCTATTCTTGACCGTGACTTTGACCCGAATTCCTCTGCTGTGCCCCAGCTGCCTCTGCCCATTCGACTCAATGCCGACACGGACAGTAGCCCGCGGACGACTATCGACTTATCGGATAGAGAACGCCATTCGGAAGACTTTTATACTAGTAGTCCCGGCACGTTATCCTCTCCTGCCCGTCTGCGACTCCAGCCTCGGACACATGCTCCGGCGTCTTCATCTTCGTCTTCGGCGTTTTCTGGTGTGACGAGGGTTAAACCGCCGTCTGTTTCTCCTGATCTTGCGGAATCTACTGCCTCTCTGTATTCTACAGACTCTACACCTCCGCCGCCACCGCCACCAAAGTCGAAACCTGTTATATCGCGCTTGCAGACTCCCTCGTCGCCTGTTATGTCGAGATTCCAATCTCCCTCGTCTCCTGTTACAGCGAGACACCAGCCCCAGCCTCCTTCGCCCCCGATAAACGCACGTCTGCAGTTTCCTTCTTCGCCTCTTTCGTCTTCTGCCCTCCAGCCTCCGTCGTCTCCTGTTACGTCTCGCCTACAGTTACAACCCCCCACATCTCCTGTCACCTCCCGCCTACAACCCCCCACATCCCCCATAACCTCTCGATTCCGCCCGCCCCACTCGCCCTCACCCTCACCCGTGCCCGCGTCGCCCGCTCCGTCCGTGAACGCCACGCCGAGGACGTTGAGGCGATTTTGGTCGAGGGCGAAGTTGAATGTTTCTGGTTCGGTTCCTAGTGGAGACGAGGGCGGAGGCGGAGCAGCACCTCCCGCCAGCCCAAGCACGAGAGCGGGCGGGTTATTGAGAGCGCCGTTGTTAAGGCCTTTTAGGGGGTCGCAGTCGAGTTCGGGGCTTAGCTCGGGGTGGACTGGGAGAGGTGATGTGGGTGCGGATGCGGATGGGGAGCATGGTGGAAGAATCGAGGAAGAACAGAGAATAGAAAGAGGGTCGTTGGCGTTGCAGAGGGATAGTGTCAATGGGGAGGATCAGGACCTGGATCATCCCTGGGTTGGGATGGGCCGCGTGGCTGCGTTTGAGGAGAGGTTGGGATTAGGACATGAGGCGAGGACAGGGGCGGGGGCGGGGGCGGGGGAGTCGACGCAGTCGTTGCCTTTGGATCGGGTTGGGAATGGACATGGACATGGGTATACGCGGAGTCATGATCATGGACAGAACGGGAGTACGCCAGATTTGTCGAATGGTGGTTGTTTTGCTGGTGGTTTTGGTTTTGGACATCCGTCGAGTGCTCATATGCCCATTCCGATCTCTACATCGACTTCGACATCGACGGATCCGGATCTGGGTAGGTATCGTCTCCGGTCTGCTGTTGGGGACGGATCCTACGATTCACAGACAGGTGATGGCCGTGATTTGAATGGGCATGGACATGGAGGTTTGGCACCACCGCCACAGATACAGATGCATAACGAGGACGAAGGTACGTCTCAGGATTCAATATTGTCTACTATGATTAAATTTGAGATTGACTCCTTTCTGTGGTCGCTGCAGTACGATCGCGCGAACTCGATCCGTCGACCACGAACGTCACGAATCAACATTCCCCTTCCGCCACGAACACGAACGCCACAATCCAACATCCCGCCCCGAACCCGAACACCCCAACCCAACTCCAACCCTCCGGCACTCAAACGACGCTCGCCCTCCCGCCCCACCCGCTCACCGCATTCAACCTCTCGCAGCGGACGCGCTCGCATTACTGGGCGTGGCTCGAGGCGCGGGGAAATGAGCGGAGGCTGGAGAGGTTCGGGAAGGCGATGGGGGGGAGTAGAGGATGGGAAGGGGAAGATGATGGGATGGGGTGTGAGTCGTTTTTCCTTGCGTTGTTTCTTTGCTGTGCTTCGAGTTCTTCGTTTTGTTTTTTCGTCCTGCTCCGTCATGGGCCACCACGGGGTGATAGGTCACCTTCTGCATATGGAGGGACATCATGCTCCCAACTTCGATTCATGAGTGTAACTCCGTCAAACACGTGTCTCGCTTCCCTTCAGAGGGAAGGTGAACCAGCCCGCCGTGGTAACTCATAACGGAATACTTCACCGTATTGCTTTCTTTTTCTAGTTCGAGCGGGTTTTGGATGTGCGCTGATTTATGACTGCCTTTTCTTGTTGGTCGATCGTTGTTCGGTCGATTGATGGCTTAACGTGCCGTCATTCGTTGTGGCGTTCGCCCTATCACCACCACATCACCGCCCATCTCCATTCGTCTCCATCTCTTCACACTCAATCTCGCTCGCATCCCATGAAATCATGATCAATCTGGATGGGAACCGGATCTATGCAGCGTGGCCCATGACCGCTTTACCGCCCAACTCGCTGATTATCGACGTCGGCGGCGGCATTGGATCCACGAGTATGAAGCTTGCCGAAGGTTTCCCCGAGCTCAAGTTCGTCGTACAGGATAGGGAGGCCGTCTGCGCCCTTGGGGTCGAGGCGTGGAAGGCGAGATGTCCGGAGTTGCTAGAAGCCGGGAGGGCGGTATTTCAAGGTACGTCGTATATCCTTCAACCCCACGCCCTATTTCTCCCTTTGAATTCATAATGATATTAATCGCCTTCGAATCCGAATAGTACATGATTTCTTCGCGTCTCAGCCGAAAATGATAGAAAGCGTGACGGGCATCGCGATGGGGCCTCCCGCGGCGTTCATATTGAGGGTTATATTGCATGATTGGCCCGATGCGTTTGCGAGGAGGATATTGTTGCAGCTTAGGAAGGCGGCGTACGAGGGCGACGGAGACGAGGATGATGGCAGGCAGCCGACGTATCTGATCATCGGAGATCATTTGTTGCCGTATGCGTGTACGGAGTCGAGGACGGGTGAGTCTGAACGGAAGGAAGGGGGGAATGAGCGAAAGGGGGATGACAGAGCTACGAAAGAGGAAGAGATTAAGGGCGTGGACAAGTTGAGGGTCGTCAGAGGCGCGAAATGGCCGCTCCTGGCGAATCTGGGGAAGGCGAGTTCGAACGCTTATTGGATGGACATGACCGTGAGTGTCTCCTACTTTTCTGACCTGGAGTGAACCTCGCTGATCATGCTGATGCTATACTTACAACGCGCGAATCGGAATTGGCACACAGATGCAAGTCACTTTCAACGGTCTCGAGCGTACCCTCACGGAGATGATCGCCCTCACCGCCTCTGCAGGCTGGAAGATCGTACGTGTCGGTCGTGCCGAAGGCTCTCTGTTCGGCCACATCGTCGCTGTTCCTGCCCCAGTACCCACATCTACCTTGGACTTGGACTTGGAGGTCGCGGGCTCTGCCGATGATGTCACCCCTGGCGCCATTGCTTCACCCGTCGCAGTATCTCCTAAGAATGACAACATCAACGCGGGCATCGCGCCGCTTCATGATTCAGAGCCGAACGAAGGAAGGATCATACGCTCCTCCGCCGATATCGAGTTCTCGCCGGCGATATCACAGAGTCAGCTCGCACTTTCGGAGGCTGCGAGTACGCCGCACATGCAGGCGTTCACCTCGAGCTCGACCGTAGATTCGGGAATGCGGCCTTCGAATTCGACTTCATCTTCGATGTATGGACCTCAGATACATTGGAAGGAGCATAATCGGTCTGTGGATGTTGGACCGAGACCACTTATGCAGCCGTCAGGGTCATCGTCTACGATGAAGAACTCAGCATGGAACTCATATACGACGGACGAAGCTTTGGATCGTCTAGCCTCCGCGAGTGGAGGTAGTGTGCACAGGACGACGAGCAGTGGCCGTACAGGCGCAGGAACATCACGACCTGGACGTGGCTCGAGTCGGCCTGGCAGTTCAAGCGGGAGGAGTATGTTCGGTTATGGATCGTTGCCTGCGCACCCTTCGACCACTGCCTCCAATGGAACGATCGTATATCGGGGGTTGCACGCTGATGTGGATGGGAAGAGGGCGAAGGGTAAGGGGATGGGAAGTGGAGGTTCGGGTGGGTGGATGAGGTGGGTGAAGGGTAAGAAGGCGAAATCTGGGCTTGCGAACGAGGTGGATGCAGGGGAGGGAGGAGATCACGATCATCAGATGGGGAGTATGACGACTCCGGCTGGTATGAACGGCGACCAGTCGAACACGGATGGGAAGGCGACGATGCATGAATATAGACCGGGACGATCTCCCCTGCCTTCGTCAGCCGCAGTTAGTGCTGCCGGCTCAGGAAGTGGTGGGGAAAGTCGTGCGGGGACGCCGAGAGGGGGTAAGAGCATAATGAAGAAGGTGTCACAGATGTTCAATGACGGGTCAGGAGGTGGAGGAGCGGTGTGAGGCTGCACCCGGGAAGCTTTCACGCATGATATAATTTTCCACGCCGATGGAGCGTTGGGGAAGGCATGCCATATGTATGTTAGGATGTGGTTTTCTTCTTGTAGTTTTGGGTTTCATTTGGACAAGAGACGTTTTAGAACACTTTTTCTCTCATTATTGTCTCCTGCTTGGGACTGCGAGGCCTATGTGCCACTGGTCCATCGTACAGCGCCGTGCAGGCATTCGACATTCTCCGTGGTTCCGAGTCGGATGCTCTATTCTGAGCTCTTCGGATCGTATGCCTATTAGGCTTCAGGAAGTTCGCTCATGTCCGTTCAAACGCATTGGGGAACACTCACTGCTTCTCCGAAACCTTCTATTACGTCGGATCGTTTGTTCCTTCTCCAAACATGGCAAACGTTCGTCGCTCGCAGTGCGGCCATTCATATTCCGCTTGTAGTGATAAAATGTCTATCTACCGTCGATCTATCCATTCGTGGCGAACGGTATCATGAGGTCGAGTCACATCCGAGCAAAGTACATAGATGAAGGAGGTCAGAAGATAGCGTCCTTACTCGCCTGGGGGTAGTGTTCGGGGATACGATCATGAATCGCTAGCCTCCCACAGACAGACACCCAGTGTTGAAGATCGGCCATCCAACGTGCCAATTAATCATCGCGGAGACTTCGATATCCGCGCCAAAGACATCTCCGACTCAAAGGTATGCCGAGTGGAATGAAGGAACGTAGAGGTACGTACGTACTTGCACGTACTATAGCAAGTACTGGTGGGACTTGCAATGATATGTTACGATGTGTGGGTCTAGATATGTGAGATAGAGCCTAGGAAGGACCTCGAACATGAAGGCACACTATCGGTGATTGGGATCCTTCCTGAGACAGAGCTTGGGCCTCATGGTGGTCCGAGTTGAGAGGGAAGGTCGAACGACGTTGATCATTGTGTGTACATACGTGGGTGTGCCGGCGGAGGTAAGTAGAGTATGAGGAACCAATCTGATAGCGTGTATAGAGGTCGAGGCATATAGTAGCTTATGTGTAGGATGAAGTGCATGTGGCCAGTGAAAGTATGCGGGTTATGTGCAGGATCGTCGTGGGAGGTCATGATATTGTACAAATAAAGGGTGGGATACATAGATACGACAAGAGCCGTTGGGTTTAAATGTCAATATGTGAGAAAATATGATGACTATAGGGAGAGAAAAGCGTAGGACAAGGACGAAAAGTCAAGTAAGGAAACACCGTATGTGTGGTTTCAAGGTTTGGTGGGCGGAGGTTTATTTGGTAACTGAAAGGCAAGAAATATACCACCGATAGCCAGTATGCAGAGCAAGATGTATCCGAAATCGCCACCAACGAGGTTGTGCTGTAGAGATAATGATAGCAGAGTGGACGGGACGATCGATCCAAGGGAACGCATGAGAGATACGGTCATCTGAGCGAGGCCATTAATGGTTCCGCGAGCATTGTCCGCGACATCTTCATTAATGAAGACGAATATGCAACCTACACCAAAGCAGGACTTCAGAGGACGGAAAAATGAAAACAAAAGTGTGAACCGCATACCATATCCTATAGAGGCGATGATCCAGAAGAACAGCTGCACTATGATGACGGCCCATATGTCGCCGCTCACCGCATGTGGGTCGCTTCGCCTTGCTACATACCCGATGACTGGGAACATAGCTAAACTGAGCGTGAGGCCGAGGGCTGACGCCACAAATAAGTGCTTCACGCCGAAGCGTCGAATCAGTAGAGGTAGCGCGAGAATGTTGAAAGTTCCGTTAATGATGTTCCACATGGCGAGGATTATCCCAATCGTAAAGGTACTGAAGTGCAGTCCGCCTTGTGATCGCTGAGAGGAGTAAACGAGAGGTACGAGGACATTGATGCACTGGTCGTAATAAGCAAGGAAGGAGTAGTTGGCTATAGCGACGAGGAGTCGGCGGTCCAGAAGAGAGCGTATAGACGCGGGCCGACGCGGGTCCTGCGAGGCTGAGGTGACGACAGTAGCGGTACTGGTTCGTGAGACTGAGGAAGAAAGTTCCACATTTCCCCGAACGTATGTGCCCTCAGAAGCTTCTGAACAAGGTGGACTGCTAACGACGACCTGGCGAGATGTGGATATGACTATCTCGAACGGAGGCTTCTCACTGTCCTCCAAGGGGATGCGCGTAGGATGAGTCTGAAATGAAGGACCCGATCAGCCAAACTGACCATCGTAGACAGTGAACTCAGCTCATGCACCTCTTTCAGGAGAAAGACAGCAAATGTGGCCGCAATCAAGGGCACACAGGCTGCGATGGCACATGGCAGGAAGTCCGGATACTGACGAAAGAATGCTAGTTGGCCCATTGTGGCTGGCCATTTCTCTGCGGGTTGAGAGAATACGCCTCCTATGATGGGCCTAAGTCGGATAATGAGCTAACGCTAAGACAAGGGTTGCGAGAGCACGGAAGAGACAGACGCTATTGTCCCACCAAGACCCCACATCATCGGGAGCATCGAAAACGCTAGAACCGGATATAGTAGGCGCCCAATCATCATTAGAGTTTAAAAGAAAGAAGCTGCATGCTGCATACCTTGAGCCATATTCGAAGGGTCTGTCATCTCCGCTATCGTACTTTTAGCGACCTGGGACAGACATTCAGCCCTTTGGTTTTGAGATGAGAACGGCGAAAAAGGAGTGGATCGCGGTCGAGGGGAAACGGATGAGGGGACAAGGCAAGAATAATTACCCCGATATTGCCGCACAAAGCTCCTTCCGCACATCGCGCCAGGACAGCACTCCAATATCGGTTTGAGAGTCCAAAACCAAGCGTGGACAGCGTGAGCCCGAATAGGCCAATTATAAGAACCGGCTTTCGACCATAATGATCTGAGGCACGGCCCCAGGAAAGGACACACAGTGCCTCTGTGGCGTAAAAGCATGCTTCCTACGAGTAATGAGGATCATTGGAAAAAATGACTCATATTCGTGGCAACTCACGATCGTCCCTGTGGAATGCAAGACAAATTCAATGGGAATGTATGACACAGACGAGTATTCCAACCACGTACCAGTGAAGTATCCCGTCTTATTACCATCACCATGGGTGACGCCTGTGGACCTGACGAAGTGGTTGACGAACGGAAATATGACACCTCCAACCACAGGCTCTGCCAGCTGTATCAGGAGTACCAGTGCGAGCTGCACTTTGGGTAGAGGATTACGCGTCTTCTGAGACGATAGGGGTGGCGAGCCAGCACTGGGTTGAAGTGCTTCACTTCGAGAGTCCTCCCCAACGCTACCAAGTACATGAGTGGAGTCCGAGTCGGGAACAACGTTTTGGTGCGTCATCTAGCAATGCAAAACACGAAGATAAACGGTTCTCTGCCCGGATAAAAAGAGAAAAGACAGCTCAACAGGAAAAAAAAGGAGGGAGTTATAAACCCTCGCCCACATGTTGTAAATCGGAGGCTGCGATGAGACGGGGACAGGGGCGACACGCTTCGACCGCGAGGCTTCGACCGTCGTCCTAAAATTGGGGATAGCCGCCATACTCTTCAAATGGTGGGTCCAGTCTACGCTGTGTTTCACTTCCGTGCCATTAATTCAACGATTAGTCAATGCGCCAATCGCAGATACCTCCAACCGGTAACTCAAGCTTGGCGAGATCTTCGCCCTATGATCACCTTACGAGAGATGAGATTGGCAAGTCCTTCAGGCATAGCCACAGGCTAGCAGTTGTGTTCCCGGAAGGTCCTTATGTCCCGCGGCCACACGTGGTTACCGAATAGGATCGCCATCGGACGGATTACTGAAAGTCAAATGGAGATACAAGTTGAGCAAGGGTTGAAGGGGGGCGAGACCTGTGCCGGAGACGACGGGCTGTACTTCTGGATGTTTGACGGTACGTCCGCTCCGCAAGTTGGTACGTTCATCAGGGCAACAGCACCCGGAAAATTCTATTAGGGTCAGAGAAATGAATAGTAAACCTTGCGCAACTACGCACGTTCTAAAGTCGCAGAGGCAAGTTATTGAAGTCCTGTTCACTGACGGGGTTGAGTGCGCAAATAAGTGAACGGTGAAGCGCCAACGCTTTGAGGAATAACTCTGGGGTGTTGAGTTTCAGTCTATTTCGGGATTCAACCGGTTTCCTGATGCAAATGCGTCCGTGCCGAACGTGTATGAGTGTCCGCGATCCGAGCTTCCAGATAAAGGGGGAAGATTCATTGCTTAAGCTATGTAGATACGCAGTAGCCAGGTCACAAGTGGGATAAAAACCGTCGATGAAGACACCGTGAAGCCTCGTGCAGCTTGTAGAAGACGTTTTGCTGACATGCGCTACATGCTCTACAAATACGGAGCTTCAGCTGCAATATCGAGAACCTGAAACGCGGAGGAAGAGAAACGGCTCGCCTTTTTGGGTGTCTGTTTGTCGAAAAGTGATTCGGACTTCTGGTTTATGTAGATGGTAATGTCATCTTCTAGATCAGTTGGATCTTGCTGGCACCATTGAGCACACCCTACGTACAACTATAGAGTCCACGTAGAGGGGGATGCTTCACGAGATAGGGAAAGATCGAGTACAGAAAATTTCTCCTCCGTCCCGCAGCTCTGATCATCCCCGCAGATCAAGGCGTGTGCGAGCGTGTGATGATACATAGAGCGGCCAACCCCTCCGTAATGAGCGGCGAAATTCTGTAAGGAGGAAGATGAAATTGCAGGAGAAAAGTGCCACCGATGGTGACATCGACTACGACCAGACCAGACGGTGACCCGCTGGCAACGAGGCAGCGATGGAGACCAATCCAGTGGCAGGAATCCTTACACTGCGAAATGCAAACATGATGCAGAATACCCGATCTACATAAAGTAGCTATAGCCATGAAAACGTACAAGGTCGGATGTACTTACTAGTAGTAGTTTACTACTCTCGGGGCGAACCTGGGCGACACGCCCACTTCGGAAGGAAATCCTCCGTGGTTACAATCATACAGTGTCGGTGACTTCAAGTCGACCTAGACCTCAAGAAAAAGAGCGTGCAGGTGAACAGTATCCATGACCATCGATTTACAGCATAGGCCGCGCAGAGGTTCGACGGAGGTGGGTTTAACTTTGAAGGCGCACAGGAGCTTTACCACAAACAATCACGGCAGGACCGGATGACAAAGATAAGATAAGATTTCGTTCTTCGTTGCCACATGAAGATTGTGGCGATCGACTTCAACAAACTTGCCATTCAAGGTTCAAGAATAGAGTCTTCATCACTTTGCTTCCCGGCACCGTCAGCGAACTGTACTATGGGTATCATGACATGTACGTTGCACCCGAGATATCCACTTCAATACCACTAGTTCGTTTCTGTCACCCCTAAGTGTCTACGCTAAGCCAAGTCAACCCGATGAAGTCTTCGGAGTGAGCATCGTCGTCCACCCCCTCTCATACTGGTTTGCTGGTTTCACGGCCACGCCAAGGTCTTCAGCTGCTTGAATCGCCCAATGTGGGTTCCTAAGAAACGGACGTCCAATGAAAATTACGTCCGCCTGGTTAGACTGGAGGATCTGCTCCGCGTATTGTGGCGTGTCTATAAGACCAACGGCTCCAACGAGGGTATCTGGATGAGCGCTCTTGATAGCTTCCGCAAAGTGCACCTAGGACGAATAAAGGAAAGGGTGTGTATGTCAACAGCGCTTCATTCTGTCAGAGTAGTTCAAAAGTATCACCGACCTGGTACCCAGGCGCCACTGGTATCTTTTGCTTGGACCATAGACCTCCACTTGACACATGAATCAAATCGACACCGCGCTTCTTTAGCTCGCCCGAAAACTGCACGCTTTGTTCGATCCCCCACTGCATCCATTTACCATTGTTGTCTCTTTCCGGCCCTTCCGCCCAATCTGTGGCGCTCAGTCGATAGAATAGAGGCTTGCTGGAGGGCCACGCTTCGCGACAGCGCTCGGTGATGCGAAGAGGATATCGGAGACGATTTTCGAGGCTGCCTCCGTAAATATCTTCTCGGATATTCGAAAGAGGAGAGCAGAAGTTATGCAAGAGGTAGCCGTGAGCACCGTGCAGTTCTATGAAGTCGACTAGATAATGGAGGCATCAGCAAGAGAGAATGAGGAGGAGGCAGCGAGATTACGAACATCCTACTTCTCCGCACCGCTTCACAGCTGCGATGAACGCTTCTTCGACATCCTTCATTCGCTGTTCGTCCATTTCCTTAGGCTGTGGATAATCATCAGAGGATTTGATCGCGCTTGGTGCCCAAACTAAATATGATAGAGCCGCAGGTTGTTAAAGAGTTGTCAACGGATCTCCTACGTTCTATTTCATTGTGTTATGAGCTAAAATACGAAGGCTTCGATGAAACTTACTGTCTCCAGGCCAACCTCCCTCATCAACCTCAGCCATCCACTTCCCAGCCTTATACGATCTCGCAGCGTTAGCGTACACCCATGGCGCATATGTCGACCCTTTTCTACCCGAATGCTGCAATTGTACGCCGATAGCTGTTTCATGGGCATGGGCAAAATCCACGATCCTTTTGAGAGGCTCAATATGAGAGTCACTCCATAAGCCCTGTTTGTGACGATGTTACGGGACAGTGTCGGTCAAACAGAGTGAAAACACACTCACTACGTCTTCAGGTGAGACACGGCCCTCGGGAAGTACTGCCGTGGCTTCTATGCATATTGCACCTACACCACGAGTCGCAAGTCCCTGTACGTTTGCTCCATGAGGCTCAAGTTCGAACAAGCATTGCAGATATAAACACACGTACACCATAATGAACTAGATGCCAGTCGGTGGCATGACCATCATCCGCGCTGTATAAAGCCATCGGTGCCTGCCAATGTTGAAAAAAATCAGGAAGATGGGTATATCGACAATGCACCGACACATTAGATCGTACCACGAAGATGCGGTTCTTGAACTCGACGTCCCTGGACTTGAATGGTTGAAACAACAGCGGAAGTTGTGAATTCTGCTGGAACTGCGTCTATAGGGCCACAAACGATTTCTGAGCACCCATGCTGACAAAAAGAGTGGGAAATTTGACAGAGGATGTACCTTGGGCAATGCTACGCCGATTTTGGGCTCGTTCAAAGGATAGTACTCCCTTGCACCAGCAACGGCCTCGTTAAGGTTGGCCATAGGTGCAAGATGCGGATGATTGGAAGACTCGGATACCCGATGGAGCACTACTTATGCGAAGGCGAGAGCAGGGAGGACACCGAAGCACCAGAAATACCAGGGAAGGACCATGCTTTATACAGAACTCCGTCTCAGTAAGAACTCCGCGCCCTAGGCCTACTGCCTGAATGAAGTGTGTATGAGTAAGTCAACCCTGACCGCTGATTCAGGCTGAAAACATCGCTGACTCACCTAGTATTTTGGGGCATATCTGAACAAATCTATCCCTATCTATGCAACATCTATCTGTCTCGGAACCTAGATTTGACCACAATCATAGGCTACAGATAATCCAGTTCCGTAGTTGACTTCTCTTAGTGAGATACAACGAAACAATCAAGAGCCACGAATAAAGAATTTCTGATACCTCGAGAACGTGCTCGTCGAGAATCGCAGTTCAAGAATCATAGGATCGACCGAATTGACTTCACGGCGTCGGTAACTTATAGCGCCTCGGCGATAATTATAACCGGATCGTGGCATTTGTTTGCACTTGTTGAATTCGAAAGCCGTTGCCTTCCGGCTTGGTCCCTGCTGTGCCTTCCGCGCCTCCGAAGCCGCTAACGATCCCTAGAGAAGGCCAATGCGGAGAAGAAAGGATGTTGATTTACCTGTGTATCATGTCCGACCACCTACCAATCCGTTTCAACATAGTGAATAGATGCATCGGGGCGCACCACAGACGTCTAGTACAGTCAATACGCTCATACGGAATACACCGATAAGGAATAAAATTACCATATATGGAAATGGGTGTAAACATGGCCCGACGAAAGATTCAATTATGGAGACACATTGTTCAACTCATGACATGTCATCTACCACCCAGATATGTCAGTATATGTCGTAGAAAGATACATGTATATTTTGGAATCTCTGCCATGACTATCACAATTGCTGGAGTGATTTTCTCATAAGGAATAAAATAATCCGAATTACCCCGATTTTATTCCATATGAGGATATCAACTGTACCTCCCTGATTGTGGACATACTCATGTATCCATAGGGAAGCCCGAAAAAGCAATGAGCAGGACAATGGCGAGTTTTAGCTGATACCGAAGTCAGTGATGAAACATTCCGAGCGTGCGTGTATGGAGGAGACAGTAGATGGGGGGTGCGATGCAACAAGAAAACTAAACAAACAAGAAAATACGTAGAGTCCACAGCGATATGCTAAAGCGACAGGCGATTGATGCATGGAAGATGGGGGGGGTGGGGGTGGGAAGGGGGGATAGGGACATGGGAAAGGGATGAGGGTGATGTTGCTGGTCGATGAATATGATAGATAGCAGGGTATGTATGATACCTAAAACGTGCACATAAATGTTCGTGTATACATTCTTGGAACAACATGAGAGGACATCGTAGTTCATGGAGGAAAAAAACAAGGAGACGACGTGTATACCAGAAAAAAGACAGAACCAGACCGAGACCCAAAAGAATCGCCGATGGAACCGAGAGAAAAATCAATGCCCTGACACGGAAAGGAGACAGAAAAATAAAGTTAAGTTCAAAAACGCCAGCCCGACGTGAAAATGTATACGTAGGAGATTCCAAGAAACTGAAAAAAATGGCAAGAAAAAAGACCTTCTGTGGATTATTGTTAGCGTAGTATTGATGGAGACGAGGATGGTGGATATCGATGCTCGGATTCTCCGAGACGTCGCGGAGGAACTTCGTCTCTTCTTTTCTTGGCGACCTGAAGTACATCCTTAAGGTCTCTGGTTACCGTACGGTCAGCTAATGATATCCACCAAAACCTCCCAAAGAGCCAAAATGAACGTACTTCATCATGATAGGCTTCGTCAACACCTTATCCGCGCCCGCCTCCATATAGTTTAGCTGATCCTCTGTCAGCGCATTCCCGGTACAGCCGACGACCAGATCCATTCTCCCCCTCGCCCTCAACTCCCTAACGGCATCTTCACCGGTCATGACTGGCATGTAGTTATCAAGACTGACGAGGTCGTATTTTCGGGCACCCTCAGCCAGAATGATGTCGAGGAACTGTTGGCCGTCATCGGCGGTATCGACGACGCAACCTAACTTGGTCAACATCCTGAACGTACATTGGCGTCAGTTTCTGTTCGTGAAGGATCTAAGATAAGACGGTGACAAAATAGCTTTACCTCGTCATAAGTGTCCTCGTCATGGGATCATCATCCACCACCAACACAACCAACGGATTACCCTCTTCACCTGAACTACTCGCTGGTGCCGTTTGAGAAACAGGTGTAGGTGACAGACTCGCCGCGGGAGCACTCCAAGCTTTCCCCATACCCTCGGGTCCAGGTGTAACAATCGGGCCAGGGCGTACAGGTCGCTCCAATATCGGGTCGTCAGATGCCTTGTCCTCATTATCGTCCATGCCTGGCAGCGTTGGTGTCAAGCCAGGAGGAGAAACAACGTTCACCGGAGAATCCTGTGGCCTGCTACCATGTTCCGACTCGGTCGCATCATCATGTCCATCTTGCGACTGATACCTGGGCAACGGTGGCAGAACCATCGACATGTTTGGAGGTGATCCCGACCTCGGATGCGTTGGACTTCTGGCCGAAAGATCAACGTTGGGCAAGTTCGGACTGTTTACCGTGTCGTCATCCTTCGTCAAGGGACTCTCTGTGGAATGGGTACTGAGAGCATGGGACTTCGTGGGGGAGTCTGAGGGATCCTGTGCTGGGTGAGCTTCGGAGGACGGTATTGTGGCGAGGATAGGCCGAGGAGACCGTGTAGGATTCGGACTGGCGAAAGCAGAGGGTGGAGAGAGCGTCGACATAGGTGCAAACGGCGCGAGAGTACTTCGTGAAGTCTGCACCTCATGAGTTGTAGCGAGCGGATAGGACATCTCGACCCAGAACATCGCGCCTTGTCCCTTGCGGGATTGCACGCCGAGCCTTCCTCCACTCAAGCTGACGATCTGACGGACAATCGCCAGGCCAAGTCCACTCCCTTTCCCGCTCAGCTTTCCCACATTCGTCTGGACGAATGGCTGGAACAGCCTCCCGTCGACCAGATCGGATGGACGAATTCCTGGGCCGCTATCATGTACCTCTAATCTAATGGTCACCATATCCCTCTCCCTTTTCCCCACGATCCCTCCATCCGTACTCCCACCCAGCCCAATCCCCATCGCCGCCAATCCTATTCTCTCGTCGGATCGTCTCGGGGAATGCTTGTGGCCTCTGATCCCGGGAGCGGTCTTCGTACTTGGGTTTCGACTTAAAGGGTTCGTATTTCCCTCTAAGCCACCATGACCCGAAAGTACTGCAGTCCCATTCCCAGACCCTGTCCCGCTCCCAGGCGATGATCCAGCCCCACTGCCCGTCCCAGAGCCCGCATTCGTCGACATCCAGGACGGCGCACTCACAAGCCTCGTCACGATTTTGACAGGCCCACCACCCTCCGGTGTGAACTTCACCGCGTTCGAGGCTAAGTTCGTAAGGACCTGCCGAAGACGGATTTCGTCGCCTATGACCCATACTCCGTCGCCGCTCCCACTCGCACCTGCGCCACCGCCACCCGACGCCGACTGAGTGTGGCCCTGACCTGAGTTTGGCGTATATGAACGACGCGGTGGTGGTTCTGGCGAATGATAATTCATCGAATTCCTGATGCTGGAGCTGTTGGCTGCGTTGACGGCGGCCGTGTTGAACGTGATAGGGCCAGCGTTTATATTGGAACCGGGTGGAGCTATGAAGCCAATCGCGTCTATCCGTTCGTCCAGGTCGATGATGAGTTCTAGTCGTTTGGCAGAGGTATCGACGCCGATGGGACGGAGTGCGTTGTGCAATGACCGATGGAGAGGAAATGGACGGGGATGGGATTCGAATCTTCCGGCATCCATTTCTATTGAGGCAGGTACGAGCAATTAGAAGATAAGTCATGGTCGGGTGTGTGAAGCGCGGACGCGACGTACTCTGTAGGTCCAAGGCATCATTGAGCACTTGTTGCATCATCGTCAAGGAGGCCTGGTGATCACAAGCAAGAGCAATCTTGGGATTAGTTTCCGAGAAGTATGATCAAGATAAACAGCGGAAAAGGTGTCGGGAATCACAAGACGGAACCAGGAACATATGTCAGACTTCTGCAATGTATGCAACAACCGACGCAAATAATCTAGCTACAGCGCATCTAATGAATCAAAGACACAGATGAGTTGGAAAAGGCGGGAACAAGGCTGTATGAGCGAGAAAAGGAAACGAAATTTAAAAGTGACATAGTCACCAGCTTTTCCGTAATTGGACGAAATATCCGGACATCCAGAACATACACACATCGAGACGTTTCAGCGTATCGCATTGGTATGCAATCCTCAACACCAAAGCAGATTCGCAGTCGCATCCATACAACCGAAGAACGGTTCCGCGCCGCACATAATAACGCTTGCACAACAGTGCTCCGAGTGACCACAGCAAAGGACACAAAGACAGAAAGCACCAGGGACCACAAATCCAGCCTCGAATGGACCACGCAAGACCAAAACATAGGACAATATTACCGTTGAAGAGGAAAAAACATACCTCCAACGCATAAACCTCGATACTCTGCTCCTCGAGTGTCTCAGGCTTGAAAGCATCGTTCGTCTGCATATTCTGGTACGCGAGCACTGTAGGCGCCGGCAGTCAGTAACAGAGACATGAAAGCTCGAAATAGAGGGAAGAGGACTCCGAAATAAAAGGAAGAGGAATGAAACAGGGAGGTAACAGTAAAGGGAGAAAAGAAAAAGGAACGCACTAGCAGTATTCAACGGCACCCGAACCTCATGAAAAATATAGCTCGCGAACCGTTTCTTCGCATGACTCGCCTTGGACTCCGCGATCTGTGCTTTCTGCTGTGCGCGATAGGCGATTTTCAGCTGCGAGTTGAGGATGTACATTCGACGGGAGTTCTGCATTATTTGGATGTGTGTTATTCGAAGGTACAAGGGGAGAGGGTGGATTGTGGATCCGAAGGAGGGGAAGAAGGAACAATGATTTTGGATTGTGAGTCAGTTTGTCAGATCACGACGGAATATTGAGGACCGAGGAGAAAGGACTGACCGCTTCGCGACTGTAATGCAGTGCCTGGATGAAGACCGAGAAGATGCACTGTTCAATGACATTGTCATCAGTATCGTGTCTCCAACATGCCCGTTCGCAGGTGGAAAAAATAAACGTTCAGGGTCGAGAATGGGAGGACGACATACGAAGCTAACAACATTCCGTGCATAGATCGATTGGTCCGGGATGATGAGCGTCATGAGTAATACGAAAAAGACGGCTTGGACGACGGCATTATACAGCCTTCGTGACACGATGAACACTACACACAAACGGCGAGAACGACTTGAATTAGCGGGCTGGACCAATAGAGCACCAAGATGAAGACGTACTCATCATAGCAGGCAGCCCCGTCGAATAATAACCTATTCATATCCACACAAGCACCATTCACATCAGTTAGAACACGAAACCTTGAACCCTTCAACGTCAACTCTGCTTGTAATTGTGGCGAGCACTCACTCATGGCTAAGAAATCCTTCCCAAAACACGTGTTGTCCGTCTTGTTGAAGAAGTCACATTCCTTGATCTGTATGACCTCCGACAGTCCGCAGTACCATGTCGCAAGGCAGAAGCAGGTGTGGAAGAGCACGGGTCGGTAGCGAGGCATGTCGAAGGCGACCATGAAAGGGATGGGTAGGGTGACGAGGGTGAGACCGCCGTACTGAGAGCATCAGGGGTAAAGCAGTTAGGGGTTGAATATGCCACAGAGGGAACGCAAATGCATGAGGACATGGATACGGATGGCAATCGAAATGGAGAGAGAGAGGACATGATATAATGGTGGAGATACGCACGTATACAGCCTATTAATATATAGTGTTAATCAAAGGCCAACCGAAGACCACGGACGCCGGAAGAGAATGATGCGACTCAGAAGTAGGCACGTACCTTTTCGTAGAGATTGACGCTGTGGTTGAGAATGAGGTAGAGGACCCAGTTGAGTACTAGATACAGCGAGCCATAGCTAGAGGATAGAGTTCCCAACAAGTTGAAGAAATAAGCGGGATATTACTGAACGCCAGAGAAGATGAACGCACAAAGCGAAAGCCTTCGTGGAATACCACATCTGTTTCTGGTAGTCTTCCTCGAACGCTAAGCCCCCAGCTTCAATACCAGCATAATGAACGTCGAGGTAGAATATAAACGCACCAGGATCCTCAAATCTCGGATCGAAGAACTCGGCCATGACCGGCCACAACCTCCACCTCAGTAGTCCCCATAGTCCGCCTGTATCCCTGCCGGTATCCCATGCGTCCGTACTACCTCCACTTCTACTCCCTCCTTCATATCCGCCATGCACCCCCCTCACACTCCCCTGCCCACTCTCGCTCTGCTTCGTCCCTGTGTCCTTCTCACTGCCATGTACATGCGTGCCCGGTCGGTCCCCGCCTTCTCCGTCCACGACGACCTCGTCAAGAACCCAATCGCCTCCATCTTTCTCTGCTGCAGTGTGTCTTTGGCCTGCGGAGATAAGACCGCCAAGTGACGTCGATGCAGAAGCTGAAGACTCTGAACCATCGTTATTGAGACCATCCGAAGGCGAACCGGTCGAGGCCGATGTGATTTTGGACAGCACCTGGCGAACGACTGTGGATCATCAGCTCTTGGTTCTTTCTTTCCCAAATCGATGTATGGTGACACGAAGATGCACTGGAAGCCATGAGGCAAAGAAACGAACAGAAGCAAGAACAAAAAAAGGACATGAAGGCAGGAATACATACACCTCGTCCACTTCCCAGGATACGCCCTTCTCTCAAACTTGATCTGCCTGATGTTGCTCGGGCCAACATCGGTAGCGGGTTGGTGGACAGGCAAAGGCGTCCTGATCGAGCTCGCATGGTTCGTCATCGCATGCTGAATGTCTTCCTCACCACTGCTGACGACGGTGTCGTGGCGGGGGAGGGGAGTGGCAAAGCGGAACCCTGTCGCCCCCATGAAAACCGCGTCAGAGTCGCCGGCGGGCCGGTAAACTAATCTCTCCTCGCGCCCGTCTTATAAGTATTAGCGCCCATCAAGCGCCCGTGCTCATTCTGAACTTGTTCTGAACGCCAGCACTTTTAACTCGACTACTGGAGCTGCTCTACTTCAATGCTTCAATACCGCACACTACGGCCTCCAGGCATCTGGTACCGAAGGTTGCCTTGTATATTTTGATCTATATAATAAGTACTGTTTGCTTATGTCATATCTCCTTCGAAGGCCTAGGCCTTGCTTGAGGCCTGGTGTCGAACTGATTTTAACGAAATACATATTCCAGGAGCTGATAGTACACCGAACATTTTGTAGATTCATTACAGTGTGAGGGGAACGTTGTACAATTATTTATAGGAAAGAACTTCGTCGTTGAGCACCAGATTACCATTCCCTTCAAGCCTTGATCAAACCACATTTTTTCCAGTAATTTATCCACTTCTCGACGTCCGAGGCTTGGAGCCTTTCCGCACTATTCAGGCTTGATGATACCTGCACCGCCTTCGTCGTCTCCAACACCGGCTCATCTCCCAAACTACTGAAGAAATCAAGGAGACTGAGCCCCGGAATTTCTTCGAGCTGCTCCTTACTTGAACTCTCCAACGTGTCAACCCGCGTCCTAACATACTCTTGCATTTTCGCGACCCATGCGGCATAGGGTATGACCTCGAGAGACAAAATACTGGAAATGGAGTCGACGAGGAACCTCCATTCGATGGGTTTGGGGTGGACGATGTGCAAGACGGATTCCTCAGACCCGGACATTTCGAGCAGAGCGGAGGCTGCTACGTCCATCTGAAGCCAAGAGACCGTCTACAATACGTTCGATCATGAGCTGACATTCGCTGAAGATAAATTAAATCGAGGGCTCACCCCCTCTCTGTCTGGGACGGCTCTCAACGTTTGCGACCACTTCACCATAGCAGGCACCCATTCCTTCTCGTTCCATCCACCGTGAGCACTACTTCCGCAGAGTTGTCCCACGCGGATGACGTTCACTTGGATCCCGGTATGGTGCATTGCGCGAATCAGAACCTGTTCGGTGACCCATTTACTTTCGCCGTACCCTGATCCTATGACGTTTTTAGGGTCGTCAATAGCGATCTCCGCGAGTGGTTCGGTTGGGCTATGATCTACGGGGAGGGTTCAGTGAATCGCTACATCAAGAACGTACGAATCCCAACGTTAAAGGTGAGTAACTCACTCAGATACACCGCCATGGAGCTGGAAAAGGCGATCGACGGTGGACTTGCTCGGGGAGACGCCAACGAAAGATCGATAAGCTCGCGAACAGTGGCGATTAAAGGCTCGAATGAAGAGACGGCCATGTTGAAATCTAATCGCCAAGCTATACCATTCCACACGTTGTCAGGATGGTGAACGATATAAGAAGAGCATACGAACCAAGATGGATGATTTGAATGATGGATCCCTTGACCTGCCGCAAAGTCGTCAATTTACTCGATAAATGATGGTGTAGGTAGGACCAACCTCTTCGTATAGCTCGTCATCGAGTCCCAGTCTACCCTCGGTGTTATCCATCGTCAAAAACGTCACTCTACCATCGTCCAAAAGACTTATATCCAGCTCCCACTTAGCAAACGCCGCTACGTGTCGCTCCTTCGGGTGAGCCTCACCGCCACGATTCAGCGCGTAGACTTTCGTCGTATGCTTGCTCTTCAATAGTTGTTCGAGGACATGAGCGCCGAGTCTACCAGTGGAGCCCGTGAGAAGGACGACGGCCATCGGTGATGAATCAGAGGGTGGTGAGTGATCGTCTATAGCGCGTGACGGGAAGGAACTGCCGTATTTCTCGACCAAGGAATTCAGTGTCCTGATCTTACTCTCGACAACTCCGTCCTCGGTCGTGTCGGTAGGCTCCTGCACAAAATCAATCACAAATGCGGCGAGCGAAGAGATAGTAGGATGTGTATAGACGATATTGTTGGGGATGCCGTGGACGTATGACTTCGCCTCTGACTGGCGTAGAGCATTCACCACAATATTTCTGATATACGTGGCCTGGAGGCTGCCGCCAGAAGTCAGTCATGGAAAACCATCGTGGTAGAAGTACCACGAACCTATCGCAGCCTTGCTGGAACAGATCATCATCGTCCCCGAGTGCCTTCTGGACCACAGATGCAACGGCAGATCTCACGAAAGACAACACATTCTCGTCTGACCAGGTATCAGGGAGCGGAACGTCGCTTTGCGCACTACTCGCAATAGCCTCGTATAGGTTCTCGATCTCAGGTTCGTAGGCCTTCGTCACTGCGTGACGTCTCGCTGTGCCCTTCAGCGTATATTCGAACGGCTTATCTGGGCTCGAAATGAGTATCATCTACGTTCAACCAGTTCAAATCAGTTGTTCGTCTGACTGGGAAAGACAAACCCACGAACCTCTTTGAACAGTCTCGAATGAGTCGGAGCGAGTTGGTTCATCCTCTCAATCGAAGGCCTGCGCAACGAAAAATGAAAGTTCGTTCATTTGGTGAGGGATAAATCCATCATACCATATCATATTTCTGAATTCTGCCAAGCGGCTCTCGTCTCTTGGATCAAATGCTTCTTTAGGTTCGACGAGGATACCGTTCTGGACGCGACCGCGGCCGAACATGACCGCCCCTGCCACGGCTGGATCCTTTAACAAAATGGCCTCTAGAGGGAACTGATCAGCCATTTAGATGGTGGGTGGTACAACGACTTTTGTACAGACCCAAAGGTATAGGATTTGTCTAAGGAAGAGAGGTGCGACTGTTAGTAAGGTACAAGTTTTCGACCTGAAGTCTATATTCATTACCTTCTCGCCCGTTGACAACATCAATTGATCATCTGTGCGTCCGAAGACCTTCCACCTACTAGGGTCGCGTGGGTGGCGCTCCACTAGGTCACTAGTACGATACGCGTCTCTCCCATCACTTGTCTTCGCATTGACGACGTTAGGCTCAGCATAAGGAGTTCCCTGTGTACACCGAGTGAGAGCGTGCGGTAAGGTGGGAATCGAAAATGAAGACGAACAACGACCACGACCTCGAAAATATTCTCCATTCCCTCTTGAGGAAGGAGCTCGATGTCCAATTGAGGGGAGAACCTAAAGTACTCCCAATCGTCCAATGTCGAGGGCGTACCAGGAACGAAAACAGACACGGGGACTATTTCCGTTCTGGCAACGTTGTATTAGGAGCCTGTAACGGTTCGCGAAATCGAACACTCACAGTCCATATATTGGGTGGATGGGAATACCCATCCGTACGAGCTCATCCCCAGTGGCTTTGCTCATAGGCGCTCCAGCGTACAGCTTTACCAGTACCGTCAATATTCCGTAGCTTCACCCAATCAGGCTCAGGCTCACCACAGAGCGCAGGGACCTCAGCTTCGCGATGTTTGTGGGATCTTTGGCCCAAATCTATGTCATATAATATGGGTGAGTATATGTTTAATCTGAGAGCTCAGTGAGCTCACCTCGATGATCGAAGGAACACAGAAGAGCACGGTGGTCTTGGTTTCCAAAATGACGTCTAGGAGGCGTTCCGGTGTTGGTAAGATGGGTGGTACGGAGGGTTTGAAGACGCCTATCGCCATCCCTGTCGTTGACTGCCGAACACAAGTTATGACGTGCAACCTTTTCTACAAGTTTTTAGAAAAACGCAACGGCTATGGCTATAGTGCCGACGCAACCCATGACGTCTGAAGTATAGTATCAGCGTACTGGTCCTATAATCGAGATAGTGAACATTGACTGACGGAAAACCGGCAGAGAATGCACGCCAAAGACGTGTCCACATAAGTCGACATCACCAAAATCTGACGGTACTTCAGCAGAGATGCGGCTATGTGATGAAAGAAATGTCTTACAGGCGGCTCTTCCGATTTGGAGGAATCTTCGGTTAGTGATACTGATTGGCTTAGGGAATGATGTTGATCCTGCAAGCACCGCGTCAGGTTCTGTACTCGGCGTGAAGCGGTGGTCGACGCACCAGATGAATGTAAGATGCAGGCGACGTGATCCAGGTCTAGTTTCCCGAGCTCAACAAGCTCTCCGTGGTCACCGTCTGGATCAACAGTCTCGTCGGAAATATCAGCGAATTGGACCATGGTTAATACGGTGACCCGATAGTCGTCTCCCCCAAGGATCTCGAGAGCTACGTTGCTCGCCATCTGCATGGCCGGGTCCGGGCTCACGAAGAGCTGAACCACCTGCGTCTTGCGAAGAAGATGTGCAATAGCCTCGGGGGAGTTTCTCGTTGATATGGGGAATGGCACTCAATCATAGGAGTGCGTCAGGGTAGAGTGAGCTCGAAGTCAGGAATAGGGGCTCACCCAGTCCCAGGCGCATGATGGCGATTACAAGTAGAGCATAGCTTACGGAATCTGGACATCAGAGCAGGAATGGGTACCGTGCGATCGTGCAAGAGACAGAATTTGACGTACCTGCGTTGGCCAAGATACCAATGGGAGGACCGAGACTGGTCGACATCGGACCGTCTTCTACCCCGAAGGGAAGACAACTACTCTGTACGATGCGAGCCGCTCTCTTGACCATACGCCAAGTCTCTGCGTAAGTGATGGTCCGAGTTGTACCGTCTTCATTGGCAAATACGGCGTAGGGGTGAGAGGGAGAATGAAGAGCGTTGTACTCAAAGAGCTCTGGAACAGTGAGTGTTCCATCTAGTGGAGGAGCGGAGAAACTGGATGAGTTCTGACCCTGTGGGCGGGATACATGTGGCGGGATGATGAACTCGATAGTCATTTGGGTGGGGGCAGAGGTTGAGTATGATGGTGCACGCTCGCCTTCCTAGAGTCGCAGCTCTTTAAGTACATCACGTCAGGCGAAGGTTCAGTTGATTTGCTAAGAGCATCAGATAGGGGAATCTGACTGGACCTACATTCTTACACGCTCACGGCAATATGTCGTGCACTTGAGGTCGTAAACTGGTCCATGTAAGCTGCTCCACCGCGACACGCCGAGTGTGGTACTCATCACTCTATGGAACATCCCTCAGCAAAGGTAGATTGCCGAAATGCGTCGAGACGATGATCATGCGGTCGTGCTTGCTTTGTGGGGCAGGTCCAATGACGGCGCAAGACATCGCCGGCTCTCTCAAGTATGCATTTCACTATAACAAGAGGACGGCATCACCGAGGGAAGCCCGATACGCACGACGCTCCTTTAAGTTCTTCTCGTGGCCGCCTTTCCTTGCTTAATATCCGAATCATGCCTAGCTTTGAATCTAATGGTCAGAAGGTTAATCAAAACCAGGATAGGTTAAGTGGGCCGTCCGGTATGTAAAGTGGATGAGGGGCACATCACCTGCGACGATCATACCTTAGATACCGGACTTGACGCATTGCATCTTGATGTAATGGAATCATCGGGGACCTAAGGAAAGGCCGAATGACCGAAAGGGCAATGCGTCGAGGCGGGTGACACCAGCCAATAAACAGCGGAGGTCAATCAGAAGGCCGTATTGGCACTGGAACGTCCGGCATTCTCTCAAAGGTCGCGATTATGCAAAACTTCTCGGCAGCAATACTCTGCACTTGCATGTGGCGACTGGTCGACCGTGGAAACTGAAGCTTATGTAGACGAGGACATAGAGCTCCCTCCTGGAACTGAACAGTCGTGAAGAGCTCTTATTTTCTGAGACTGCTATTGAGGACGCGGTCGACGACTAATGTGTTTATGTTTACGCTCGAAAAGGCCGAAGTCCTCGTCTTTTAAGAATTGACAAACCAGCTTATGTTCCTTCCAGTCCCTATCCCAGACCGTCAGACGTCAGCACAATGGAATGAAGGCTTCTGCGAGACTAGCATCGACTCACATCTTCTGGCACACTTTATCACAATAATACGTGACGCTACACTTGACACACCTCGCCACAGATTTCTTGATACACCCCCTTCGCATACACTGTTTCTCGACATAACATACCTTCTCAACGAACCTAAGTGAGATCCATCCTCCGCGAATGTAGGCTTCGTCGGAATCGTCGTCGAGGAGTGTGGAGGAGTCGCCCGACATTCTTTCACGATCCGGTGAAGGATCCAGTGGGCCGTCGGGTGTGTCGAGAGAATCAGTGAGGGCACGGAAGATTCGAGGTCGAGGGAGTTCTGACTGAAGTAGAGGAACAAGCGTGGGGTGATTTTCGAGGAGGATATACATTATTGAGAACAGACGCCCCATCAGAACTGTAAACATGGGTCGAAATTTAGCTGATTATTAGCCATATTCAAGGTAGAGAGGTGAAAAGACAGCAGACCAGGTATTTCGGGCACCTCAAGGTGCGACACACAGTAGGGCAATACGTGGTCTAGCACAGCAAGAATATCGCCTTCGATGTACGAGCGAAGCAACCGCTCGCTATAATTCGGGTAATCGTGGTAACTATGCCTCAGTGATTCGCTGAGGAGCGTCATGACGAGTTGATAGGGCTTCATTTCGTCCGTCCCGGGCGAGGACAGTGAGATGTCCATTACATGAAGTAATTTTCTCCAAAGATCTGGCGTTTCAAATAAGGCATGAAAGAAGGCGTCGATCTCTTTGGTGAAGGCCTCATCCCAGAGAACGAGGAGTAGCTGGATTCCCTGATAAGCCTCTGTCGGAGAGTCCCACACTGGTCGTGAAGCAAGCTGTGAGAAGAACTTGGAATATGAGCGGTTGGTCGCTTTCACTATGCGGAGACACATATCGGTCTGAGAGCGCTCGCGGGCAGAGAACAGGCCGCGAAGCTGCTCCCCATCTGGTTTAATGAGGTGGCGAACAAGGAATGCGGAGGAGAGGAAGTCTGCCGTGTTTTTCGCCAGGAGCATATATCGTGTGAGTAGTGTAACGGTTGGGTCTGAAGGGACTAGGAAAATGCTGTCAATGCATAGCATGTAACAGTGAGCGTTCCCATTTCCATAAGATAAACCTGAGAGGAAAGTCTTACTCCTCGAATGAAGGATCGACCTGCATCAATTTCAGGATTAACCGGGGAATGATGGCACGCATCTGGCAAAGGTGTTCCTCTATCTCGATCACAAAGTCTGGTTCTTCCGAGAGCTGCAAGTGGAGCTCAGAGACATCGAGGTCGGCACAATAGCAGACGAAACCGGATGCTCACTCTCTTGACAATACCAGCCCAATGCCTCTTCAGAGACGAGGCGATCGCTTTTTCGGTTGGGCCATAGGGTTCATTCCAGTTTTGGGTGGTCTGGAAGAGAACATCCAGGGGCATGAAATAATACGATGGAGCCTGCGGTAGAAAATACGGTCAGTGAGAGTTAAGCATGAATCGAGGAGGATAGGTGGCAGTACTTCGTCGATCGCGTAGTCGCGGGGAACTTTGAGGTCGATGAAAGTTTGACACAAGCCATCAGCTATTCCGGCTCGCACTAAGCTCTTCCACAAGGGGCCACCGTCGATTGCAGCTTCGTGCACAGCCTTAAGTATGGGATATACGTCCTGTGGAATGGCCACACATACATCCACATTAGAGATGAAATATCCCGCCATGACCAAAGGGTGTTCACCATGTGTATATCTCCCGACGCGCTGGAGGATCCTTCGCGACCGAGCTCTTTGAGAACGGCAACGGCACGAGGTGCGTCCCGTCGTAGGACCCCCTCCCATCGGTCTCGATGCTCTCTCTGATAGGTAAAGGTACGCATTGCCTCCGAATACCTTTGCTCAAGAGACTCCATACCGATGTCCATGATTGTAGCGAACTGATTCAACGAATCGATATTTGAAGCTGCGGAGTACGAATTTAAAGGCCATTAACGTTCTCCCCTTGAAGAGCTACTCAATAGAAAAGGATGCGACCAATTTACTTACACAGGTATTTCAGCGAGACGACCAGTCGAGAGGCGTCGCGATTCAAAAAGGTTCAAAAGATATTCCCAGAGAAGTGTGGTGGTTGACCGCACGAGAGGTGGCAAAGGGCAAGTGGCACGCAAATAAAATAACGAGGCGGAGTTTCAATATGGACCAGATCACGCCACTGAATTTTGTGTCTCTTATTTTTTCGTTCTTCATTCAAGTCAGTTCTACCTTTGCCCAACCTCATTCCTAACACCATAAGCAGTCGTAAACCAACTGCATCCCTCTGATGTTAGTCCGCGAACACAAATATTGACTCTCTCAGGTAGTACAAGCACGAAACTTATATGAGAAATAGACGCCGATATCTTATTTAAGACGATCACCCAGACCGCAAAATCAGTTCCGTCGTGGCCTGTAGACTACTTAGTCCTCGTTGACCAGCTGTATGACCTCGAGTTCCAGTCTCATATTGCAGTGTGGGTAACAGGGTTGGAATCAGCGACGATAGAGGCACGGTACGAACCATGATGCCATCTTCAGGAATTTCGCTAGTGGAGCCAGTGCTTTTTTCTGACTCGGGGCTTTGAGTTTCTCTCCGCTGTTGCAGACTAGCACAATAAAGGAGGCTCGAATCCGGGGTGAATGGTGCCGATTGAGGAGTTGCGCCTCTCCCCCTTGCCATCTCAACGTTCGTCGTCAAGACCTGACATCGCTTTCGTTTCCCCAAGGAGATTGGTATACGGGAAGTTTGCATTGTTATAGGGCTGGAAAGAAGGTATAGCTGGAAAGAACAGTTCAGCAGATGAAATAATGAGGGGGAGAAGCCAATACGCACGGATGTGGTTAAGGAGACATTCAATGTTGACACTAGTCAGCAGGCACCAAATTACACTCAGCTGAATGAAAGACACAGGGTGTCAGCTGATTCTGGATCATCTGTATCATTCCCTTTGTGCTCCTAATCGGGTCAACATATCACGTCCACTCAGATACGGGCCCAACGGTATCTATGTGTAGGATCATTTGTGCGTCGTCACGATGATCGAGAGACCAACGCACCCATAACATTACGAGTTCATGGAAGATGAAAATATCTCGTCCGTGCATTAGAGAAAAAAGTATAGAAGAAAATTAGAACGAGTGTGTTGGTCTGATGGTGACACGACGGCGGAACCGAGAGTGGCACCGTGGGAATTAGCATGTGCATTAGAAAACACAGAAAATATCGAAAATGGACATGGAAAGTATGCATAGACGGGAAAGTGCAAACGTGAGGGGATATATGCAAGATTGATTGCGTGGTAGAACCTGAGAACTCCATCCTGTCAGACGATATAGCGAAACCGAGGAAATAAGGGGAGAAATAGAAAGCAATATGATGAACCGATGACAAAAAGAAAGGAAGCGTTCACCATTTGCTCAAGCCTAAGAGCTACGATGACACAGCGATTAAACACTGCCAACCTAATTTCCACCTTCCTCCCATCCCAGCTCCTCCAGCGAAAGCCCACCGCCAAGTTCCTTCTGCTTAGCGTAGTCGTAGCCCACAAAGCTCATCACACTAAACGGAAAACAAGACCCTATCAGCGTTGCGACGTATTAAAAGTAGATAGGGTTTCCACTCACTAGATAGTGCCATCCGCACAGCCCACCACCACCTCTTCGTGGCTCAGCTGATCGTAGACATGTCAGTTGTCACGAAAAACTTCGAATACAGTCAACGAAAGTGCGAGCCAAAACACACCTGCATCGACATCGGATTCTTCTCCGGTGTGGCCAAACCCGCGAACTTCGCAGGCAAGGTGCCCTTCAAACCCTTGACACCATTTAACCCTGCCGGCCCACCTGCAGCCGCAACGCTCTCCGCATCCTGCAGTGCGCCCCACGCACCAGTCACCGCCGTGATCTCCGTATCGAAGTCCACCGTGGCCGGTTTGCCTGATACGGAACGGTTGAGGCTGGTGTTGAGGCTGAATGGGGAGTTGACACGAGTGCCAGAGTCAGTATCGCTGGTCGAATCGACTTCGTCGTCTTCTGAGGCTGTGGTCTTGCTGGTCTTATCGCGGTGAGTGGACATGAAAATCTAGACACCAAAACAGGGTCAGTGAGCGTGGATTCCGAGGCATGGGGTGAAGGTGAACTCACACGACGGTCTGCGCCCGCACGCGAACTGAATCTGGTAGCAGTGACGACCCTCCTCTTCCTCGGATCCACAGCACCAACGGCCACATCTGGCGTCTCCACAACAGCGACCTATCGCCACCAAAAGGGAAAACCATCACCACGACATGTTCAGTACAGCATCACCCACAACAACGGACGCCAAAACCCACCAGCTTCGGTGGCGCCGTCAAGATCGCCGCCCTCCCAAACCTAACAGCCATCCCTCTCTCACCCATACCGGGCGACATCCCACTCGCACTCATTGGCGTGCCTGGCGTCCTCGGACTAGCCGCTCCATTTGTCGACATCGCGAGACTACTCCTCCCTTTCGCGCCCGACCCTGAACCACTCGTATTTGTCGAGATGAGCGACGGTCTCCTCGCGGGAGTGCTGAAAGAGTTCGATGATGTAGACCGTGACAGGGAAGAAATAGTTCGGAGACGCGGATTGGAGGAAGCGGAGGCATTCAGACTATCCCTGGGACCGGTGCTGAGGTTGTTGCTAAGATGGTTGGGCGTAAGAGGTGGGTTGGGATTGACTTCGGATGCAGGGGAAGCTAGGAGTTGGGGGCCATCCTCTGTCTCTGTCCATTGGAGGTGGAGAATGATAGATTTGGTGGCGCACTAGACGCAAGATGTTAGGGTTTTTGAGATTCCGCACAAAGGTAAAGAATGAGAAGAATAATGGGCGTACAGTCATCTGGGTACCTTGAGCAGCGAACCATCTATGCTAACTTTTCAGGGGTGCAAGAGGGAAAAGATGATCGAAACGACATACTGCAGCATATTGTTAGGCGCCATTCCGACGTTATGCAACTTCGCATTCAACACCGGGTCGCCCGCCCCCAACTCCGACAACTTGAACTGCGAAATCATCACCCGTTGTTCTACAATTCCCATAAGATCAATCAACACAACGACCTACATCCACACCCCAGGGGAAATTGAAAGAGGACTTACTGATGGAGAACACCCTGACAATCCCATCAATCGTCACACTGACCACCCTCTCTCCCTCCTCTCCTCCGGCCCCACCACCCGCACTGATCAATTGCACCCCAATATTCACCGTCGTTTGCTGTCCAAACCTCACGATCTTCGTTCCGGACCTCCAATCCCAACAAACCAGCGCTTTATCGGCCCCGGCTGACACCAAGTTTTTGGAGGACAGCGCGACGGCACGGATGCCGTTCAGGTGACCAGCTAGTTGCTGTAGCGCATTGAAGGTCACTGAGGAGAAGAGGTGTACGCGGCCGACGTCGTGGAAACCGACGACGAAGACCTCTGGAGAGTGGGAGATATTCGCTCCGGGTGAGTAGGGTGATGGCGCAGATATCCCGGGATGAAGAGGCTTGCGTACCTTCGTCTGCCAAGAAATCGACACAACTGACGGGTTTCTTGACTTGTAAACACTTCTTCAACTCGCCCGTCTCGATATCCCAGAAGCGAATCGTCTCGTCGTATGAGCCACTGATCAAACGCTTGCCTGTTGTGCCACACGACGCCACAATATTAGCCTCACCCTCATGGATCGATGAAAAGGTGCAACAGGACTTACCGCGCAACAGCAAGGTCGTACAGAAATTCGTGTGGCCGTTCAAGAACCTTACACTCTGTGGGAGCGCATTGCGGAAGTTAGACTCTCGGTGGTGTAACGAGCGATACAGTGGTTCCCTGCGATACCACATTTCAGCACACACGTCCTCAAATATTCCAAAGATGCGTGGACCGTAAATGTGTCAACTGAAACGTACCAGCCAGCAGGAGACTTCGGCGGCTTGAGTGGCAGAGGATCCGTAGCTGTGGTTTTCAGGCAGTGATACTTCCAGAGAGCGGGCATGTGGACTGCTTCTTGCCACTTCTTCGATACCTATGATACGTATCAGACATAAATCGAAATATCCGATAAAGGAAAGGAGGGGAAATGAGAGGCAAGCGACACGATGTACGGACAGGTTCGACAGCGAGGAGCTCTTGGACAGTGAGGTGTTTGAGAATCTTGAACACCAAGTCGGGCGCGAGATTTCCGATGATATCGAACGTAGATTTTGCGTACTTCTCCAATAGCAGGATTTGCAAGCGAATATCTCCAGGCATGCAAGCTATAAAAATAGAAGGCGGGAACATTCAGTATAGTCACATCGCAAATAAAAGTAGACAGCTTACAATCGAGAATGATAGCAATCCTGCGCAGAAACATCAGTGATGAAACAGAACGTTGGAGAAAGAAAAACTCACAGCCGCATCCTCTCATCCCTGCTCAGTCCTCTAATCGCCTTCTTCACCTCCGTCTCATTGAACTCCCCCTCCCTACTTCCCCTCAAGGCCTTCAACAGATCCACATCTCCCTCTTCATCACCCGCACGATCATCGCGATATCCGCTCCAGTACCCGCCCATCGTCTTCTTCCCACCACAGGTACAAAACTCGTCCTCATCCTGCATTCCCATAACCATTCCACCATTCATTCCCCTCTCGCGTTCGCGTTCTCGCAGGACCGAGACCTCGGCGTGGAGAGCATGAAGCTGCATGGCTTGGGAGGCTTGGGAACGTTCCAGGAGACGTTTGTAGTGAAGAAGTTTGCGTTGGTGGATATCGAGCAGTGTCTGCAGCCCTGCTTGGAACTATGCAATGCGTTTCAACAAACGTCAGGCGGTCAGCATCCTGAGGAATTGAGCCGAAACCGAGACGAGCACGTACATCCTCATCGACATCCCCATCCCCGGCATCCGTGACCATCTCCAACGTCATATCATCGCCATCCCACATCGACATCGCATCGGATGAATCTCCTGCTTCGGCCACCAGCCCCAAACTAGCAGCAAGACTATCTGCTCTCGGAGGCGACGAAATTGTCAACTCCGAAGCCCCCGACCCACTCTCCCTATGTCTCTGTGACTTCGTTTTCCCATTCGCCACACTAGGCCCACTACTCTTCCTCGCAGGAGTCGAACTCTTAGACACTGGTGGTGCCCCTCTCGCAGACGGAGCCGTACTTTTCGGGCCTTTGGTCTTGGGAGACGCGGTGAGTGGCGGAGTAGGCCGTGCCGAATTATTAGCTTTTATATTTGCTTTTACTTTGGGACTGGGAGACATGAGGTTGATTTGTGGGGACGAGGTGCTCGTGCTGAGATTGGCGTTATTTGGCGAAGAAGGAACGGAGATTAAACGTGCGCGAGGAGTCGTTGGTGGGTTGAAGCTCGACGGTGGGGGTGTCAGAGAAGAAGGCGATTCAGGCGTTTTGGCTTCGTACATGGAGACAGGGCGGGCGATGCTCCGAGTCGTGCCCGCGACCGAGGCTGGCGGCTTCATACTCGGCCTCCCACTTTTACCACCACCAACACCGTTTGCCAACGGCAATCCATTACGATATGATGTTACAGGCGAAGGTGACGACGGGCTATACGGTGTGCTAACAGAATTGGAAGGGTAAAGAGCCTGGATGGGCGCGGATTGAAGTCGGTTGGATGAGAGGGACGGAGCTGGGATGGAGGTAAAGGATCGTTTGCGATTTCCAGCAAAGGATTCGGTGTTGCCGCTGAACGATTTTGGGGTGACGGTTGGGGTTTCGGAGGTTTGGGAAGCGTTGGAGATGGCGCGGGGCTTGCTGACGGCGGCCGACGCGCTCGTGCGTCGCGAGATGCGCGAGGGCGCTTCGGAAGGGACAAGAGATCGGCGTGAAGTCATTATTCTATTCCCAAAAAGCGATGTACAATATGTTTAGATCGGTTTCTAAGAAATAATGTACTGAGCAGATGAACGCACCTGCTGACTGGCTATCCTTCGAGGGCCTTTCCTCTTCGAAGGCGTCGTCACGCTGAGTAACCACCAAGATCAGTCAGACCGTATAATCGAGCCGCCGCCAGTAACCCGCTTATTGTCTGCCCGTAGAAATTAGAATAACTTTCGAAGAGCAAGTATTCGAGATAATAATGAGACGCACAGAAAGTCGGCCTTCCAATGAACCAGTGTCCGAGTAATTCTGTGTCCTAAGCACTTTATCGATATCCGACTACGTTTATTCCACGCCACAAGACGCCCAGGCACAACAGTCTCAACACAACACCAGTCAAACATCGTTGATGGCACATACCACAGTACTGTAGTTGCCACCAATGATTAGTGCGCTGCGTCAGAGACAACAAGGGGATGTACGTGCACTACGCTATCTGGTGCTCTGACGTTCAAGTTGCAACGATAGCTGAGTCCACAGAGTTCGGCAACTTTTGAGGTTGATTGAGACCGTAGTACTTTGGGTATCACGTCCAATTATCCAAGAAGCGTTCGTAATCAGGCCAAGAAAAGATTAAAGGAATGCGAAGATGGTGGGGGGTGCGATGAGTGGATGCTGGACGCGACTGACAGTGAACGCGCTTCCATTCCCACGAAGGTACCGAGTAAAATGTACGCCACTGTGGCACATAATACGTCCCGAGTTGCTGGCATACTAGGGCATACTTCTTCCGACCTTCCTTGAGGAAAACGCAAGGAAAACGTCTACAAGAGAAGTTGAAAAAATTGTAGACTCTCATCTACAACATTTCCAGTGACAATATGTCAACGGCTTTCTTCAGCATTCTTCTCCAATCATTTCCCCGCTGTGTCAATGGCACATCACAAATAATGTCACAATCGAATCTGCCACATATCGAGCGCCGTAAGTAACTCTCCCCTTGGAAACCATCGCCATGATATTTATCCAGAAAGTATCGCTCACATTATACCTTCATACCTAACACGACAAGAAATTTGGCAAGTTCTAGGGTAGGCACGACCTGTACTTAATCATTTTGCGTCTCTGAAAGGCTGCCGCCTTCGATTTCCACGAGCGAATTATATAACTTCTGTGGTTCACAGTATCGTAAGGCTACCTGGCGCAATGGTAGCGCGTTTGGCTTCGACTGCCTCTCGGTACCAAAAGGTTGCAGGTTCGAGTCCTGCGGTGGTCATACCACATGTGGCATTCACAATGTTTTTCACCTAAACATGTTCTTGCCCTTCATGGTTCAAATTTTTGTCATAGCTCCAAGGCGGTCGATCCAGCAGAACACCGAACCTGGGGGTTTCCTTTTGCCTTTCTGCCTTCTGGTCCGGACTCGACGAAGACGACTACGGCTTCTGCTCGGTAGCATCTAACACAGGAAGTCGGTTGATCAAGCCACGACCGTATTTCACCTTGCAGGTCCTTGTGCGAGGATCACATGAAGTTTCTCATGCTCAACACGATCACGGTCCGCCAGACCTCGTACCGCAATTACCCCGTTTGTGTGCGCCTATTTATATACCGTACAATACGGTCGGGTTCTACGGTGGTCCGTATCGCTCCTCTAAACCATCATCACCACCCACAAGCCTCCCAGGACCGCCTGACCGCCTCGAAAACGCGGACGTTGCGCAGACGATATAACGCGACCTACACCCTTTGTGGGCAAGCGATCTGGCCAATAAATTTCTTCTAAAGCCACCTCTTTTTGGCGTCGGTCAGCTGTGCGTGTGCCGGTATACCTCGTGACATCGACTGCCGCCTAGTCACTCTCAGGCTGGGATTTGATTCTCCCTCTCTGACTTGTTTCAACTTCGTCCTGCTGTCCAACTGAGTCTCTTCGAGCAATAATGGCTGAGATGCATGGCCCTCCACTGTCACCAACTATGATACCAGATGACTTGACCATCGCTCAGTTCATGCTGGACAGACCTCATCCTTACAGGTCTACGAGCCGGCCGGTGGAAGCGCCGTGGCTTGTGGATGATGCAACGGGCAGGAAGATCGGGTTTGAGGAGGTTAGAGTTAATACTCCAGCATTCCAATTTTGATTGATGCGACTGAACCGTCCTCTGACTTACAGATTCGTGCTCGGGTGTTCGGTTTGGCCAACACTTTGAGCTTCGACTATGGGATTAGGGAGAACGACGTGGGTAAGAATTCATCGTCGTTGTCTATATTCTCATCAAACATGGAAACGTAATGCTGATTAGATGACTATCATAAGTCTGCCTCATGAGCCAGAATCATGTCGGTAAGTCGTATTTTGAATAAATGGGCGACGTCGGATGGCTTGCTCACATGAATCACTTTAGACTACCCTCTGGTCATCTGGGCTCTCCATCGTCTAGGAGCTATCGTAACGTGCGTTTTTTCCACAGTGCATCCTCCGGATCATTCACTAACGGTTAGATTTGGGCTAGTCTCACCAACCCAGCCTTCACGTCCTCCGAGCTTCTCTATCAGCTTGAGCTCACTAAAGTGAAAGCTGTTGTGTCCGACATCTCATCTCTATCAGCAGTCGAAGAAGCTGCCACACACTATGGAATTCCTCAATCACGCATCATTCTCATGGACGGCAACTCTTCTGGCCGACCGAAGTACGCGACAATAGATACACTGGTGCAGGGGGGGCTGGCTAATACAGCTTGTTTCGAGGAGAGACGACTTGCGCCGGGAGAAGGAAAGACGAAGATTGCAATCTTCTGTTTTTCGAGTGGAACGACCGGAAAGCCCAAGGTCAGTGTTACTAACTCCGTGAAACCCGTACGATCAGGATTCATTGGGCCGGTACCTCTCGTGTGTTCAGGCTGTTGCGATACCACATTACGCTCCCATAGCGAACGTCGTGCAGTCGGCCCTCTTCTGGAAGTCAAATGGCGGGTCTGACTCGAGGTTCAAGCCAGGCGATGTGAGTCTAGGCGGTCAGTTGCTTTGTGATCCTAACTATTCTTCGCATGAGTTTCTGCGGGCTTATATAAACTGTCATGCAACTAGTGCTCCCATTCTTTCGTAAGTCTCCTGGAATATATCCGTGACTTGGATGTCTCCGAGTCTGATATCCGCCACCGAAATGTTGCTGTTCATGACAGACGTCTATGGGTTGATTCTTGGAGTAGGCAATGCACGTTCCTCGATGTCATTTGCATCATCACTGACTCTTTGCTTCGTTAGCTATTCTGGTTCTTGTTTTGCGGCGTTAGTGGCTCCGTAGACTAGCCAGAGTATACACTTGTTGACTGAAGTTATCTAGGTGACAGTCGTTGTCGTCCCAAAATTCAACTTCATAGACATGCTGAAGAGCATTTCCACATATAAAGTGACCCATCTGATGTTCGTATCCCTATTATCACCTACCATCGCTTGCTCGATCTTGATTTCGCCTGACTTACCACTGAAAACAGGCTTGTACCTCCTCATGCCGTTCTACTCTGCAAGGTTCATCCCCTCCTTTCGTTTGCTCAATTCATTCACTAACTTATGTGCTCGAACAGTCGCCAGAAACAAGGCAGTATGACCTCTTTTCCGTCAGGCTCTGCCTGTTCGGCGCTGCACCGCTCTCGGCGGAACTCACGAACCAGTTCGTAAAGTTGTTTCCAGGTGCAGAGGTTGGTCAAGGGTATGGTATGTAATACTCGATCCTCATTATATTCTCCCCTTTCATGCTCATCTTGGCATTGTGCGGCCTATCGAATAGGTATGACCGAAACAGCCACTCTGGTCCTTTTGGTACGTGTCCCTTCATCAAGCGGCCATTCACATCCACTCGCTTTATATCGTTAATGTCTCCACCACTGAAAATATAATCTCTAGTACCCTCTCTCGCAACGCGTCGGTACTATTGGCAGCGCAGGACACCTTCTGCCTGGAGTATCTGCGAAAATTGTAAAAGCAGACGGGTCATTAGCGAAAGTAGGCGAACCAGGCGAGTTCCTCATCAAGACTCCGGCGATGGCACTGGGGTACTACCAGAACGAGATAGCGTGAGTGCTATGTCTCTAGAATGGAGCGGATTGTAAGCAGGGGCTGATTCTTGTTGCAGCACGAGTGAGACATTCATAAACGGGTAAGTCTTTTGTTCAGTATCCTAGGTCGCGAAACGTAACTTCATGGTGGGCGATTCACAGATATGTTCATTCCGGGGATGAAGTCGCAGTTGACGAGAATGGTGACTTTTTCGTCATCGACCGTCTCAAGGTACTCCCTCTTCCTCCCTCTTCCTGTTGTTCCATCTTCATCGCTATTACCTTGTTCAATTGAAAATCTGCTGATGTCCGCTGCTATAACAGGAATTGATCAAAGTACGAGGCTTCCAAGTCGCTCCCGCCGAACTCGAGGGCCACCTCCTGGACCACACTGCCGTTGCCGACGCCTGCGTTGTCGGTGTGCCAGATGACTACAGTGGTGAAGTTCCATTTGCGTTCGTTTCTGTTGATCCAGATACTGCGAAGCTGCTGAAGAACGACGCTACTGGAAGGGAGAGTGAAAGATTGAAGGAGGACATCAGGAAGGTACGTCTTGCTCCTCTCTCAGCCGTGCTTTCAGAATATTCACGAAGGCCTATGTATGTCGATAGTTCGTCGCGGATACCAAGGTATACTACAAGAGGCTGGAAGGCGGAATAGAATTCATAGAGACGGTTCCAAAGACACCGAGCGGGAAGCTGTTGAGGAGAGTCTTGCGAGATCAGGCCAAGGCGATCCGTGCACGCAAGCTCGCTGAGGGAGGAGCCGAAAGTTCTGCAAAGGCGAAATTATGAGAATCCGTGGTACTGCCCGCTTTCAAGATATCTAATATTTCTACGACCTCTACGCCTGTTTTTGTATAAAATTATGCATGTCACTCAACTAGATCGGCACAGTTGTCTTCAAAACACTTACAGGTGCAGTGGGATGACACCAAGGATCACCCGAGTATCTAGACTCGAACCACTCCCTGAGGCAAGCTGGTTCACTCGAAGATAGTTGTTCGAGTTGCCGCCGCCACCGACGTGCTATTTCCGGCTCGGTTTCTTCTGGGACTGGTTTACCAGTCTACCGAGTATCATGCATCTCAGACTGGATGAGGCGCACCCGACGAGAAAGAGCAGGCATCATGATTCGAGGACTGCGTCCGTCATCGTCGAGACCTTCAAAAACGCCTGAAGCAACGCCGGAACAACGAAGGGTTCCTGACACTCCCTCTGGATGTTTATCATGTCCCTAGACCTAGACTCTCTCTCCTCGAGTAGCTTTTCGTCGCTTCGTTGCCGTTCCAGCCTCTCATGGTTACGCGAGGTCTTGACGTTTTTGAGATGCTGCTCGATCATATGGGCGGCCGCTGAGAACATCGTGTCACTTCGTCAGCAATTCCTCTCTATCGACCAGATAAGACCCGAAGAAAGAGAGCACCTACTTTTCAGGTCGTGCTCTGCACCATCCCAGCCCTCTTCCTGAATGGCCTCTTCCTGGATCCTCAATAACACTTCCAATGCCTGTTCCTTTTCCGTTCTTAATCGCTGAATCTCCTCCCACATCCACTTCTCCACTCCCATCATTTCTTCGGTAGTCCGCTTGCAGCGGTTGAGCTCCTCGGTCTGATTTTCTATCTGGTCACGCAGACCGGCCAAAACCGAAACATGATATTTCTTCGTCACGGTGTACGGCGACGTAGACGGAACGGGGGAAACATCGATTGAAGATGTACTGATACCGGAGGTTTCCGTAGGAAGAAGAGGAGCAGGAGGAAAAGGAGAACGAGGAGGGGAAGTGGGAGGCGCATTCGCACGTGCGGCCATTTTAGCCTTCCGCTTGAGTTTCGCAGCTCGGACTTCAGCCTTATGAACGCGGGGTGCAATGTGCGATGCATCTGAGTTAATGAATGGGTCCTGTTCTAGAGCACACTTTCTACGAGTGGAAAATGTTGTCAATAAAATTTCTAATATGATGCTAAACATCTGAATCACGGCGCACCTTCTTGCGCGAGCATTTTGACGGTCCTTCTGTTCACGGTTGTTCACGCGGTTTGAGCTCATTAATGTTTGAGTAGCTGAAAGTAGGAACACTATAGAGAAAACCGAGCTTAAGCGCAAGAGCGAAGGCCAGGGATCAAAACGATCAAACTAGACCGATGGACCTTGAAGTTGGATTGCCAGTGATAGCTCCACGATTTGTCCACTATCACGGGGAAGCATACGAAAGCAATTGAAGTCAGGGCGGAGATTGAAAGGAGCCGCAGTGCCGAGAGGACGGATCCTTGAGCAATGCTCGATTTCACTGGACATGAGCTGAACGGAGTCCTTGGGTAGCGCTACCTCCATCCTGATTTTGAAGAATCCTCAGTGTGATAAGGAGTGCTCACATCGCGTTCGGCAGTCATATTGATTAGGAACTTTGAAGACCAATAAATAACCAGGAAGGAAAATGTGCCATGCGCTCTACGGGAAAGTGGGTACAATATCATTCAAGTATCGTGTCGGTCATCTTTGACATCTTCAAAAATGCCTGGAGTAGCGCCGGAACGACGAAGGGGTCTCGACATTCCCTCTCAATATTCATCATGTCCTTCGCCCGTGACTGTCTCTCCTCCAGTAGCTGCTCCTCCATCATCTGGCGTCCCCGTCGCTCTTGATCACGCGAATCCTTCAGAACGTTGACCTGCCGACCGACAACGTGAAGGGCAGCTGATGATATAGATGGACTCGTCACTCGTTGCTTTAGGACTGATAGAGAGAGCTTAAAGAAAAGGGAACACTTACACAGTAGATCGCACTCCGACTTGACACCGTCTTGTTCCTCATCCTGGCTGACCTCTTCCTGCATCTTCATCACCACGTCCAACGCCTGCTCATTGGCCATCCTCAATCTCTTGATCTCCCTCTGCATCTCCGTCTCCCCATCCATCATTGCTTCCACCGTCCGCTTATAACCGCGCATCGCCTCGTTCTGAGCTTCTACCTGGCTACGCAGACGAAATAGTTCAGTACGAGAATCGTCGCTCGGGGTGGGTGGCGAGAAGCTTGGCGATTCCGATGGGTATGACTCCTGAATTGGGCTCTGTAATGGCGTTGCTGACATCGTCACATATCCAGGCGGATATTCGTATGCCTCAGTTTGTCGTGCGGAAGATGAAAGCTGGCCTTCATTACGGCGACCCAATGGAATAGCATTCGATCCAGACTTCTTTTTGCTGCGTTCTCTACCGTCAAGCTGGATTGAACCGCGTCCGTTACTCGGCAATCCCGCATTTGATCGATGTGTGGTCTGCGGCGCCTTCGGTGTGGACTCACCAATGTGACTGAAAGAGTGTGGAGGGTCAATGGTAACTGATGGGCGAGGCGGAAGAGAAGGATGGGGAAAGGTAGAGCCAGCCAGAAGCGTAGCAGACGTGGAAGATGTTGAGGGGATTGTAATGTCAAGAGACGAAGACGATGGAACTTCGGAAGGCCAAGGTTCACGAAATGGAAGTTGATTCAAGGCTTGGTTCATGGAATAGGATATGTCTGTGGTCGTGGAACGACCTTGCTCGCCTCCATGCAACAGTGTCGGATTCGCAGACCTCCACATAAACGGTATATCTGACGGCTGGAGCGGACCAGCGACAGAATTGAATTGGAATTGGAACCTATAAAAATGGATATGAACGAACGAGGACTGATAATTGGTATGTGTGCGTTTGACTTACAACTCCAAAGAGATCCTGTAAAAGTTCTTATTGTTAACACGTATCATTCTATGAAAAAATAAGAACATGCTGATGATTATCGTACAAGGAACATGATTTGAGCTGATTCGGTGTCGCAGACTCTACATGCGTCTTGAGGTTATGCTCGAGGACCTGGCTAACAAATGTTCGGCGTTCAATCCTCGTGATACTTGGAAGATGGTCATACGGGTGCCCAGACATAGGAGTGGGTTCACGTACGCCGTCTTTTTCACATCATAAGTCAATTCCAAGGCTTCTGGGAAAGTCTTTGAGATGCGAACGTTGTTTTGCTTCGGAAGAGAAATCTTCAGGAGCTTCAGATCTTTCGCGACAGATTTCGAGAATGTATTTTTGAGACTCTGCGGGGTCGCGTTACGCCGTATTTTCTCCGCCGTTATGCCTTCGTACCGCATACGGAGAACGAAGCTATGCCCCTTCTCTGGTTGCCCCTTGACCATTCTATCGAAGCATAAGAGCGGCGTGTTGAGTTCGGGGCGTTTTAGGGGCTTAGGACTCGGATGGGGACGGTTTCCTGATGATATGTCGAGCGCTGGTCGAAAGGACTGCATCAGATTGACAAAATTCCACAGGGTATACTTAGAAGTATACGTACGAGGGTAACATAAGAAGTGTCTGAGTATATGCTGGTAGTCCAAGACCGAGAACTGGACACCGGTGACCGAGACAGTGCCAGCTAACGAAAGCGATAAGAAATTTGACCCGTGTTTCGGCGAGTGCCGGAAACTCCGCGTGTGGCGTGATAATCGGAGGGCAGTTACTTAATATATGTAGAGTCGAGCAGGAGCTATGGCACACAAAAACCTGTCCTGTACAGGAGAGGTAACCATATACCCGCGCTTATCACGGATATGATTATGTACTCAAGACTGATTTGAGAAGCTCTAGAAACACAAAAAACTCTTTGCATCCCCTCTCAATTTCCGCCTCGTGCGTACTGCCTCGAGAGCGTGATGGTAAGAGACAAAGAGGTTGTGGGAAAACCACAATGTGGCGGTCAATATTTACGTGTCGCTCCATGGTCCTTCCGGGGAAGTATTTCTTCCCAGTTTAGAAGAAACGTACATTCAAGCCAGGAAACGGAGTTAGAGTAAAAAGAACAATGATTCGAGTACCTTTCTGTATCATGTCTTGAGTTCATGAAAATCATTTTGTCAACATATCAAACATTTTCCACCGCGAAGTTAGGGTGGCCCATGGCAAGCCCATGAGCGGCCTAGTCAAGTGATTGTATTTTCCTAGTTTACTACAACATAACGGCCCGATAACAAACGAGAGGCAGACGCAGGAAGCGCGAGATGGGAAGGTAAAGATTATGAGTACATGCAATGACCTCGAAGAAGAGCTACCATACAATAACATACGAGCCGGGCGGAACAGCGCGAAGCAGCGAAAGCGAACAATAAATGTAATTGACAATATCAGCCCAAAATAGAATATTATGCGAGCGCATACACAAGATGCATGCATGTGAATTGCCGTAGCTAAACAGGAAGGTACGATTGAGTCGTGAATGGAAGTTCATGCATGGGGGTGTGGGGTACACAAAGGAAGGAAAGGAAGGGGAGAGAGCAACTTGACAAGCGAAGTGGGAGCTTCAATCAACCTTGTCGATCTGAATCGTACACGTACGACGACGATGCATGAGGCTGAGAAGGTAATGACCTATACGGAGCCGTGGAAGGGTACGGAGGTGGACGGCGAGCGACACCGGGATCACTATGCGTACGTGGTGGCGGGGGCAGGAGCGACTTCTCAATCGCTCGCTGCTTGCGATAGTCGATGTAGTCCCTGAGACCCAGCTCGATCTTGCATAACCGGCCCTCGAGCGTCGGCAACTAAACGCAAATAAATGAAAGGCATGGATACATGAGTCAACTTAATCTTATAATAGCTAGGTCCGTGCGCAGAGTATACAGAAAGAGAAGGATAATAGACTCACGTAGTCCATCACGTCATCCGGAAGATTAGGTTTGCGCCTACTCGTCTTTCCCTTCCCTTTGTCATTATCCTTCGTACGAGTGGGGGATGCGCTTCTCCCTCCGGGTGGAGAAGGCTGAGGATACGGGCGAGGAGGAAGCTCTGTGGGCCCATGCTCGAAGTCATCCGGAAGAAGACCCGCGGGATGCGGCGGCTGCGAAGTAGACGGAGGTACCCAACGCCCCTTCGACTGCGAGGCTGGGTATGAGTGAATGGGCCCTGGCTCTCGACTCTCGACAGGAAAAGTGATCATCATACTCCCAGCGATTCCGACTGACGTCGAACGCGTCCTGTCGTTGAAACTGTAGAAGCCTCGCATTGCACTAGGGACGACGTTCGTCATCGATGAGACACCTGCGGCAACCCGACGTTTCTTGACGGGAGGCAATTCGTCTACAGGAGATTTCTGAATAGGAGATCGTGTCTCAGTGGACGAGTAGGTAGGGACGGAAGTATGGGACGCAGGGGAATAAGATTGGAGAGAATTCGAAGTGCTTCGAGATGGAGACTCGCTTGTTTGGTCGCTACTGGAAACCAAACACCGCCGGTCCCAGACAGGACTCGAGGGTGATACTTGGTGAGGTCCAGGTTCGATTCTTGACGGTTGTTCTTGGTCGTGCCATTGAAGGCCCTGTTGGCCGGGAGTAGACTGAATGGAGGTCATGCCAGTCGTATTACCGGCCGAGCCGCGCTCTCCTGACACTGTGCGCAAGGAATATTAGTAAATGGTCGTTGGCCAAGACGCGGTAAACCAAACGTACCCGGAGAGATCGTCGAAGGTCTTCCGTCGCTACGAGAAGAGGGAAGCGTTCTCTGTGATGCGGCGTGGCCACGCTTAGCGGATGAGTTATGTCTCATCGGTCGAGAAAAGTCTGACACGGAGAGGATGTAGTATGCACCGTAGCGGTATAGCATGAGATAATGATAATGAATAGATTATTTATTATACTCACCGGTATGAATTCTGCAGTCGAACCGGGGTAGGTGGAAGAAATCACCGCAGGATGGCGTCCTTATATATGCAACAGGATTTAATGTTTGGGGATGTTAGACTGAGATTCAGACACTGCATACACGACCAAAGCACAGAAAATATTTTTTCTGCGGAAGGCTCGGCAATGATTACCAGCTTCCTCTCCGCCCCGATGGGCGACAGAGTTCATCATTCGAATCGGACGCCCGAAGATGTTGATTCGCCCGAACGATATTGACACAGCGTTCAGTCCGTCGAATATGTCGTGCCGTGGAGGCACTTTCCAGTATCTGGAATAAAATGCATTACACAATAAACAGAGTGAAATTGAGAAAGAACAGGGTGTGCTGAGAGAGAGAGTATTCTGTTCTAGATTAGGAGAAATACGACGTGATGCACTGTCTGCAGGTAACATTCTCTGGGCGTGGAGCTCATCCCGTAGGGCGGCGACGCTAGTTTGAGGCTGTTCATGCGCCCTCTATTGTTACGGGATAGTGTTGATACGGGATCGATACTAGGAGATGAAAGCTCTCGTGGGAGAGCGCGACATGGTTCTGCTCTACGCAGGTGGTAGGAGCAGAAAACGGCCCATCCCCCTCCCAAGCGATCGAGACTTTGAAAAAATACACTCACCTCATCCATTCTAAGCAATTGCAATGGGAACAGAAAACGTACCCGGAAAAGGATGCCTAGCAGCCCAAAATTTCTATCATTATATTTGGTAGCGCTCGCGGGACCAGCCTCTAGATTGCAGACATGACGGGAACAACGCTGAGAAATATGTATGGTCAGTAATGAAGCCGTGCCATAGGACGTTGACGCTGCATATGAATTAATATAAAAGGTAAAGTTTTGCTGAGCAGGCAGCATGAGAACGTTGGGGGGGAGTGGGGAGAAGGGGGAAGAGTGGCATGAGAAAGAGAGACGGACGCAGAAAGACCCAGGAGGACTCGGGAGTTGCCGGAAGGTTCCCGGGCTCCGAGCGTGGCGTACTGTGGCGCCGAGTCAAGGATAGTCTCCGTATAAGTATGCCCGGACATGGAAGGAGGGAGGATCAGAAAGTGGGCTGGGGTAGTTCACTTCCGTATCTTGTCTTGCTTCTATGTTCAATGTACCCTTACTGTACATGTAAGGAACACCTAAGTCCTGTTTGTACCAACTTCAACCAAGTTTGTACGCCGCATGGCGAGCTTCTTATATTCGTCCGAGTCGTTGTGTGCCAGTTATAATGTTTGTCGAGCTGGTGGACCCTCAAAGGTGTGCTTGTCACCGTCAATTATCATCACTCTCCGTAACTTATTTAATATGGTACGTATACACGATACATGCTGAAACCTAACGTGAAAAGAGCTCCAGTGTCCAGTGCTGTACTTCCCTCCCACCGAAAAAATTATTCATCGAGCAATGTACCCGTTAGAAGTCGCACACGACCGTGTATGAGTCGAAAACGGAGGGCTTTGACTGGCGGGAAGCATAGGCATCTTAGCCCTATTTTATCTCTTTAATGATGACCCAAACTTCCGGATGTATACTCACTTAGAAGATATATGGTGCGTGTGGACTCGAGAGCACGCCTGAGTGGCTTTACCACACGTAATGTGTCGATTGAAATAACAGGGCTCAAAGGAGCGGGTCAAGGGAATGGACCTGTGCGGTAGCGATGGTAGCACGACGAAATAGGTGGAATTGAGTAATGCAGAAGACTTGTCCCCTGCGAGAGACAGGATCCGGTCGTCAGGCGAAGCTGCTATGAGGTGAGAAGAACTGGTTCGGTCGCTGTGTTTGTGCTGGACATTTGCCCGTAACGCGGCGATAATTCCACTCGGTGCTAAACAACGGTGCTTCGGTGGTGGCGTTGATCCCGGACGATGGGCTCTTTGGGAGGTGCAGGAGGCGAATCGTAGACCGGGTTCAAACCTGAATGGTCTCCACAGTGGTAACCCAGAAGGGAGGTTTACACATATGGAAGTTTTTAAGCGCTAATGCCCGGATGCTACCCTCCGGTTGTTGAAGTACTTATTCAAAAGGGGATAAGATGCATATGAAGGGAAGATGAGAGACGCATGGAATTCGGGGATCATACTTTAAATCTAACTTACCGAGGATTCCACTTGACATACACTGTTGCAACACATCCCATTTAAATACGACGTATCACGACTGTCGGGCCTTTCAGCTCAAATGAAGACGACAACCTCAACTTTCGGGGATCATGAGCCAGCTGTGGGTCATTTGATACCAGAAGTGCGCACCTTGAGTAGTGCTCATGTCTGCAGATTAATCACATCTTCGGGGCGATACACCGACCGCAGCGGTGATCGCACTCGATCTGCATGAGAAAAGGAGGGAAGTCCATATCGTCCAGTCACTTTGACATTGGCCACAGCTTTAAGTGCACTCAGTACCTCATTTGAAAGGAAGCAGACGTTGTGTCTCACCTGATGATCCAATTTCTTTTACTGTCGCAAATAAATGAACGAGACCAACGTGCATGAATACGAGAATAGGGGACTTCGGGTATCATATGTTGAATGATCAAGGCAAATCTGGATCATCAAATGCTGATTTCGAGATGCGGATTCCGGTGCGAGACATATTTCACAGCGGTATTCGGGCCTGTTAGACCAATAATGATGCCTTCGGGAATCATAAGATGAATTTAGTTGAGCTAATACCTGTTTTGAACCACGCACCTTACGGACAAGAGCACTACAAGAGCGCACAAATCTGGTGAGTACGAATGAGCGGATGTCGGGCCTGCAAGATCAAAAAAAGATGCACCCGGTGATCAAAAGACAACCTCCATTCATTCAATGCTTTTCATGAATGAGGGTTTTGCGGAGGGCGTCAGCGGCGATTGGTGCGATATGCATCAAAGCTCGACGCAAAGAAGATACGGTGACGGTCATGACACCGGTGATCATACCATATCTTTGGATGCCCCCAGTACTGCTGTTGAAGGAAGATTTTGGAATGCCATCAATAGTAGACGCTAAAGATCAGAAAATCAAATTTCATAATGTCCGGAGAGGTCGCCCGTGCTATATCATCTTCGTCGCTGAGATTTCCCTGCACGGTTCCCGGAGGGAACAGCGTGCGCTCGGTACGCCAGTTGGCGGAGTTGCATCCAAATGAATGTCGACAAGGATTCTCCCGCCTTGACTTTGCGCCCAACGAGAGAGAAACCTCGTGAAGGGGCCGCACGTACTGTACTTAATTGAGTGAGGCATATTACAACGATAATGAGAAGATTACCGTGCTGTTTACATAACGTCGTTTGACATCTTTGACAACTTGAGAAAGGCATCGAGGAGGGCCGGAACGACAAAGGGGTCCCTACACTCCCTCGCTATGTCGTTCAAATCTCTGGTTCTGGCTTCCCTCTCCGATTGCAACTGTTGCTCGACTCGCTGCCGTTCCGCTCGTTCGTGATGGAGCGAGGCTTTCATGCTGCTGACACTTTGACCAATTAAGTGAAGTGCAGCTGGAACAACAGTAGACTCATCAGAAAACGAATAGAGTCTGTAAACGATAGTTCGAAATGGAAATCGTACTCATCAGATCGCTACTGGCAACAACTCCATCCCAGCCCTCGTCCCGAATTGCCTCCTCCTGCATTCTCCTGACTACCTCTAAAGTCTGCTCCTTCTCGTTATTCAGTCGCCTAAGGTCCTCCTTCATTTCCTGCTCTCCCTCAAGTAGTAATTCCACCGTCCTCTTATATCCACTGATCTCTTCCGCCTGGGCGTGCAGCTCTTCATGGAGCCTAGTAGTCGCCGAAGATAATCCCTTGCTCTCATGTGCATATGTATCATGATCCTCTCGTCGACAAGTATCACGCGAAGAGGACGGAGTAGAAGAACCTGGTAGAATTGTTCTCGGACGTTCGTCGACAGGTGCGATACTAGAATCTAATGAGAACGACACCGCTGGGTGGCCACGAGTAACGTTACCATGGCCGAGAGGAATCGCGTTCGATCCGGATTGTTTGTTATGGTGTGAATGACCAGCGTCGAGGTTTTGCGGCTTAGGCTTTGATTTCCACCAGGATGCCGACTGCGGTGTGTTCGCTAACTCAGAATCAGGGGTTGATCTATGCCTATGTTCAGAGTCCCCTACGAACGAGAGAGTTTCAAGCGTCAAGGTCGTAGGCACGGCCGACGTGGAGTTGGTAGTGGTGATAGATGAGGACATCGGTGGGCGAGTGCCAGAGTGGTGCGAAGATGGATCTGTGTCTCGCAAATAGGAGCGCGATGCGAACGAATGTGTCTTATCGTCCAAGCTTGTGCCACGGCGAGGTATACTCCGCTCCTCGTTTGCGTGTTTCGTCAGCACCGGCCTATCGTAAGAGTTGAGCTGGCGAGTGGCCGAGGTTCCTTCAAGATCAAAGCTACATTAACACGCACATGTATTCAGTCGTTATTACGCACAGGGAACAAATATGATGGAAATAAATGGCTTACAGCTCCATGGACAAGCTTAAAATTTGATTTACCGAAACGTGAGCAAGTCAATTCGTGATTTACGGTATGGTATAGACGTACACCGAGCGATCTCTCAACTGATCGGGTGTCACATCCCTCATATGCGACTTCAAAGCGAACGGCAGGGTCTAAAATATCGTCAATGGGTTCGATTAGCACGTACCATTACGAGTAAGGTACAAAGAACGTACAGAATGTGATGTCTCATAGTTTAACTCCAGCGCGTCCTGTTTCGACTCCGAGACCCGGACGTTTGCTTTCTTCGGTATAGCACTCCCAAAGCGCATAGCAGTCAGATCATCGGTAAGAAAAGTCGAGTGTATACGATCCATGTCGGCCTGCATAATGTCCTCGGACCGAGTGGCTGCGTCAGAGATCGTTTGCGCTTTGCCACCTGGCTGATATTGTATACGGAGTATGAAGTGATATGACCTCGATGGTCGAACTGAGGACATGACTTAGCGGTACCAGGATCGTGAGACGAAAGGGGCTTTCTAGTTCTGTTGAGGGAGCTGCCGGTCGCGAGTGTCGGTTATGTTGTGGTAGTGGTGGTAGAAGACAAAGGGACTGTGGGAACCAGCGCGGTGGCGTTGTCCATCCGCGTCATGATTGTTTCCCTTTTTGGGACAGCGTCGAACTGATTTCGAATTTGCAACACTAGGACAAGGTCCACTTGTTCGAAGGTTGCGACGTCACTGCTGTTCGACTCTCCTCCGGCTGTACTGGTTCACTACAAGAAAATGACGAAATGTAAAGTCTACAAGTACAGTCAAGATGTTCGGATAGATGATATCATACGGACATGGGTTCATAGGAAAACCAAAAGTAAATAAGGAACATGTTTGACGGATTCAGCGAATGCAGAACAAACCGAGGACATCATGAGAAACTAGGCACAGTGGAACGGAATGCAATACCGTGTCATGCACATGATGTGGGCTAAAGAGAAGAGCGCACGACAAAGTTGAAGCCTCAATACCAGCCTTGTTGAGTGAAATATTGCGCATGCGACAATGCCTGTGCCTGCGAAGGCAAAGTACTACGCGAAGCGGTAGGAAGGTGCGGGAAGGGACGAGAGTCAACACAGGGATCGCCATGCGCACGCCGCGGCGGAGGAAGGATAGAGTTCTCGATTGCCCGCTGCTGGCGATAATTGATGTAGTCTCTGACACCCAACTCTATCTTGCATAAGCGACCCTCGAGAGTCGGTAACTAAAAGCAAGAAATAGACCGGCGTAGAGATCAGTTAAACTACTCTTTTAATAGGAAGTGTCAAGGACAAGGAAGAGCCAGAAAGAGAAAAGAATGAGACTCACATAGTCCATCACGTCATCCGGAAGATTAGGTTTGCGCCTCCTCGGTTTGTTCGTCTCACCAGCGCCGTCTCTCGAGGACGCCTGATTTGCGCCGCCCCCATCTGAGGGCGAAGTCATCTCGGTAGTACGTGAATATGGTCGTGGAGGAAGTTCGGTAGGCCCATGGTCGAAGTCGTCTGGGAGGAGACTCGCCGGAGGCGATTGTTGCGAGGTAGACGGAGGCAGAGAGGATCCTCCAGTAGACGGGGACATCGGAGCAGAAGCAGAGGAGTCGTTGGGCATTTTCGAGCCATTCTCAAGCGGGAAAGTGATGAGCATGCTGCCCGACGATCCTACAGCAGTCGAGCGTGTTCGATCGTTAAAGTTGTAGAAACGGCGGTTTGAGCCTGGTGCTGTCCTAGTGCCTGAAAAGGGCTCAGACGCAACGCGACGTTTCTTGAGGGGTGGCGGCTCGTCTGGCTGAGGCGACTGGATATGACTCGGGACCTGCACTTGCCCCTGTAGTAGAGGTGAAGGATAGGCGGAGACGAAGGTGAGGGGTGAAGGAGAGTGAGGCTGGCACAAAGGCGAGGGCGAGTACGAAGTATTGGGAGACAGTGGCGCCCTGGACCCGACACCACCGTTATTGGGGGATAGATATCGCTGGTCCCAAACGGAGTCCGAAGACGAAATGTGCTGAGGACTGGGATCAATGACCGAGAGCTGCCGTTGCTCCGGCCATTGAAGGCGTGGTGGCTTGGAACCAGACTGCACTGGAGCCTGACCAGAGGTGGTGAGATTGGTAGGGTCATGTTCTAGTGGCGCTATGGATGTGAACGGTGAGGCTAGTTCAAGACCTGAAAATGGACCGAACGTACTCGGAGAGATGGATGACGACGACGACGAAGAGTGGTTTCGTCCTCCACGGGGAGAGTAGAAGGCTTTCTGGGACATGGCATGGCCACGGTCAGAGATGGAGCTGTATCGCATGGTTTTAGGAGGACCTGCGAGTAGCAGCTGGAGAGACGGCGAAGAAAAATACGCCCGTCGGTGGGTTATATACACTGGCGGGACCAAGACCGCGACAACCCGGAAGATTTCTAGACTGGTGTAGAAAAACATGGGATGACCAAGCGTAAAGGAGGATAGAGTGGATTTCACGCACCGACTCCGTGAACAATCCAAGCACAGCATGTCCGTCTCCGCGAAAGACATGCCTGCGAACCTCGCGCGAACGCTGAGTGTAAGATCCTCCATACCGATCCTTCGGGATGCCCGAGGGTGCTGATGTGAAAAGCTTCTGTGAATACGACTCCGCAGGGAAGCGGCAGGCAATCGAAGGAGCGCTCTTGAAGCTCGAGTCGGCCATCGTGCGAACCGGAGGCTTTGCGTCGCTTTATGATTACCTTAATAGCAAACGCTACACCACAGCTCGGGGATGACAAGGACTACCTGGCCGTTATGTAAGGTTGTGGTGCGAGCTCGGCATGAACCGACATGCCAGGCCGGAACTTAAGCCGGGAGCCCGGCATAGAAAGGAACCACTTGGGGACGGACGCAAATGTGGGACCATAGCCCAGGGAAATGTAGGATGGTGTAAGGCGGTCGCCGTCTCTTCGAACAGTGCCTCCGATGCAGCATATCCAATGCTATGCATGGCTTACGAAGTACTGGGCACTGAAACCCATGGAATGCCGCCGTCATACGACTTCGCGTTTTTTCTGATGAAGCGAGCATCGTTCTCAGCGTGAACGCAAGAGCTAGCGGCATCCACTGGCCATGGCAATGCCAATCAAATACCATGCAATCAGAGTACTTACCTGCTCCCGTTATACCATTGTACTAATAACGATATACACCACAAGTGTCCTGCCAATCTCGCTGGATGCGCGACAGGCCAAGATGAACTTCAAGTTGTGCCTCTGGCTTTTGTGGGGCGAAAGACAGCGACGGATCGTGCGTGTAGTCCCTCAGTGATGGATTGCGGGCAATCGACAGTCAATCAACAGTGTATATTTGTCCGATAAGTGTACGAAAAGCGATGTGCTCGAGCAGAAGGCACGGCCGCGCAGGAAGAACCATGGTGAAAGTACAAGAAAGAGAGAGAACGTCTTAGAATTCTGTCTATCGGAGTTCGGCAAAACCCGGTGCAGAGCCTTTTAAATTCTGTGGCGTCTCAGTGGCGTTGGTTTCCACAGAAACATGCTGAGCGTTGAGTGTCGACTGCTGGCTGTCTTTGGTTTAGTGATTCTCCAACCCTCTGTCTAGAGCTCGATTCATGCAGGCGAGTTGAGCAGTGCACTGTCACTTGGCTGACACAGTTCAAAGTGCCCATTGAGAGCTCCTGGCAACACCTGGAACTGGAACTGTGAAGTTTGGCCGCTTATTTTACTTCACTGCCGCATTGTTCAGATGACCCAGGCGACTTTCATTCAAGTATTGCACTTTGCTTATCGAGAATAGCCGTGTGTTCGATTCGTTTACTGAAAGCACAGAGACCCTACCGACTTGGAGTATCAACTTCTCGGTCCACATATTGTCCCTAAGAAGGGAACTCTGCGCTAGCAGTGAACTCGTTGTCCTTCCCAAGAACGAATATGAGTAGCTACTCCATCTCTGTGCAGCTCAAACGATGGAAACTGTCGAGCGACCGACATCGCCCTCCGCCCTCACCTTGCCCCCTCTCAAGGTCTAACGGTGACGTTTCACGTCACAGCATTTTCCTTTCTGCTCATCCCTTCTTCCGAATTTGCAACAATGAGATATTCAAGCGGCGACAAATAGATCAAGGCAGTAAGAACAACAACAACCGCTTTAGTCCATCGAGTCGGAACCTTACCGGACTTATATCTCTGAACCACATTTTCCGCCGGCTCGATATGGACCCTCACCACACTATGTAGATGTCGGTCTTCGTTTCGTGAGGGTGACGATTGTGGCTATATTTTCCCCTTGTATGACACACAGTTGAATCTGGTGGTGAGCGGTGGTTGTAGCATTGATTAACAAGATGGAGAGTATGGTGTTGTAGAAGCAAGAAACAAACATAACAAGAAGCGGGAAGCGAAGGAATTAGACACGACAAGAGACGGTCCCCGCGATCTAGCAATAACTATCATGCAACACAAATTCGTAGTAATACGAAAGCGGAACAGCGTGAACGTAGGCAGGTAAAAGCACGTCGAACTGGTGGCATACATAACGTAAGAATGGGTGAGCATGGCAAGAAGAAAAGCGCTCAAAACAAAACAGCTGTATCGTGAATGGAAGCCTGCATATGGTATACATAAAGACGATGGTCAGAGAATACGAAAAGTACTGGTTCACGAAGCGACGTCGAATTTTTAATATTCATTTTGTTTATCTGGGTCGTGTGCGTGCGAGGAGGGGGCGTGCGCATGGGAAGGTGAAGAAGCGTACGAAGTCGTAGAAGAGGAGAGAAAGGAATATGTGTCAGCACCAGGATCGCTATGTGCGCGCGGGGCAGGAGGTAGGAGCGATTTCTCTATCGCTCGTTGTTGGCGATAATCGATGTAGTCTCTGACGCCTAGCTCGATCTTGCTTAAACGGCCCTCGAGTGTCGGTAGCTAAAAGTGAACGTAGTAAAGGCACAAAGGCGGTATCAGGCAACCTAAACTTATAATAGCCAGGTTCGAGCCAAAACGAAATACAGAAGGGTGATGAAAGGAGGCTCACATAGTCCATCACGTCATCCGGAAGATGGGGTTTGCGCCTCCTCGTCTTTTCCTTGCCGCTGTCGCCGTCCTTCGAGCCGACGGGGGTTGCACAACTCCCTCCTGGCGGAGACGATGGCGCAGTGGGTCGAGAGTAAGGTCGCGGAGGAAGTTCTGTCGGTCCATGCTCGAAGTCGTCTGGAAGTAATCCTGCAGGATGAAGTATTTGCGAAGGAGGTTGAACCACCAATGGTCCTCTGAGGTCAGAGGCTACGTGGGATTGATTGGGCCCCGACGATCCACTCTCCACAGGGAAAGTGATCATCATACTGCCCGAAGATCCAACTGCCGTCGACCGCGTCCGATCGTTGAAGTTATAGAAGCGGCGGTTGGAACTGGGAGCTGTGCTCGTGCTCGATGACGATCCTACGGTGACACGCCGTCGTTTAACATATGGCGGCTCGTCTGGGTGTGGTTGCGAAATATGATCTTGGTCCCGAGTGCGTCCTCGTCCTAGAGGTGAGGGGTAGGGTGGGACAAAGGCGTGGGGTGCAGGGGAGTAAGATTCGCTCGAATGGGAGAGTGAACGTGACGGCGACTCGCTTGATCCGGTCCCACCGGTAGTGGATGGAGTATTCCAATTCGACAGGTACCGCTGATCCCAAACAGGGTTTGAGGACGAGATGTGATGGGAATCGGTGTCAATCATCGAGGGCTGCTCTTGGTCTGGCCATTGAAGACGTGGTTGCTGGGAGCTAGACTGTGCTGGAACCTGACTAGAGGTGACGAGACTGGTCGGGTCATGACCTTTCGGCGCTGGGGATAAGAGGTGAGAATGGATCCGGCGGATGAGACGCGGTCGAACGTACGAACCGCTAGAGATCGCCAAGGAGCTTGCGTCACCACGCGAAGGGCGAAATGTCCTCTGGGATGTAGCGTGGCCCCGCTCGGAGGCATGGCTATGTCTCATCTATCGAGGATGGCGACAGGACAATTTAAAGCCGTAGACCCAAAGGGACACAGCTTGAGATGATGGAAATGGTTGAGGTGGATATGGTACTCAACATGCACAGTCCGTCTTCCAACCACAGGTGGCAATGAAGGAGAACGAAAGGGAGAAACGTACGACGCGCGGCGGTGATCTTATATATGCTAACGGAACCAAGTCCACGGCACCCCGGAAGTTTTTCTAACCCGAGTCAAGAGAAAATGTGCTGACGAAGCACCTAAGTTGTTCACGGACGACTAAATGAAGGTCACAACACAGCAGCTCCTTTTCTACGGCTCTGTCGAGAGGTTCCTATAATAAGTCATACCTCTCCGCCTTTGAGCGCCAGGGACTGATGCCAAGTTAAAACACATGGCCGAGGGCGCTGAGATTACACGGCGAAGTACTTATGCATCTGCGAAAGAAATGTAGAGAGAGAGAACACGCAGCCGGCAGTATCGCGGATCCTACGGAGTAAAGCTGAGCAGGGTGCGACTCCAAAGGTTCTGCGTCGCATTTTGGATGTCCAACTAATTAACGCGCTACGCACCACAGCTCGGCAATGACAAATCCCTCTCTCCAAGATTGAGCTTGCGGGTTGTGGAGTCAACCGGAACTTAAACCAAGAGCTCGGCGGAGGAGACAATCAGGCTGGGACGGATGCATCGGTGGGTATAGCCGGCCACTGCCCAAGTGGGTAGGCAATGTTGTACGGAGGGTTCGTTATGGTTCCCAACCCCTTCCTACCAAGCGGCTGACAATACGCCATGGTCCTCAAAGCTGTTGGAAGCTCTCGTACGAGTATTCAAAGGGAAAGATGACAGTCCAGAATAATCGAATGCCATTTCATGCAACGATGCACTCACCTCATCCATGCTCTCTGAGAAGTGTAAGGAGCGATAGTATTATCCTCACAAACTAATCCGTAGAAATATGCGGCAGATCAAGATGAATGTACACGGGAAGCATCGAGGAGCATAGTGAAGACAACACCGAAATTGTGCACGGTCATCCGTTGTAGACCGAGGCTCGACCACACTGTGTATCTGCTGTGTGTGAGTACACGAGAAGAATATGCAGATTCGGATAAGAAAGGTCGATGCAGTACGAGGAAGAGAGACGATGAGTCGTGGAGCCAGGTGTTTCAATCCGGCAAATCCCGGAAGGGAAATGGGGTGTGGCAGAGTGTGGCGTGGATGAGCTGTGAGCGAGTGTGGCGTCATTCCCCACCTCGCAAGACATAAACCCATGACAACCACTATGAAGCTGTGGTTGTTCAGAATTGGATATATTCTCTAAAACCATCTCTAGTTTGGCTCTTCGTCTGGAACACTTCTTAATATCTTAAGCGTTACAGAGAATACTCGGACATCGGTGCGACAGGCTCGGTATCCCCAACTTGAAGCCTTAACGGACTCTCCTAAACACCTGCTATCTGGTTGACACCCACTTGGGGCAATGGAGAAAAACCATACTGACTGGTAACTCAGTTAGTCATCCAAGTGTATGATTCTTATTCGGGCACTGTTTTACTCCTGGGTCCCATCAAACCTAGTTTATCACGTTCTCTTTCGAGTATCGGCCCCACAGAACCACGTTTGCGGTGGTTCAATGGATTCCTTTACCAGTCTTCGACTACTGCCGTATCTATACCATTTCGTTTTCGAATCATTGAGTAGGAGTCTTGACTCAGTACACCTTGAGTACGCCCCCTCTTGAAGGCATGGCTGGAATTCTCTTCCATTGGTCTTCCATTCGAAATAGTTCGCATCTATAATAGCATTGATATTAGTATGAGCCCCACTCTACCCCACCCCGGCCACGCGCAAGATACTGCTTACCTTCACTCCAGCATTTCGGTCGATTCCACATCCAAGTTGAGCTTAAAACTTTAACCTTTAGACACCCACCGCCGGCTTGTCCACATATTTCTCTATAGAACCGTGTCCACAGCGCAGTGTGCCCCACCTGATCTCACCGCTACTCATTCCTGTCTCTCAGGTACCACTAGAGGAGAAAAGGCTTCCATGGTATCCCAAACATGTTGATGTAGCTTCGCCGAGCCTGGAAGTCTAGACCTTCAGCAACCTTACGGCTCTGAGGTCTCCAGATCGTATTTCTGCTTTCGCCAAGAGTAATATCCGCCTAGATGAGCTGACATCTCTGAAGCCTCGAGCCTCGGACGGCAGCTCAGCAGCTGGTCCAACATAATGTGTACCACCTACATTGTAGGGTTCCTTGATGTCCGATAGAGGACGCGTTACATCAGAAAGCTGCAGCCAGACTTTCTCCAGCTCGAACGGCTGCAGCGACTCATAATAAGCATATTAATGGCAGAGCACATAAGCATAATGATATCACAACACCGCGTCTGTCATCTTCGACATCTTCAAAAAAGCCTGCAGCAACGCAGGAACGACGAATGGGTCCTTGCATTCCTTCTCGATAGCACTCAGATCCCTCGCTCGCGCCTCCTTCTCCTCCTCCAAGCGCTGCTCCGCATTCTTTCTCTCGGCCTGTTCGATATGTAGTAATGTTTTCGTATTCCGGAGATGTTGATTGAGGGAGTTGAGAGCACCTGCGGTCGACGAGAGACGAGCATGAGTGAAAATGATTGAAAGGGACGCAGCAAGAGAAGAGGAGCGACGAAGAGGCAGACTACGCACTCATGACATCTCGAGCAGGCTTCACCTCCTCACTGGGGAATGCCTCAGTCTGCATGCCCCAAAGAACACCTAACGTATGTTCTCGCTCCGTCTTCAAGCGCTTGACGTCTTCCGTCAATTCTTTCTCGCCATCGAGCATCAATTCCATCGTCCGCTTATAACCACGAATCTCTTCTGCCTGTTCGGATACGTGCTGGCGCAACCGTTCGAGCCGCTCAGGTGGGCTGAGACTGTCGAGTTCGTCTAATAGGTTCGTTGAAGACGGATTATGGCTCGAAGTCTCGGATGTGGGTAAGGGCGCGCGGGTGGAGAACGGTGCGGAAGAACGTGGCTGTGAGGTCCCATAGGAAGATCCAGACTGTTCATGTTCTAATGAAGCGCTGAATCCGACGCCTGTAGAGCCATGATCCACCTGAGCCCGTCGTGGCCCATTGCTCCCTAGTGGAATGGAATTGGAGCCCGATTGCTTTGGCTTCCAACCGGACCTTGGCGCGTCCGACTCGCCCTGGTCAAGAAGGCCATCATGAACAACGCTCGAGGTCGTTTTGGGTTTCGACTTCCACCACGACGCGACATGAGATTCAGAGGAAGACGCTGGCTCGTTTATTGGAGTCTGCTTCGGACTCAATTCGGCAGCGCTGAATATCGGTTTGGACGGAGATAAGCGGCCCCGAAGCGTATGACGAGGTGCCTGTGGTAGTGCTATAGTATCGTCGTCGTAGGAGTTGCGTCTGGGAATAGAGGACGCCGCATGCGATCCCCAAGATGGACGACGCGGAAGAAAAGTCTGCACTGTGTCACTTGTAGAGGGACCGGGAGGCACGATAGAAGACGTAGAAGAGAGCGGATATGACTCGGACGTGGGTTCGACCACGGAATCTGTAATGCTAGGCGGTGATACACGGGAAAGCTTGGCTGGTGCAGGGTCCGTGATAGCAGAGGGATGGCAAGGTGCTTGGCCGTCTGGAGTATTATACACCGCTAGGACGGGCACAAGAGACATATCGTACCACTTAGTTTTAGTAGGCCGACCTTTGGGCAGTTCGAACCTGTTCATGTACCCCAACGCAGCGGTGGGTCAGACGAATGGGAGAGAACGTCAAGATCCGCGATGTGGAGAACACGTACAGTTCCAGTGCCGTCCTGTGAGCACACACCCGTGGTGAAAACCAATCACACACCCCTCAGTCACATTCTGACAACCAAATAGAATCGAGTTCGAAGAAATGAAGGTACACACATTGAACACTGCTCCAGTTGATCTATCCGCGCATTCACAAGGAACGTTTTTAATATTTTAACTGGATTATACTGCTCTAAGTCAACAGCATCGAGGATTTTACGACCGAACAGTTGAAGAGCAAGAGTCAGGTGTATCAGCAACAAGGCTGCCAGGCAAGATGAACTCTGAATAGACGCACCGCAGTGGCCGAATCATATAACAGGTCTAACGCACCCACCCCACGAACCGACTTGTGTACACCCGTCTTCTTCGGAATCGCGGTCCCCAAATGAAACACCTTCAAGTCCTGCGTCAAGAAAGACGTCCGAATCGCGTTAATTTCATTCGGTGTCTTTGCATTTTTTATCTGGGTCGCTTTCGGGCTGTCAGGTTCGTAACGGATACGCAGTGCGAAATGCTGAATTCCGGGCATGATCGGTACGGGCTAAGAACGACTGGGTTTGAGACGAATTCGATGATGTGGTTAGAGTCAGGAGTGTGTGGTTCAAGACAAGTGAGATAGCAGCCCACGATTGAGAGGAACGACGGATACGTCGAGGACATCGCAGACACCCGCGTCATGTGCGGACCTTTCGCGGCAGCGGCCCTTTTTATCCATTCTCTTACGCTACGCCACACGATTGTGGCCCATTTCACGGCCTTATTCTGTCGGGTCAGGGACTAGGGAATAGATACATTGAGACAGCACGAAACACAATATGGGCTGAGCTGGCAACTAGAGAACAACACATTTAGCTAAGAAGTCCCGGCGCATGCATATTGAATGCTGTAACAGTGCATTTACTTGTGACAAAATCACCGAATGCAATTGAGGCGAGGCTGAGCTTCCCACTACCGCTAGTGCAGATATGTATCACTGGCAGCAATTTGTTCTCGATGACTGCTGTTCAATACTAGCTAAAAGTCTCTGAAATTCAACAACTTGCCCAAATCGCGCAAGATGGCCTCTGCCAGGCCAAGGTGATCTCATGCGGGTTGTAAGTGAGCCAAGACCCCGTCAGTCAGTCATCTCAGTTATTCGCAGTCCGGGGATGGACCTGTCCACCAGCCAGGTTCCTCCCCGAGGTCAAGACCCAGGCCCGAAAATTTTCGATCTTACGAGCGCTAGGACAGCCTGTCCGAGATTGCTGACCGGGAGCGCAGAAACCATCTACGCCATCACCGTCCACAGCCGACCGGGGAAATGTTACGACGGACAATGATGCCCTCATGAGTACTATGCTAGAATTGGATACGGAGATCTCTAGACTCTTGTCTCGTCGAGCGGGGCGCCACGATGACCGAGCATTGTCTGGCGCCGTAGCTGACGTTGGTACTGAATATTTCCTGGGCTGAGGGTGAGACGGGCGAAGTCCATCGCTCGTATATGTCGTCTCAACGATGTTTCATAAGAGGTAAATGTCATGCAACTTAGGAAAGATAGACCGGATGTACGTGCCTGGAGAGTACACATTGAACAAAGATTCCAAACCGGCCAAGCTCGGAAGCTCGTGATTACTAGAAACCTGTGGGCGCTGCACTGGCGCTATAAACCTCTTAGCTGACTTTGACTCAACTCTCCGCAGTGAACCTGCATACTTACGCTGCGTTAATAAAAGTACACTGCGGATACGTCGTTCGCGCGACGTGACTCGCCAGTTCCACGCACAAATTACCTTGCGTGCCACGTAGACATTGTGGAGTAGGAGTTGGGTCTTGAGAGCCCCTTCAGCCAAGCGTCATAATCAGAACGTTAATCAGAGCAGACCAGAGCATATCAGGCACGAAAACTTCTCGCGACCTGCATCTCCGACGTGAAGAATGAAACACGTAGCGTGATATAATTTTCATCATCTCCAGCGCCGCGAGAGGCGCCCACAACGAGAGAAAAATCTAAATTTGCTTGAGCATCAAGCCGGAGAAAAAATTGCATCGCGGCACCGGAATTGAGGTGGTACGGAGGGAACGACGTACCAAGGAAACGGCTACCTTCACCTTGGGGTTCGGACGATGTATGTGCCCTGGGTGTTCAACCGCCGTACGATGTCTAGATATTTGATGGTTATCGAATACGCATTAGAGGAATCTCACGCAGCCTTCGCCACGCTCGCCACCCAGGACTGGTCATTCCAGAGACGAGAGTAAAGGAGGAGGCTTGCTCAAGGCGCAGTAGAACATGACGAAGTTGACCAATGTGGAACTGTATAAGGGGGATAAATCTCCCAAGAAAATACTGACCTGGTACGCATGGACGCGGAGCTTGCCCTTGGAGACTCGCGTCAATGATTCACTGATTGCTCATCAAAATCCTTTTAGTTCATATCAGTAGTCAATAGAAAACGTCGGAATAGTAAAGAGATACAACGTTAGAGGCATTGACACGAAAGACAAAAGACATACGAGCTTTCTGTTCAGTGCCACACGGTAATGAGCTCGGATGTATGTGACTCTTGCGCAGAGTCAGACACTCGTATCAGATATTTGAAGTACAGGAGGAAAAAAAGGCGAGACGGGACAGCGGGAGAAGAAGCGTAAGTATACGTCCCATTCTATCGGTCTCCCTACAAACAAGCCAGAGTGCAGCCGTTTTCTAACAGCAGTTGAACAGCGGAGTCCATCCGTGCTCAGAAGAAAAGCTGAAAAATGGAAGCAATGAGAATGATCCTGAGCGTGGAGTACGCCGTGTAAGAGATCTGAACGGCAAGTGTAGGCACTGAAGGCAGCTCGAGTGAATCGGAGTGATGTTGTCGGTCGAGAAGTACAACCCCGCGGGAAGACCCGGAATTTGAAAGGCTTTAGATCCTAACATGCGCAAACAACAAATTTAAACTCAGCGGACGCCTACTTGAAGTTCCATCGCCGCCACCGTTCTATCGTTGCCTTGACCGGTGTTGTATCAACATCTGTTGTCATTCATCATTCGAACCCCGAAAATGAGCATGTATTGATATTTTTCCCTATTCCGCCATCCTCGTTTCTGTTTACTTACTGATTTCAATCTCCAGGTTGCTACCTCAGGAGATCGTTGACGAAATCGTGGATCAAATCGATGATACCTCGTCATTGTCTACTGCTGCCCTACTCTGTCGCAGCTGGCGTAAGCGCTCTCAGACACGTCAGTATCGAATATGTATCATCCATAGCGAGGAGTGCCTGATAGGCCTAAGAGATATCCTTTCCCACTCCCAACAAATCGCGGCACATGTCGAGATTCTTTATATCGAAAGTGCCGAAATTGCATCGGTCGTCGATGTCTGCGCCAATATGGTGAATATCACCTCCCTGATACTCCAAAACATCGATCTTTTCACGCCAGAGGAAATGTCGCTTGGATGTCAACTCGTTGGGTCGCTACCGTCCCTTTCGGCCCTCACATTCAACGATTGCGCTCTCCGCGGGGACTACGACCCTCGTCTGCTGGGAGTACTCAGTGTAATCCAGTCGTTATTCTTTTGCCAATGCTGGGAGACTGGAGAAACTTTTTCCTCCCCTCCTAATGATCAGCTCAGCATTCCATGGCGGGTACGCTCCCTCTCCCTAGACGATTGGCAAGGTCCGATGGACTTCCTGCATCGTAACCCGACCTCACTGAACCTTGTGACACGGTTCACGTTTCGTTCCACGGGAATGCGCTTCACATTCCTTCCAGAAGCTGCTCGTACCCTTTTGGACCATGTGAAAGAGAATCTGGAGGAGCTGGAGATAGCAGACAGAGAGTGTTCCGAGGGACCTAAGCCCACCGGTCTGTCCAACTTCCGTACTTTGTCATCCAAACACCTTACTAAGGATGGTGTCATTTCGCAACAGAGAGCTTCCCCAGTTGTCCCCTCGTAAAAGTGTTGACGTTTTACATCAACTCGGCGCCGTCGTATTTTCGAGCCGTTGTCTCCCACAACAACAATACCCGCGTGTTGCAGGAGCTACGGATTCTCGTCGGATTATTTGACGCTCTCAACATGGAGGAGACTTTCTTGGGCATCAAACAACCTCTCGAGAACGTCCGGTCTCTTATTCTCTCCGAACACATACCGAAAGTCGTGCTCAAAGTCCACCGGTGTAATACATCGCCTGGCTTCACAGAGGAAGCATTCCAGAAGAAGATGTGGGAATGCTTGTCCGTCCATGGAGAGCTAAGGGGGGTGGACATTCAGTGGGAAAGATTTTACTGGCGTGACTGTGACTGCTGGGACGAGGTACGCGTTAAGTTTTGTAGCTTTTCTTCGTATTCTCTTTGTACTGACAGTTTTGTCTTAAGGATACCACACTCAGCGAGTGGACACGAAAGGGTCTCCGCAATCGAGGTTCTAAAAGATACCTGTCATGTATAAGCTAGCCTCGCTCGTTACTCTAGAGAAGTTAGTCATCGTTCCAGTGTTTGTCTGCGCTTTGTGCAGGTAGACCAGTGTGCCGTGTCAAGCCAACTTCACACTGTGTAGATGGCCTCGAACTCCGTGTACGGGCAGCTGAGACATGCTCGGATGGGATGATACGGACCCAGTTCGTGAGTTATTCTAAAGATCAAGGACTGGGGCGGCAGAGGGCCCAATGATCTAAACAGACATGGCCGTGGTGAAGTCTTCTGCGACGAGCTCCTTTCGAAGCATAGCACGCATCTCCTGGCGAGCTGGAGACCAAATCGTTTACTGTAATGAAGTTGAACGGACGCATGAAACGAGATGGCCCATGGACCACCGAAACCTGAGAGCGCACGGAAAAGTAATTGGTAGATTCAATGTTGTCATATGAAAGCAAGATGTACAAGATATAATACAGCAATAAGAGACCGATAGCAGGACAGAAAGAAAGATGAGAACTTAACAAAGACGAAAAGCAAAAGAAAAGCCCAGGATCGAGCATCAGAAACAAGAAAAAAGAGCAAGCCTACGAAACGATCTGGGAAGGTGGACAACTCGCACCACGCACGCCGCACTCCGGCGCATGCAAGGATTTGTAGTGTTCTGCCAGTTCCTGGAAGCGCAGATAGGGATACACAAGATCAGAGACTGCGCACGAAGGGAGGTACGGGAAAGAAGGAAAATGTAGCCCTTGCGAGCGAGGAAAAGAGGAATTAACATACCTGATTAGACGGTGCGACGAATTTGCATATGCGACGCTTCTCAGGATTTCGCCAACTGCAAGAATACTTGTCAACTTGTGTTCGAGCTTGAAGATCGACGTGCACACGCACAAGCTGCTGCTGCTGCGAGTCACCACTAGCTGCTCCACCTCCATCGCCACGTTGATCCCCGTCACTGGCGGCGGACCGCTTTGACCTTGCTGATCCTGTTTGAGAACCTCGCATCTCCGGGACTTCTTCGCTACCTGATCCGGTCTCGTTTGTGTCTCCAGTCGATGTGCCGCCAGAGCTGGCCGAGTCCTTCCCAGGAACGTAGTCATCATCAAAAACATCGCTCTCATCCTCCTCTTCCTCCTGCATCTGAGCCTCCTTTTGCTTCCCCTTCGTCTTGTCGCTCATCCCCGCGTGCGGCTGCATCTGCATCAGCTGCTTCGCCCTCTCTCTCTGCGAATACCTGTCCAACTTCTCCCTCAACCTCTCGTTCTCCCTCTGGACGCTCTCCATCTCCTCCTTCAACTCGTCTATCTCCGCCTCGAGGAGTTCATCCTTCTTAATTAAGATGCCATTATCCCTCTCGATCTCGTCAAAGGTCGAAGCCTTCCATCTGATCTCATCAGTCGTCCTCCGCTCCTTCTCGATCAATATGCCGTTCAGCGCGTTCGCCCTCCCCAACTCCTCTTCGAGTTTCTTCACTCGCACTTCGAAGGTGCCACGGACGAGTGCGAGGCCGTTCGTGACCTGCGATTCAGCTAGTATCGCGCGTGCCTCGAGGTCCATGTTTTCGGAGCGGAGGGAGGCGGCGGCACCGGAGGCCTTGTGGTATTCTTCGCGCAGGAAGTCGGAGTCAGAAAGCAGACTGGACTTCGAAGTCTCCAGCATCGAAACACGCTGCTTCAACTTCTCCCTCTCCACAGCCCAGTCTGTTCTTTCCTTCTCCAGAACACCTTCCATCTCCGCGACTCGTGGATCTGTGACCGGTGGCGGTGGCGGTGGCGTTGGCAGAGTCTGTACCTCGGCTTCAATCCTCTTCGCAATCTCCGCTTCTTTCCTTCGGAGCTCCTCTTCTCTCCTTTCCGCCTCCCCACTCTTCATCCTCATTTCCTCTTCCCTACGCTCCGTCTCCGCGATCTTTACCCTCTGTTCCTCCAACAACCTCTGTAACATCGCAATCTCCTCAGACTTGTCCTGCAGGATCTTTACGGCGTTCGCGAGGTCCTGGGGATCTTGACTCGAGGGTGCGGTGCTTTGCGTCTGGGTGTGGGAATCTGGTCCGGAGGCAGAGTGCTGAGATTGGGCGAGTCGTCGTGGGTGTGGTTGGGATGTGGATGGATCGTTAAGCGGGACTTTGTAGTAGATGACCTCCTGTAACAGCGAGCCCCCAAAATATTAGCCATCACATATCTTCTCCTCTGCCGTCCCATTATTAGTGGAAAAAGTAATGGAAGAGACGTACCTGCCCATCATACCCACTCTCACCCTCAGGTTCAACCCCAAAGCTCCGTTCGAAAAACTCGGGGATCGCGCTTCCGGTCCCATCTGCCTGTCCTTCCTCAGCTCTCTGGACCGGAACAGAAGCAGTATTCCCATCGTAATCGATATACCGTTCCATTTCCATCTCGTCCGCACCGTGGCTGCTGGACGTTTGCCCGTGTCCCTCTTGGCTTTGACTTTGGCTCTGGCTCGGACGTAGGCTCGTGCGTTGGCTCTGACTCTGCTCCTGACTTACCTCCTGGACGGTCGACACGCCTTGCTTCCCCTTATCCACCGGCGCACCCGCATGGATATCATCCATCGTAACGTCTCCATCCGCATCCGCATCTCCCCACTCGTTCGGATCCAAGAGATCATCCTGCGTTTCCGCAAGAGCGAGGTATGCTTCTCCATACTTGCGAACGTGAGCATTATTCGGACTGCGATTCAAGGTAGGGTTCGGCGTCGGGTTGGGCGCTGACTGGGAAGCTTTGGGGGCAGGTTGAGAAGTGTTGGAGAAGGATGAAGACGGGGCTGGTGCGGGTGCGGGTAAGGAAGATGGTGGATTTGGAGGTGAAGAAGGTGGGAGTTGTTGTGATAGCGGTTGTGACTGAGGCTGAGACTGCGATTGCGACGGTGCTGGTGCTGATGCTGGTGCTTGGGATGGTGGTTCACGAGCTTGGACCTGCGACGAACGAGGCGAAATCTCTTCTTTGCCTTCTTGATCGCCCTTCGCGTTCGTGTCCGCGACGGGTACAGACGAAGCCGCTCCATTTGGCCTCACAGCACCACCACCCTGCTTCCGACTTTGAATCCCCGAAAGCAACGGCACGAATCCAATCTTGACAGGCTTCTTCGTCGTCGTCTTCTTCGCCTGCTCTTTCTCTTTCTCCCCTTGCTCCTGGTCATGCTTCTGCTTCGTATTCTCCACACCATCCACAGGATTCGAGTCCGAACTGGGTCGTACAGGAGCAGGAGTCGCACTCGCTGGAACTGCAGCCGGAACTGGAGCTGGTGCCACTCTCTTTCCCGCCTTGACCATAATCTGATCCAAAGGCGTCCTCGTCCTCTTCGCACCCTCCGCCGCGTCCTTCGCTTCAGCCCGACTCACCATCTCTTTCAGCTTCTTCTCCACCGCGTGTGTGATATTGGTGTGGGGGTTGACGTTCGTGGTGGAGGGATTAGGGAGAGAGTGAGCGTCGTCGTTCGTGTTCGTAGTCGATCCATTGACGGCCCCCATCGGATCCAAAGAACTCGGGAACGGCCCGATCGTGCTCTCCGTCGTCGTCGTGCTCACCGTCACATCCGCATCCGCATCCATCTCGCTCGCCTGCCTCCCGCCTTTCTCGCTCTTCCTCGGTGACCTCGGCGCCGGCGCCGTCCTTGCCCTCACCTGGCCCCACCCCGATCCTCTCCTCGCACCATTAACAGTAGCAGTGACCGTACCCGCCCGCGCATTACTCTTGACAGGCGAGCTGAACTGCTCGATACTCGACATCGGGGGCTCGTCCCCTCCTGCTTCATCGGCGTCTAGGATCTGGTCCTCCTGCGTGTGTGAGGGACGGGGGAGATGGGGCGCGAAGACGGAGGGTGAGAGTTGTGGGATGGGACCTAGTTTCTTCGGTTTTCCGTCTTTATCCTTGTCTTTCGCTTTGTCCTTATCTTTCGCTTTGTCCTTTTCGTTTTCGTTCGACTTGGACCGGGCGTTTGAGAGCGATTTGTGCTGTGCTGGAGGCGGCGTCTGGGGTACGAGAACGGCAGCGGCGGTAGCCGTAGCCGTGGACACGGAAGTGGAGGTCGAAGCAGGAGCAGGCATCGAAGGGCGGTCGACAGGCATCGGGGCTGGAGACGGCGCAGGGTACCTCACACGACTCCTCACCACCGGCGAATCAGGATCATACACAATGCCCATCCCCATCCCCGTCTCCGTCTCGAGCTCTTCCAACCCATCTCTCCCATCTCTCCGACCCGAAGTAGGCGTCAACGGAGGAACGATCGGTAACTCCCCCGCTTCTTCTTCCTCCTCGTCAGTAGAAGAAGATGAGGAGGAAGCGTCGGGATCGGGGAGGAAGAGCGGTTCGCGGGTCATTGAGGCTTTTTTCATGCCTGCGTTCGGAATCGGGAGGTGGGTCGATGAGGGCTGAGATTGAGACTGTGATTGAGTGACTTGGGATTGTGAGACTTGGGAGGGGTAGGAGGCCGTCTGGGGCGCTGGCGCAGCGCTCCTCCTCCCCATTCCAGTCACCTCTACCTCTTGCGAGGACTCTTCCTCCTCCTCTTCCTCTTCCTCCTCGGGATAAGCCAAAGCAAGCCGACCGACATCCATCGGGTCGTCTTCCTGCTCTTGCTGCGTTTCATCACCTCCTTGTAAGTGTGAGTCTTCAGGGGGAGGCGACGGAAGTGAGGATTGTGTCTGCGATTGGGACTGTGTTTGGGATTGGAGCAGTAGCGGCGGTGCTTTCTGTTTCCCCTTCCCCTTCCCCTTCCCATTCTCGGTGACGTTCACGTCGACGTCCATGTCCATAACATCATCGACATCAAGCCCCAAAGCATCCTGCGTACCCTCCTCCTCCTCCTCCCTCATACTCATAATCTGACTCTCCGTATACACCGCCTGCCCCTTCTTCTCCTGCCTCTCCACCGCCCTTTTCCCCTCCAACCTTTTCCGCTCCACCATCTCCGCCTCCGCCTCCCTCTCCCTCTTTTTCTGCCTCTCCTTCATCTTCCTCAAACTCAAATCGCTCGCACCCCCATTCCCATCCACGCGCGAGGTCCCAGAACCCGCTCCAGATCCAGAACCGGAGCGCGAACCTTCAGACCCCGAACCCGAGCCCGAGCCCGATGCAGACGTGGATGCCCCAGTCCCATTCCCAGTCCCAGTCCCAGTCCCAGTCCCGTTCCCAGCCCCATTCCCAGACCCAGACCCCGACCCAGTCCCAGATCCCGACCCCGACCCAGAATTCGTCCCGGACAAGAAAGAACCAGACGAACTCCTCAACAATCCCTTCGCCCGCAACGCCTCCCTGACACGTATAGACTCTGCCACTGCGTTATCGATCGCAGGTGGGGATATGTGTACGGGCGTGGTGGAGTTCGTGCTGGTCGTGGTGGCGGTTGGTTTGGTGGTGTTTAAGCCTGTCGTGTTCGTGTTCGCCTTCGTGTTGGTCGTGGTCCCGTTCGTGTTCGTGTTGGTGCTCGTACCCGCGTGGTTGGGTATAATACTAGGCGGCGGCATCGCGATCGCGGAGCTCGATCTTGAGACGGTTGCAGTTGTGAGCTTGCTCGCGACGGTCGTGGCCGTAGTGGTAGGCTTGTTCGCGACGGTGGTGGCCGTGGCCTTGGACGTAGAGTTGGAATTGGAGTTGGAGGTGGGCTTGGACGTGGACGTAGAGTTGGAATTGGTGTTGGTGTTGGCCGTGGGTCGTACGGTGGACGAGGGTTCTACGTATAACTTGTCCGTAGACCGTACAATGGGCGTGGGATGAACAACGGAGTTCGCTATGGGCATGGGTATGGGTATAGGTCGTGCGGAGGCCTGAACGGCTGATTTATCGGTGGTGTTACTGGTAGACTGTACGGAGTCGGCGGACTTAACGGACAACCTGTCCGCGGTCTGTACAACCAAGTTATCGATAGATCGCACGGTTGCGGTTATTTTATCGGCAGTAACCTGCCCAGTCGACGTAGCCACAGTCGTCGACAACTCTGCCGCACCATTCGCACCATCAACCTTCGGCTTCAGGTTCTGCTTGTCCGCAGCTTTAGACGTAGATGTACCCGCGACGGCATTCTGCCCCGGCACAGGCGTTACGCTCGACCTCTTAACATCCGCACTCGACTTCTTCCTAGCGCCAGCCTCCGCGCTAGACCGTCCCTTCCCCACACCCACGCCCACGCCCACGTCCACGCCCTCGCTCGGCCGCTTTCCTCGCGGCGGTCCGACCTTGAAGGGTATTGGCATTGATATTGGTATTGATATTGGGATTGGTATTGGTATTGATATTGGTATGGGTGCTGGTGCTGCGGGTGTTTGAGATGCTGCAGGCGTTTGAGATGCTGCGGGTGTTTGAGATGCTGCAGGTGGTGGTGGTTGGGATGCGTTCTACAAATGAATGAAAGGAAGGAAGGAGTTGGTCGAAGGACGTATAGCATATGGCAAACCAGGGTTGGGGGAGAAAAATGTCGCGTGGCATATTGCCAGAGAAATGAGAATGAGAATGAGAATGGGATGCGGGGTCAGATTCGGATTCAGATATCGTGAACGTCGAGAGATTGAGATTGGGGAAGAAGGCGGGTGATGAGTGGATAGACGTGGGCGTGGGCGCGGGGAGGAGAGTGGGGATGAGAGGGAAGTGTCGGATGGGAGGGTGGAGGACAGAAGACAGAAGTGGATTGGAAAGAAAGAAGAAAAAGAAAAGAGGAAAGGAAAGGAGGAGAGAAAATAAGAGGAGGGAGGAGGGACGTACGGTTGGCTTGTGCCGTGGAACTACGATTGGCTCTTGTTCTTGTTCAGAATCAGGTTCTTCGTCAGAGTCTTCGTCCTGTATAGACCAGATTAGTGAGTTGAGTTAGAGGACAACGACAAGGACGACAGGTTAGATGTATGCTATATGAGCGAAAGAGGAAGGGAACGACATCGAGAGGAGGAAAAAGAAAGGAGAAAACACGTACCCCCTTGATAACCGTCCCCTTCCCCAGCACCCTCATCTTCTTCTTGCCCTTCCCTGTCCCCTTCTCCTTCGTACCCTCCTCCTCCTCCTCCACATCGACATCCATCACCTCCGGAGCTTCCTGCTCCTTCTTAACCACACTTCCCCTCCTACGTTCCCTTAAGCCCTGCCTGATACGTTCTTGGGTCTCTTTCAACAACTCCTCTTTTGTCTTCGTCTTTGGCTTTGGCATCGGCTTCTGTCTCTCCTTCCCCTTCCCTTTCATGCCCGAGCCCTTGCGCACCCTCCACTCCTCATCCGACTCATCCTCATCCGACTCGACCTCAGTCTTGCGCTTCTTATTCTTATGTCCCCGCGTCCTAACGTCCTCCTCCTTCCCCTCTTCATCTTCCCCCTCCTCTCCCTCATCCTGCTCATAAGTATCAGCAACAGTCCGCCTTCTCGTCGCCCTCATTCTCGTCTTCGGCTTCGGCTTCGTTTCAGGGACTAAATCTTCGTCCTCGTCCTCGTCACTATCTTCTTCTTCTTCTTCGTCCTCGTCGCGCTTCCGTTTCTGTGATCTAGTAGGCGGAGGAGGCGAAGGCGAAGCAACGATTATCTTGCGCGGTTTTGGTTTGGCGGGCGAAGCCGAAGCCGAAATCGAAGCGGAGGCGCGTGCTTTGGACGTAGAAGTGGAAGGGCGGGCTTGGGAGGATTGAGTGGAGGGACGACGTCGCATTACTACCGGCGCATCGACCTCTGCCTTGGAGCGGTTCGACTTGAGTAGTATAGATTTAGGGGCTGGCTTGGAGGAGGTAGAGGCGTGGAAGAGGGAGAGAGAGGCGTTGGCGGAGGGCGTGGTGGTCCGGGAGCGGGAGCGGGCGGTGGAGGTGGTTGAGGTGCGGGATTTGGAGCGGGATTTGGGTTTGGGTTTGGCGGCTGAGGAGATGTGTGGTTAGTTGGTTTGGTGCAGAGACGGAGACGGAGACGGAGATGGTGGGACGACGCCACCGTAATACAACATCCCGCACCACACCACACCAAAACCGCGTGCCAAAAACGACCACAATCCCAAGACAAAAGATCACCAATTGGCGTAGAGATGGACGGAGACGGTGGGACGACGCCCGTAATACAACATCCCACACCGCGCACACCTCCCAAAACCCACCACCACCCAACAACTCCAATGAATCAACGAAAACCTCACCTTTCCTCGCCTCCTCCTTCTTCTCCTTCTTCTCCTCCCAAGCATCCACCAGATCCGGCGTCACGTCCTCCTTCGGCACCCAGTCCAGCGGCCACGGCTTCCCCGTCTCGGGGTCTGTGCCGGCCCATTCGATCTGATACGTCTTTGCGCGTTCGCCAGTGATTTTGATCACTTTCCAGTATTCTTTGCCTTGGGAGGAGAATTCGGCCATCGTTGTTCTCGCTAGGGGTGATGGGGTGCGGTGGAGGCGATTGAGTTGGATAGATGGTTGGTTGGTTCGACAAGATGAGATTGACACAAGCTAAGTAAAGATCGAGTATTCGATCAACCTAGACGCGTGGACAAACGTCGCCCGTCTCCCTGACCCTGCTTAGCTCACGACGGACAACAAGAAACAAAAACAAGCAAGCAAGCAAGAAACACGGAGGAGACAGGAGCCAACACGCGAAGCGCCCGTGACACGGACACGCGTGAATCAACGGAGGGCGGCTGTCATACTGTGACCAACCCGTCCGGCGAGTCCGGCGCCGCCTGGAGGCACCCGGCCATGCCTGGAGGAACCCGGCCACGCCTGGAGGAATCCGGCCACGCCTCCAGGCAATTCATGTCCCCTCCCCTTTGAAGGATGCCTCCAGCCGTTTTGTACACATCTTGTAAATACCCAAAAAACAATGACATTTATTTGCATATGCTCCAATCTGCCTGGAGACAATTCGTCACAGGTTGATCCCTGC